GTATCTCTCGCTTAGCCGCGGACTCAACCTATTTTAAGCCAATCAAAAGCTCAGGAAAGTACCTCAAGAGGGTCAGTGCTTGTTCAGCCACACTCATCAAGCTGCACTAGCCACAAACGGATAATCAGCGAGATTCGCGAGTTGCAAGGTGCCATTGGACATGAACAAAACATCCATCAACCCATCCATTATGCAGCCTGCAGCCTGCAGCGTGCTAAATCCAACAAGCGCCGGGACGCTCTCTCACATTGACGGAACTTGGGTGCGCTGCGGCTATGCTCGTGGTGCCTTGCGTTAGCCAAGGGGGCTGAGTCCCCCCCCCAGCTTACGGCGTCTGTTCAAGGTGACTTTGGCGATGCACCACGCACCACGCAGCTCGCAGGCTCTCTCCTCCTCTTCAGGAATAGAAACGGCCCAGCCTACTGATTGGACTTTGGCTGTTTCCCGTCCACATGCAAGACGGTAGACCGGCATCATGCTAGAAGACGCGGCCTCCAGCTGTGTCATCTCCGGTGAAGAACGCCGGTCTATCGCCGTCTTCCCCCTCGCCGAACGGGGGCTGGAACCGATGGACAGAAGCATCACCAAAGCTTGACTTGGACACTTGCTTCACTATCAGTCTTCTCCCTCTCATCTTCGGTGTCCCGAAAAGGTAACCTTCCTTCACAGCATCCTCACCAGCAATCACCTGCTTCCATTCTCACCTGTCCGAAACTCAAATCCCCAACTCACTTTCTCACCTTCTACTCAGCTCACCCGCCCGTTGAAACTCAAACCTCGCGTCCCCCTCCGTCTTACACATGCTAGAAGGCTGAAGTGAAGGTCGCCATCCCCACGCAGTCAGACTGTCAACTTTTAAGGGTATTACTAAATGTGACCCTCCTCCTCCCCTCTTCTCTTCTCATTTGCGTCCTCGGCCCCGGCCCCGAAAGGCCCAGCATAATTCGCAGGATGGCAACCTTTGGGAACCAGGAACAGTTGACTCTCGTAATCAATTCCTCCACGATTTTACCTTTTGTCTCTCACTCTCAGCCTCTCTGTACCCCTCAGATAACCGCTTCCGCTCATGATCGGACGGAATCTCGTGTATCCGGCACGTCTTTGCGCAGTCAGCATCAGTGGCCAGAACTCCCTCAAATCAGGTCCAACCCTGTTGCTTACTGGCAATGTCAACGAGGCCTCTCATCTTCACCTTCATAATCCGCATCCACTTCCTGCGATGCTGTTCAATTCCCATGTTTCAACGCCTCCCATTTACCCCAGTTTTTCTCTTCTTGTCACTGCCACCTTTATGCCATTGAGACGTATGTGGCGTACGCGGCAGCAACCCTTCAGCCGCCTGAGGGCTGCTGTCAACGTCAACCACCAACACCAACACCAAACCCCAAAGGCACGATGTTACCGTTGCTCTGAGCTCTATCAAATGAGAGCAACAGAATGTCAGGTACAGTGTACAAATGGCCCCGCGAGAACAAAGCACCCTATACCGCCTCACAAACCCCCAACACTTGGTTTACCACAACTTCAAACAGGAACAGAACAGCAAGAACTTTCGTAGCGGCGGCAGCAAAAGTCGACAAAACATAATCTCCAACGAAACAAGCGTGCAAGCTCATCTGACCCATCTGACCCAAAAGTTTCATACACAGGTAGCCCTGAGACCGAGGCAAAAGGACGTAAAATAAAGAGACTACCAGCTGAGCAAGGCTTCCAAGCTTACCCACAAGCTCCAACACAGCGGCCTCTACCACCACACGGGCCCATTCCCTCATCAACCTACTAGCTTGACACTCCCGTCCGACATCGACTCTCGGGCTCTCGCCCTTTGCTCCATCTCCCGACGGCAGCAGGGGCTCCATGGCACATGGGTCCATCTGCCTTGTTCCTCCCATCTTGCGCAGAGACGAGGCACCTACCAACCCAGGTGACTAATAGTAAATATCATGAAGCGCCCCCAAAACAGGCTGATTGCGAAGAGAAAGGGGAAACCCCTAAAACTGTAAGTGGAACTCTCACTCGAAGGAGTTTCCAGGATTGGTCTCGGCCATCGTCGGCCAACCTTATGATAAGCAGCACATGCCCCAAAGGAGAAGAACGGCATTAACTTTGCTCAAGAACTCATCCTTGACACAAGCTCGCCACACGATGGGGAACTGCCAAGCTGCATGGGAGGTCGCCTCCCCAATCCGACGGATCTTGTCGAACCGATCGGTTTCTGTCGTTCAAGCTGTCTTGAGCTGAACTGATTGCTCGCACAAGAGGGCCAGCCGAGGTCCTGTTCAGTCCTTATTCCCGCGTCCTCGGTCATGAGCTTGTACATAGCCGTGTAAGTCGTGTTCACCCTCGTTGCAATGATGCCAAATGCCCGCTTCATCCTAATAGGATAATAAGATTCGCGACATACGAATGAGATCTCAAGGAACACCCCAGACACTCATTCTTTCACTTCCATGTGCGACTTGACCGACCCGTCAGCGAAAGCATGCCCAAATCCTTCCACTGGCGATCTTCCTATGCCTCCGGCTCCCGCACCTCCGAGCGCATCCGTCCTACTGCCCCTCCACCTCCGTCCCGCTCCCACACGGAAGTCCGGCGATCGCCATGTGTACAACCCGTCCACCAGTCCTCCCTCTGAACAAACCTCACAAAGGGCACATTTGACGTTCATCCGCACTGCACGCTTGAACTGTGTCGTATTTCATTCAGCTAGGCTCACATGTATACGCGACAACGACTCCGCACGTACTACTGTCTAGCCCCCACGTAACCATGAACAAGCCGCTTTTCCCGAATGAGTTTCCCATGCCAAGCGGCAATTTCACAACCGTCCCCGCGGAAGCGCGTAAAAGACCTTTGGACCAGGTGGTATCTCACCAGGCTTCCGCGGTAAAGGGCGGTTATCGAGTGCGTGTGTGTGCAATGCGCCCGCGGGGTTGGGGGTTTACGGCACGATCGAACCGCCCGAGAGAGGGGCAGGTAAGCTGCCCACTCGCGGGAGGGTCAATGAATGGTATGCCAGTGCAGGGCTGACGGGATGGACACCAAAAATCGACGCAGTCAGATGTGCCGTGGTAACCCTACATGTACGGTGACGGGGGCGCGCCTGGTTGAGCAATCAGATTGTCGGGTGGAGTTGTCTTTGCAATCGCGAGTTCTTGTCATTGACCACGGGTTCATCGCCCGGTAACAGCGACCGCGATATCAAGAGTATTGGGGCAATCACACTTACGATTGCAGGAAGCCATGATGAAAACCGGTCATGTTTGCTGTCTGCATTCGACAGAGGACAATGTTGTCTCTTGGACAACATGGTACTTCATTTAGGTTGCCAATATCGACGGGGTGGAACTTCTCATTCCTGTCTCTCGCGGGAATGCATACACTCTCATCTGAAGCACAAGCTTACCCGAAAACGCTCCAGCCCGGGTGAAACAACGTCGGCTACGAAATAACGGAGTTAAGAGATGGTGTCTCAGGACGCAGATTATCTCGACTATGAATAGATCCCAACTCGCGTGGTTATAGATTGTCGTCCTGCCGACAGAACCACAGGTGCTGCAGATCTCCTTTCCTTGTGCCTTATTCATGGCGTCCGTTCTTGTAAAGCTATTGAGGATCTTGACCTAAGATCCTGGTTCATCTATGCTGGAAGTATTGTTAAATGATGCAATATCGATGAATTGACAAATAAGTTTGCCGGACCTGTAGTGCACCTGCGCTGCCCTTTGCAGGATATGCGGTTTCTTTGTGGCCAACCCGGTCTTTACTGTACTCTCTATCAAGACAAAACCTGTGGCTGAAGAACTTGCTGCCAAGATGTCCCCATTCAGATGCTTGATGGTGGGAGCATCGAGGCCAGGGACAGACGTTTCGATCAACCATGTGCCTGCGCACCCACGGCCGGCTTCTCCTATCCGAGTTCCCTAGAGGCTCATGACACTGCAAATTAGTTTCCTCAAGTATATTCAGCATCTTTGCATGGTCAGACGGCATTCTACTGCTAGTATGTCTGTCATGCTCGAGCGTCTCATGGACATTCGTACATCTATTGTGAATATATTCATTTAGAAACCATTCCCGCCGAAATTTCATGAAAACCACCCTTTACTGCCTCTATTTTGGTGTCCAAGTGGCCATTTCGCTCGATAAGTCATCTCTTGTGCCTAAGAAAGACCCTCGTAACCCGTTACCCTCGGCAGCATTTCAACTCTGGACCTAATGTACAGTCCTTGCGTGAATGACACTGCAGGACGATGGAGTTCCGAAGCAAAAGAGATCCGTCTCATATAGAGCGGCATAACCATCACTGTGAATACAAATATCATACCTCTATGATGTATTCATACGACCCAACTCATCACTTCTCAGCAGGTCTCTGCGCAAGTTGCAACCCAGCCACCCACATTCAGAATCACAATGCCCAGCTCAACCAACTCAACAGCTGTGACTTGTGGATCTACTTCCCAATCAGTCAAGTCCTTGCGGTACTAGGTAGTATTGAGGGTGTTCAAGCGGTTGGTAAACTAGCGGTAGTGATCCTCGATACGTATGCTGCAGAGTTGTATCCATAACTTACTAGGCAACCTAAGAGCACCGTGAATGCACAAAAGCGCTTGATACAGACATGTCCTTGATGAAGCCCACAACTTCAAGTCTAGCCGCTTCTTCCGGGCGGCTAAAGAAGCCGGGGGGGGGGGGGCCTGGCTATGTGTTGGTGATGTTGGTGGAAGTAATGGTAGGAAGTCTCCCCCAAAAACCAACAGTCACACTTGCCATGGCGACCAAGTTCACTCTGGCCCCAAAACATCCCGGTCGTCAGACTAACTTGAATCATATGAGGTATTTCTTGTCGCTTGTAACCAGTTCTATCTTATATCTCAGGCGTCTCCGTCATAACTTGCCCCCAACGCCAACGTAACCCATCATCAAGTAACCCAAACCAACAAGACCTCAAATACACCCCAACCAACATCTCTCACGCCAACTCTCCCCCGTCCAAATCACACCTTCCAAGCAGTCCTCCTCAACCAGTCCCCAACAACCCTCATAACCTTCACCGCCTTCGCATTCCCATCCCTCACGCTCACCGGATCCGACACCGCGGCCCCCATCTCATGAAAATCAAACGCGTGAATCACATCCGGCACCAGCAACCACTTCACACTACCCCTTCCGTCCCTCACCTCCCACCCGAACCTCTCGTCCCCCTCCTCCACCAGCTCCTGCGTCTTGGCCACCTCGCTCCGCCCGACCACTCCCGAACCAGGCTTCCCCTTCCCGCCGAGCTTGCACGCCAGCTCCCACGCCTCGTAGGCGAGGTAATCCAGCTCCGCGGCCACGACGCACACGTTGTCCGGGAAATCGCTCCTCTCCGCGTACAGCGGCGAGATGCGCGTGTCGCGGAGGTTCGTGCCGTAGGGGATGTAGCTCCAGTCAAACACCTCTGCGAAATCCAGCACAAAGTCCTTCTTCTGGCCGCGGATGCCGGGTAATTTCCCGACTTTATACGGCCTGCGATCCCTCTTCGACGCCGTCGGCGTAACGAAATCCGTAGGCGGGTATATCGGCACAATCGCTTTCGGCGCAGCGGTCCTGTGCTCTTTGATGCTCTTCATCTGCGACAGACACAGCGTCAGGTTCCCGCCCGCGCTAAAGCCGCCCATGGCGATGCGCGACTTGTCGATGGGGAGGGACTCGTCGTCGACGATGGCGAGGTAGAGGGCCTCTAGGTCGTGGAGGGCGTGCGGCCAGGGGGCCCAGGGGGCTTTCCAGTAGTGCAGGGCGACGACGAGGCAGTTGTTGAGGTCGGCGAAGGTGCGGTTCCATTCGTCGTCGTCGTCGGGGACGCCAATGGAGAAGCCGCCTCCGTGGATTGTGAAGAGGGTCGGGAGGGTTTGCGGGGAGGTTTGATCGTAGTCGGAGGGGAAGAAGATGCTGCGGGACATGGTTAGCTGTTGTTTTGTTTCGTGCCTTTGTGCAAAGGGAAAAGCATACCGAACTGGCAGTGCCTTTCTACAGTCATACTGCTTGATGAGATCGGGCCGTATGGCGGGTGGCCAAAAGCATGACTTCCACGCCTCGAAGCCAGCCTTTTGAAAGTACCAATGCTGCAATGTCGAAATCTTGGTGCCGTACACGATGCGATTGAGCATCGAAGGCGCTTGCTGGTAAACCGGCTTGCCGGAGTCTGCGTTCCCTGCTACACCCATATTTGCCATGTCTCGGGAACAAGTCTTTCACACTTTTGCGACAAAGGGTGATATCGACGATATATGACCACCGCCAATGCCCGCTCACACTCGCAGAACGGAATAGCCTGACGGTCTTTTCGCCGGTGACGACGATGGCCCAGGTACGGAGTCGGAGAGGTCGATGGTCCCGAGACAAGCCAAAAAGAAAAGAATCTGCCAGAACACCAGAGCGCATTAGCCGCGACGTGTCTTCTCTCACAAACAGACGAACGACTTCAGGCTGGGACGAGACGGGATATCGGCAGAGAGAGTCAGCGGCAGAGGGCGACAGGAGCCACAGAGAGGCGTCATCGTGCGTTTTGACGTGACTTGGAGGCAGTGACAGAGACAGAGAAGGAGGCCTACTCGGCGTGCCGGACTCTCGGTTTCACGAGGCAGAATGGTGTAGCCTGATGTATGAGCTTGCTTGCGTCCGGGAATCGCAAAGACGCCGAGGACCCGGACATACGATGACCACAGGAAGGAAGAGGAGCACGGGCGGTGATGACGGTGAAGTCAAGGGCAACATGGCTGGACTTACATGATGACAGATGGTGGCGTAGATGAATCGCGACGGATGAGAAGATGTAGAACCAGACAGGTTTGATCGTATAATCCAGAACCGTAGACAGTCAGCTCGACGATTTCTCGCTGATTCGCCCACCTTCTCAATTCCTCCCATCCCCTTCAACGTCATGCACGACAGTCCTCAGAAAGCACCACCCATTTCTTCTCCCACCAAGAAACAGCAAGAGGGGCTGGATTGGGAGGGTCCAGGGGTGCATTGTACGTGGCACACGTTCATGCTAAGCTTGCCCAGCACGTCAAACAGCTAGGTTTTGGAGGGGCTCAGGGCTCAGGCACATGGTCTTGCGCACAGTCGGACGGGATGCATGTTGCCTGTGCTTGACTCCAGTGCGTGTTTCTAGTTTTGGCTGGTGTTGCTGGTCGAGACATGTCGGGGGTCGAGGTTCCCCTCCCTCCAACAATAATACCTTAATATTATCACCTCTTATCGTTATCGCCTCCGGTACAAGACAAGACAAGGTAAGGTAAGGTGAGGAAAGGTAGTTGGGGCATTGGCCCCAAGCTCCTCAGAGAGCATGAAAGTCCCTGGCTCCGTCCCATCTGTCAGGCAGCCGAATCAGTCAGCTCAGATGGCTGGTCTGACTCATTGTAAGGGTAGGCGGTGACTCTCGTCTCGTCCAGGAGCGGACAATGTTTGCTTTTCACAGGTCTCATTTAGTCATTGAACAAAAGGTGGTCTCGGCATGGCGCCCCCGAAATGCGGCCGGAGCTCCGGTGGAATGGCCGGACTTGGGACCGCGAATACAATAAGCCAACCTACGCTTGAGCTGGAATGCTCACACAATGGCTTACAACCTCTCTTGATCATTGCTGATTTTCCAATAATGATAGAAAACTTGAAGCGTTGGCAACTGAAGACAATCAGAAGAGGAAAGACGACCTCACAGCTAGACAAAATATTCGTGCATATTCTCCATTCAATCATACTTTACAGATGCAGCATAAACCAAACACGTAATTGTACAAAACGGTGACTCCTAACCGTCTACTCATCGCATTAAGCCATGGGCGCGTCTATTCATCTCAGAGGCTTGTCGGCTTCTGCACCACAACCTCTTCATCGTCATCCGGATCTTCAATGCTCGTCCGCCGAGCAGCCTCGACGGCCGCCTGGATCGGCTTCTCGTCGTCTCCCGTCGCCGTCTCTTCCGATAGCCCCTTCTCACCATCGTCTTTGCCATCCTTCTTACCTGCAAACGGCCACAGACCGCTAAAGGCTTTGCCTCCTGAAGCACCCTGCGGCGGGTGTACCGCGAGAGGCTTTAGAATCACCTTCTCATTGGGATCCGTACCCGGCGCTGGCTCCACCTCGGGCATGGCAAAATCACCAAACTCCTCATCATCGTCTTCCTCGTCCGAATCATCTTGTCCGTCAAATCGTGGCCGCCCCTGACGTCCCACCCCTCGCCACCACGACCCACTTCCAGGTTGACCCCAGGCACCTGCAACAGCTGCCGCTGCTCCTGGGCCATGACGGTCTTCGTCGTCCTCGTCGCTCGAATTTTCTTCGTCGTCTTCGTCATCGGCAAACGGGTTTTCTGGCCGCTCGCCTTCACCAGACTCGTCCTTGTCGTCGTCGTCTTCTTGAGAAGCAGCGGCCTGGTTCTTTTGGTGCATAGCCAAACGAGCCGCAAGCTGCAACCGCGCTCTAGAAGGAGGGTTGTTCAATGGCGGCGGCGGCGGTGGAGGCGGAGGGATCGATGGCGGGTTGAGTGACGACGAGGTGTTGTTCAATGGATCGGTATAAGCCCGGAACTAGTAAATGCGTGTTAGTCTGGCGAGATTCATTCCGACATTGGCGCACGATTCTAAGAAAGATCCCGGAGGCAAGTTTCGTCATTGTCGTTTTGCTGTTATAAATGACCCGGATCGCAAGTGGTTGAAGTGAATAAGAAAAGTCCAAAGTTGTCTGGTATCCCAAGGAATCGACGCCGGCACGAACAAGGACGTGTAATCCTACACTACTCGCCGCCACAAGATATATCATGAATACGCCCAACACCACCCTCTCCTATATAGCTCCCGAGCCCTCTCTACCTTTCTCCAAGGGTCTCGTCCTCGATATGTCTATCCGTTCTCCCTCTAAGCCATGACATGAAATCGAGGGAAGGCCGAATCATGTGCATTTCCTCATCAGACTCAACATCTCCGAGCTCATCGCCATGTACTCCCTCATCGCCCTGAGATACAAAAATCGGCGAATCTTGCTTTCGTCCTCTACATCTATCCTACGTCCAAAGTCATCGCCGGCGCCGTCGGTGTGATCCTCTTGGGATATTCGACTGTCGTCGTGAGGTCTTCCGTCCTCGTCTGCGCACTATGCATCCTTTTTCCGGTCCTTTTCCTCGTCCTCGTCGGGGTTATTGTCGTCGATAAGAGATTGCGTCCAAGGGTCCAATGCAGGTGGTTCCATCTCACGGAGCTCTGAGAGCATATCACTCACCTCATTGTTGACATCGTCTTCGTTCTCTTCTTCCCCTTCATCCTCCTCATCACTGGAGCTGCCGAAGCCAGACATGAGAGTGCCTGAGCTGATGGCGAATGGCCCAATACCGTTACCGCTACTTTCTTGAAGGTCTGCGTTGCCGTTGAGTCCAGCATCAGCGAGCGCATTGGAGCCAGTGTTGCTCTGGGAGTTGGAAAATGACGATCCCAGGCCAGAGAGACCGACTGCTGCCAGCCCGTTGCCAGACATGCCGGCCCGGTTACCCATAGCCACCTCGGGGCGGACTCCGCCGAGAATGGCGTTGTCTCGCTCGCGAGTTTCGGCAAGGGCACCTTCCACATAACTGATCCATCGCGGGTCCATAACCCGTTCAAGGACAGTCTCAGACAAGAGTTCGGGAGGGTGACGTTCCGTAAACTTCACCACCTCTTCAGCGATGAGAGTGAGATGTCCCATGTAACCCATGCGAGTCTTCATCCTGGCCTGTGACTCGTCACTAGCAAGTTGGCCCTTGATGATAGCGGTCGTGATATCCGCTGCCTCGAACAGTGAAACTGCCAAGGTCGGGTTGTAGCCTCTGTCCATAGGCCCGTTAAAAACCTGCTGAACGATATCATATACCACGTTATGGAGAAAGTTGTTCCACGGGTAAGCAAAGAAGAAGGACTAGACTCTGATTAGCTTGGATTGATGAGGTGTCATCACGAGGAACTCACCAGAATCGTAGGCACAACACGGTATTCGACAAATTGCACCTTGAGGTAGTCGCCGACAACGGGCTTCACGCTGTTCGGGTCAGGCCGATCGGGAACAGCAGGCGGTAGGTCTCCAGCCTCCTTTGTCGCATCGTCGTCAGTTCCTGGAGCCACGGGGGCTTCTGGCACCTCGGGAACTGGAGGGGCCATGGGAACTTCCGGAGCTGGCTCAACTTCGGATTCGGTCTCCTTTGAAGTATCGTCTTTGTCCGCAGTCGCGTCAGGATCAGTGGTGGATTTGGAAAACAGAGGGGCCGGCATGTCTTCGGGGTGCTGGGGAGGTTCAGGCACTGCCGGTGCGGTCTCTACTGGCTCGGTTTTCGTCTCAGAATCGGTGACGCTAGGCGTGTAGACAACAGAAGAGTCAGACTCGTCACCCTTCTGATTGTCCTCGGGAACAACCGGTTGATCAGCTTTCTCGTCAAGCGAAAGTTCCTCTACCTTGTTAATGGTAGCATCATCCGAAGTCTTGTCAGCCAGGTCGTCTGCGCCGGAAGTCTTCTCAGTCTTCTCAGATTCTGATTCTTTCGCAGCCGGCTCTTCACTCTTGGCGTCAATAGTATCCGGCTTCGGCTCCAATTCGGACTTGGCTTCAGAGTCCGCTGCTGCTGCAGCAGTCTCATCGATGGAAGCAGTCTTTGGCTTGCTCGGCGAAAGGGGAGCGACCACCAGATCGGGGTCATCAAATCGTTGTTCCTTGATTTTGTCATCTGCGACGTTGAGTCTGGGCGAGCTGAGCGGCTCGTCCACAAAGTCGTCTTCATCTCTGTCCAGGAAGGACGAGGCTGGTGCAGCGACAGGAATCTCTTCTTCGGCTTTTACGAACTCGTGGGACGTGTCCTCGTTCATTTCGCGGCTGGGCTCAACCTCTTCGAATCCGTCATCGTCTGAGATATTGGTTACCTCTAAACGACGTCCCTCCTCGGGAGAAGAGCGACCGATGCGCATCGTCAAGTCATCCGTAGATGATGGCGGTTCTTCTCCACGGTTTGGGGTAAGCTTACCCTCCGTTCTTAAGCGCTGACGCTCAGCATCTCGAGCTGCAATCACGTCCTCGGAACCAACTTCATTTAGTAGGCCCATGTTACTGCAGTGAAGCAGTTCGGCCATCAACTCGCACGTCTTGAATCGGTCGAAGCCAAGAGGCTCTATCTTTTCGCCAAAGGTCGATTCCAACGGTCCCTTCTGCACCGGGGTGTTCATAATCAGGTTGACGAAATCGGGAATGTGTTGCGCAAACAAGCGGAGGAGGGTTCCTAGATAGATGGGGTCTCGGCTCGAGGGAACAGAGTTGGCTTCGGTGCCAACGTCTGGATCATAGTCCGAGTTATTCTTCCTGATGACTTCGATGATGATGCCGACACCCACGGTCAGCGGGTTTCCACCTCCTAACATGTACTTGATCAGCTGTTCCACACAGGGTTGCGACACCAGCTGGCGGGTGAGTTCGTTCGGGCCGATGCATTGCTGCTCGTTTTGCGATGCGTTGGCCGAGATGGTAATGATGGCTTTGATGAAGTCGCCTGCAGCTGTCTGGACAACCCAGCTGTGCTCCGGGCTGAGGCAGGATAGCAGAGTCGGCACAACGTCTTGGCCGTATAGCCACTGCGAGAAGGGGTACGATTAGCTCTCAACCTTGTTCGGTGGGGATGGGGGAATGGGGGAATGGGGGGATTGCTGGGCTGTACGCACCTCTACAACACCCTGGCCGCCCTCTGTGCGGTCTAGGGCAATGATCTTGAGAAGCAGATCCATAATCATAGGGCACTCAACATGACGGAGCAAGTCGGGCACGGCCTCGGGGAGAGATTTGAGAAGGATAACCATCTCCTCCGTCTTCTTGTCGAACAAAGCCTCGTTGACTTTCGTAAAGTAACTGGCTTGCAGAGGGTCAAGTGGCGTCGGGCGCTTCAGAAATTGCCAAAATTCCCGCACCAGGTCTTGGTTTTCCATCATGGCCTCGTAAATGGACCATGTGTCGGATGACAAGACTTCGGCAGCAACGTAGGCATAGCGATTGCGCTTCTTCTCCTGCTCTTCCTCCTCATTGTCGGTATCGGTAGCTCGGGACGAGGCGCGAGGTCTTGAAAAGGGAAGGAGGCGACCCTTGCCCTTGATCTCCTCGGCGGGTTCATCTGTTTCTGGGGTGGCGACGGGCTCTAGTTTGGGTGCGACGACATATTCGAGCAGAGTCTTGAGCACATTGTCCTCGCGGAGGTATTCGATAAGCTTCGTGTTGTGCTGCTTGAGCTCTTGAATCAGGTCGCTTTCGTCGAGGAGGTCTTCGACGGTGAATTCGGGCTTTTCGAGGATAGTATCGATGGTGGATATGTTGGCGTATCCGCCAAATCTCCAGAACATGGTGGCGGTATTTGTGGGTTGTCTATGTCACGGCGCCGGACGAGTCGCGGCGACGATGGACAAAGAGCGATAAAACAATCAACTGGGCAGCAATCCGATGATTGAGCATGCGAAATCCGTATATCCTAGTGGGATAGACAAAGGGCGTGTATCGGCCGCAGAAATCGAATCGTAGCGAGAGTAGTAAATGGCCAGTCGTTTTCTCTATACCGTAGGTTCAACGCATGCGAAGGACGGGTTTGGGGGTATCGGTCGCTTGAATGACTTGGCGGCTGAGCGAGGAGCAAGTGTCAGCAAAGAGGTTGTCTAGAAGGCTTTTGCTGACAAGCGAGTGCAGAGCAGGAAAAGCAGGGCTTGTTGGTGGTGGTGGTGGTGGTGCTAGTGGTGGTGGTGAGGTCTGCAGATGCTGTCGCCGGCGGAGTGGAGGGGCCGGCGCATCGGGCCCAGAAAAGAGGAGCTGATTGATAATAGAGGGGGAAGGGAAGAGATGAGCGAAAATTGACGATGCAGTCTCAGAGGGGGGGAAAACCCAGCCGCGAAACGATAGACGACAGAGGGGATTCCGAGTCAATCCAGCTCGCAACGCGCGTACTCTTTCCAGGCAAGCGGAGAGCAACAGGAAACACCATGAATGAAGCAAAGCAGTAGGGAGCAGCGAGCCCAGGCAGTGAGGCAACGAGTTCGGGGGGAGGAGGAGTAGGAGTAGGACAGCAGGCAGAGGACCAGGGTACGTACAAAAGCGGGAAAAGGTAGGTACGGTGATTGCTGTTGTACAGAGGGCGCGCTGGCGCTCTAAGCCTCGTGTGCAAGGAGAATTAGCGATGGAAAGGACGGGCTGAAGCCGGAGCCTGTCGTCGGTCGTCGGATAGATATGTATCGGACGCTTCGAAAGTGGTCGCGTGGGTTCTGTCCTCCGTACGTCTCGCTGTCTTTCTCTCTCCTTGTCGGTGTTGGGGGAGAGGAGGGGTGGTGTGTGTGGGTGTGGATTCGTGGATGCGTGGTGGTTTTTGGACTCGGGAAGAGAGAATGGCTGTGGTGAGGGTGAGATGGGCCACCGGACGTCGTCGAGATTGGATTGCGCAGCGGCGGGTTTGAGGTACGGCTACCTTAGGTAAGGTAAGGTAAGGTAAGGGTGCCCTTTTGGCCCAATGGAATCGCTGGCTTTCCACGCAGCAGGGACTTTAGAGTCGGAAGGTCGGTCGTCGGAGTTCCCAGGTTGGCACTTTGGCTTGGCCGCAGTGGGAGGAAGAGGAAGAGGTCGGGTGGCAGAGGTGGGATGGACAGTGGGTGCCCTGGTGAAAGAAAGGACGGCCCTTGTTACTCTTGTCCCAGTCAGCACGTCAGGTACTGAGGTACGGTAGGTAATGACCAAGGAACAGATAGGTATTCGTACTTCTGGGTGCACCAAGTCTGGCAGCGGTTGTTTTGCTGCTGACGTGCGGCTGCGGCTGCGGCTACGGATGTTTGGTTCTGTTTGTGTGCGTGCGCGCCCTCGGAGCTCTCTGGTGAAGACTGAACAAATGTCACGGGGTACCTTGCGTATACTTTGTATTCCGTGTGGTTCAGGGGAGAAAGGATGGCACGGTCGGGTACTTTCTTTCCGTCACCTACCAAAACAGCAGTTAAAGAAGGTAAGGTAGGTACGGATGCGCTGCGGTAAAATGCAGTGGAAATAATCATCAAGTATCCCGTTGCTTCGCATCACATTCACCGTCATAATCCTCACTCATTCACTATTGTCCAAACATCGTCATGCTTCCAGATTGGGCCCAGATTGGGTTGCCTTGCTTCCCGCTTGCTACCAAACGTGCTGCCGACTGGCTGCTGTTTCTCGGAAGCCAAGAGGCGAAGCAGAAGCAGAGCAGAGCAGGGTACGGAGTGCATTCATTCATGTCTGATGAGGTCAGTCCGGTCAGGCATGCACCTACCTTACATCCAACGCCCTTATCTGCATTCTCACCCATTCCATCTTGATAAGAACGGTGCTGAAGGCTGGGCTGTGATGTTCATCTTCCCAAGTCAAGTTGGCGATGGGTTCCCCAAGTACTCCCCGTTCAGTCAAGCCCCGGCACGGGTACTTGCGCAATGCGAGACAAGGAAACTCGCTAAGCTAAAGGCGAGCGAATACCTACTCAAAGCGATTGTGGCGCCGCCTCATTCAGGTTCCGGAGCCTAGGTATTCTGAAAGACCGAGGCATGAACTGAACTGGCTGCTTTATTCCGATCGCAGATATCAGCGATAAAAGCAACAAAATAGTCAGACTGTCCTCGGTGCTCCCAAAGAAACCTCCGAGGCAGCAGCATGGGCAAGAGAGACTGTCCAACATCACCGAGGTCCTCGACAACGCCCAGCCCTACAGGACCACGAGTGCCATCTCGAATTGTGGCCTTCCACCAACTCCGTTCCATTCTTGCGTGCTTTGCCCACAGTGGAATTGGATTTTCGCCTAATCCAGCCCAAGGACGTGGACAGTGGAGAGGAGCCGTGAGGGCAAGGCAAGGGTCCTCCCATTACCCGCAACTCTGTCTATTCGCGGATCGTCGACGTCCAGGCCAGGCCTGCGATGCCCCTCCATTGCCCTCTGCTCCGTATCCGTACGGGCTCAGCCTGGCTGAAGTATGAGGGGGAAAACTGGAGCATGAGATGCATATGTGCATGTGTGAATGTGATTGTGTCACAGTGTGACTCAATTGGTGATTCGACAGCCCCTCCTTGCCCTCATACCCTCGAATATACCTACTGCGTACGAAGTAGAGACACTCCTCTTCTCTCTTGTTTCGTTTCTGCGTGTGTTGGGTTTCTGTGTGCTAGGCCAGGGTTTTTGTTGAATCGAATCGAGCCGAAACACACCTAGAGTTCCTACCTAGTCCTTTAGTGTAAGACTCAAGATGATCTCCGATAAGGAACTGCCTGCTTCCATGAGATGGGATCTGCCCCAGACGCCAATTTGTTTACGTAGTACAGTAGTTGCTGATAGCAGGCCAAGTCTTGTGCCCCTCATTCTCCTGTTAGGTACTTCTCGGAGGGTCCTCGGTTGCGAAATTTGCACTGCTGCCCCGCTACACTTCTTGAACGTGGATCTGGCTATTTGTACCGGGTACGAGTCTACTAACAGCGACATATCTTATCCACCTTACTTTTGCTCCTAGCACATCAGATCCCAATTGTTTTCTTATGAGAAAAGGGGGATATAGGGATGAAGAAAAAAGGAATTTGTCGTTATTTCTTTGGCTCGCTTCACGGCCTGTGCAGATTTCATCGACAGTCAGGGGATGGCCTTGTTCATCTCATGTCTGCTCATCCCTCCTGTACGATTCCGTCCATTCTGTCATGTGTACCTTTGAGTTACCCAGATAGCATGTGAGCTCTTTTCATACCCCAATACACACAACCAAGAATGCGACTATGCTCGCATCCCATCTACATCAACTTCTTACAAGTAGACCCAACGGGATCAAGCCTTCTCGCTCTCCCGCATCACTCCAGAATGCTCAGGACGGAATGTATCATCAATCGAGACCAGCATACCTACAAAAAGGGCTGGACCTTTCAAACTTCAGCCCGCCGGGCATCATTCTTCTGCAACCCCCGGCCTGCCACGTTGCCAGCCCTCCCTGCAGAATCCTTCCCACGTTGTCAGCCGATGCTCCCCCCAAACTTCCCCAAGCACCTGGCATTCCCCAACGTAGGTGGTCCAAGCGACCCGTTCTTCTAGCCGTGGGAGTGTCGTTGCCGTTTCCTCAACTGGAGCACGTGAGATTGTTACAGATGCGATCGAGTTTCGCAGAGCACAGATCCATCCCCGGTCTCTGGCAACTGGAGGATCTTGATAGTGACCTTGAGAATAACTGCATAGCTTCATGGCCATAGCTATGCATGGTCATCCTCACTTCCTGTGAGCCAGCAAACAATACATAGCAGTATTCCATCGAGTGCTGAATAGCTCAGCGTCAATACATCGCCACAGCACGTAACGTAATAACAAATCACGTATCATTCCTTCATAATCCATATAATCACCATTTCAAGTTATCACAACAAGTTTGATTGAAAATGCAAAAATACAACATTAGAGAAATCTAGAGGTCAATATACTAACGTCCTTCAACACTCAATGGGGTTCCCAGCATCATAAAGCAACTAGACAGTATGGATGCCTGTTCAATGCAGAACACTCAGGCTGCGCATAGGATATCCTGGGTTCGGAAACCTTTTGACGAATGACGGAAATTCAGCCTAGTAGCTGGTTGCCTATTCTATTTCTGGTCAGGGGAGGAAGGTCCCTTCTATCACGGACAAGCAATATTAAGTAAAAGGCTCAAGTATCGGAGAAACTATGCTTCACGTCTACTCCAAGTCAGTAGTGCAAAGAACTGTATATTATACAGGTCAAGCTGAAGCCATGCAAAGTGCAACATAGGTACTACAGGGTAGACAGCGGATATATGTCAGTCATATTATTTGCAAGAAACATGTCTTACTGGTAGTCTGGCTGTCTCTCTGCCAATTTGAACCAGAGCCTCCAGCTCTAAAGACATACCTTGCAGACTTATGTTGAATCCATTGATCAAATTTTTCATACGATCAAGTTTTAAGGACTACTAATAGCAACAGTCGTGCTTGGACGGCTTGTATAAGCTTTCAGCTTCCAGCTTTGAAGTAAGCACCGAGACGAAATTGTAATTGGACGGATTGATACATGTAACTTCGGTACGGTCAAGCTGCTCGAGCAAGCCGTAGTCTACAAGTGCTTCTCGTAGAACTCAATGTTGAAATGCCAACACTGCGGCTGATAATTACTTCACAAGCTAACCAGTGACATTTCGCGTCACATGAGTTCTAAAAGCAAAGAGGGTCGTAAGTGCGCGGGAACCACTGCGTAGCGTCTGCTAGCTCATCAATTCACTATTTAGCAGCTTGTGGGATGTCACTCGAGGTGAGCTTTCCTCTTGGAGCATTTACTTAACTCTCAAAAGTCCAACCGTTTCATCCTGTGGGTTCTTGATCAGCACGTAAGGCTGCTCACGAACCCTTCGAGAGTCTCTCTTGCGAACTAAAGGCCACGGCGATCCTGCATTATTAAGCTGTTCATCTTGATGCCTTCACTTGGTCTCACCTGTTGGATTTCAAACCATTCGACTACATGTCAGCACCGTAGCCAATTTAGGAAACATGCTGCGAGCTGCATGCACGATTCATAAGCCACAAACCAACACTCAACCTTCAGACAGCCACCCAACCACCCCAACCATCAACTTTATCTAGTCTAACGCCAAGAGATATTGCAAATCCGTGGGGGATAGGCTCCCTCGCTTTCGCTCGATGCAAATGCGACCGCTACCTTTACCTGGGAACGATGAAACCGACAACAAAAGGCTTAGGCTACCGCAGACCAGGAGCTTTAGACAGGGTGGTCATGCATACGTCATTATCCAAGCGTCGATTTGGCGTCCACATCTGCGTCTTTGGTTGCATTTTAGACCACCGCTTCGAGGGAGGGGTCGTTTGTCTTCTAAGCAAATCCACTTCTAGTGGAATCTGTGAGATGTTAGTAATGGACCGCCTGCCGTTCTCCACGGCCCACCGCCTGCATGGGATTTAAACCCGTCGGTGTTTACAACATGAGATGAATATATATGTGCACAGTCCTTTGGTCAATTCAACCTCAAGGCATCTTAAGCATATACATCTGTCTAGATATCTCTTGAACCTACCCTATCTGCTATCGACCCCCATTCTCGATTGTAGCTGAACATCATGTCTGGGTTCACCGCACTTCCCAAGGGCTCGCTCATCCTCGTCACCGGAGCCAATGGATACATCGGATCTCACACGATCAACGTCCTCCTCGGACTCGGCTACCGAGTGCGCGGCACAGTTCGATCAGAGAAGCCCTGGCTCAGCGAGTTCTTCCACCGCAAATATGACAAGGATGCCTTTGAATTAGTCCTCGTTCCCAATCTCGAGGACGAGGAGGCTCTTGGCAAGGCCATGGCTGGTGTATCTGGTGTTGCACACGTGGTAAGTGATTATTGAGAGGGTCTGAGAGATGAATCAGAGAGTAAGGAAACCAGCGGCTGATCCACGCGGAGTAGGCGTCCGACATTTCAATGAGTGATGACCCTAAAGCCGTCATCCCCTGGGTCGTAAAGGCGACTGAGACGGCCCTCTCCGCCGCGGCAAAGCACTCGAGCATCAAGCGTTTCGTCCTCACATCGTCTGCTTTTGCCGCCGTCATTCCTCAACCCAACAAGGAGATGCACATTGACGAAAGTACGCTGTGCCCATGAGAACTGAAATCCATTCTCCCGTGATGCTGACTGATTTTCCCTCAGGTACCTGGAACGATTTTGCTATCAAGGCAGCGTGGGACCCGAACACGCCCAAGGAGATCAAGCCCGGCGCGATTTACTCTGCTTCCAAGGCCGAGGGCGAGAGGGCTGCGTGGAAGTGGATTGAGGAGAACAAGCCTGGATACTCGTTCAACACCATCCTGCCCAACTTTAATGTGAGTATCATGTTTAAAATTACTGCGATGGACAACGCTAACGCGGTTCTTAGACGGGAGAGATCCTCCACCCCAACATCGGTGGCTCAACCATGGGCTTCGCTCGGGATCTGCTCAAGGGACAAGGCGGCATGCTCAACGCCTTTATGCCCCGTAAGTCTCACCTCGCCTTCCATCCGTCACATCTTCATGTACGCCAGACTAACGACTTTGGCAGAGTGGTACGTTGACGTAATCGACGTCGCGCGTCTCCACGCCATCGCCCTGCTCGCTGAACCTGTCAAGTCTCAGAGGATCTGGGCCTCAGCACACCCCGTCAACGCATCCGATTTCATTGACGTCTTCCGCGAGCTGAGACCGGACAACAAGCTGATCCCGGAGAAGCAGGCGGACGAGGGACGCGATATCAGCGAGCTTCCCCCAGCGGCCAAGGCTGAGAAGTTGCTGCAGGAGTACTTTGGTCAGGGCTGGACTCCGTTGAAGGAGAGTTTGGCTGCGGGTATCCGTGACTTGTAGGCTTTCAGAGTTACGATGAGGGACGAGTAGTAAACGTTTTCTTAAGTGGCCTTTGCTCGGGTTCAGCAGAGAGGACCAGGTAGAAAGATAATGGGAAGATTTAGATAGACCGAGAAATCACCATGTTCACGAATTTGAACATATCGTTCCACATACGTTCGCTTGGTTTTAATGATACTTGAAAGACCCGGAGAGTTGGGGATATGCCTACTTATGGTTTTAGCTCCGTAGGTTGTCTCCTACGTTTCGAGGGTTGAAGACTGGTGTCGGATTGTACCTTGGGTTAAGATCAAATCAAACCTCCGTAGATATTGTGCATTGAAAATGAAACCGCTCCGAAATTGTAGTTGAACCACAATGTAAAGGGAACGTCGAAGATGAAATTCATTGCTAAGGATATTTTCCCTTGACTTATTTTCGGGGATAGGTGAAGTAATTGGTATTATGAGTTGGTGATGTTTGATTGAGAGTGTAAGGCAAGGTATCATAGGTCACGTGCAGATAAGATAAAGAAGGGACCCGCCTGAAGCTCGGAGTCGGTGCCTTGAATGATGCATTTCCCCCAAAAAAGTAGTAACGCGCCGTCTTGCACGTACGAACACCTTTCTGCGCCGCTTTGAGCCTGGCTAACAGCATGGCCAGCTTTCCAACTTTCGACCCTTCTCGTCTGACGAAGAAGGCGGCTGCTCACTACTCTTCAGAATCAGAGGACGAGGAAGAAGACGATTACCTAGCCCCCGTCACAGACCCGTCGCAAGCCGATGATTACAGCGACTTGAACCCACGAAAGCGCCGTCGCGTCGGCAACACCAAGGAAAGCGCCGCGCTCGGAATCTTTGCCTCAGATAGTGAAGATGACGGTCCTGGGAAGCGATGGAAGAAAAAGACACTTCGCAGCAAGGGCATGAACTTTGTTTCTACCGGCACTACTACTCTCGACGAAGATAACGATGACGACGCGAAAGACACCAATACGAAGGAGTACTCGGACGACTCCAATGCCGATGACGATGAAGACGACGAGGATGATGTCGGAGGGGTTGGTCTTGGATTTGGTGGAGCCCGCGGTGGCCTAGGATTTCAGCCCGCACAGAACGATAACGAGAGTGACGAGGACGCGAAGGCAACTGGCGCCCCAGCACGATCTTTCGCAAAGACAAAATTCGACGGCAAGAATATCCTCGGCCGCGGCTTCGTCCCATCGTCTGCGAACGTGCCGGTCCTGAACCCCGACCTCCAGGACACCCCTTCGATGCCAAAGATGGCCCGCCCAAGCGCATTTGGCGCAAAGGGAGCGAAAGGAAAGCCGAACCCGAAATCGTTCGGTGCGCGGATGATGGCCAAGATGGGTTACCAAGAAGGAACGGGTCTCGGAAAAGAAGGACAAGGTCGAAGCGTCATTATCGAAGCTCACCTCAGACCACAGGGTGTTGGTCTAGGTGCAGTCAAAGAAAAATCAGAGCACGAGAGGAAGGAGGAGAAACGACAAGCAAAATTACGAGGCGAGGAAGTGATAGATTCCGAGGAAGAGGAGAGGAAGAGAAAGCGAGAAAGGAAGAAGAAGGTTGCAAGCGCAGGCGGCAGCAGCAGCGTCAGCACCCCCAAACGACAGAAACCCAAGTACATGACGGCGGAAGAGATCAAGAAGTCTGCCCCGGGACTCCACATCCCAGAGGCATTTGCGCCTATTCTAGATATGACGGGACCCGGGAACAAGCTTCTGACGACTGCTTCTGGACTCTTGACGCCGACTTCTGCCGCAGTTGTTGAATCTCCCGAGCTGGTGGCTGCGCGGAAGCTGGTTAAGCGAGCCCATGCCGACCTAGCAGCCTTCTCGGAGGAGTGGAGAAACCTGGAAGAGCGGAAGACTTGGGTAGATCTGGAACTGCGCGAAAGAGAACAGGAAATGGCGGAGCTCGCCTCAGACTTGGGAAGACTGCAACTGTTTTCCAACATTGTCACAAACGAACTTCCGTTGGCTACGGAATGGGAGGACGTCATTCGCTGTCTGGAGAAGGCTGTTCAGAATATCGGACCAGCGACGGACGAAATCTCGGACCTCGCGGTGGCTGCCATCTACCCCTTCTTCCGCGACCCCGACTGGAACCTACTGGAGGAGCCTACGCGGTTTGCTACTGAGCTCAAGGGTCTTGGAAATTTACTGATGAAGCCTGGCGAGGGCAACAAAGCCTTGGACAAGTGGGAATCCACTAGCCTGAACAGCAACGACCTATACCGCCAACATCAAAAAGCGACAACACCATACGAAACCATGATGTACAAATTGTGGTACACAAGAGCCATGTCTGCCATCCGGGATTGGGATGTTTTCAACCCCGCACCGCTACTGGCTGTGTTGGAGGCGTGGGCAGAACTGCTGCCTCCCTTTGTTCGCGCCCAGTTCCTCGATGCCGTCGTCCGCAAGTTGGAAACAGCCGTAGCGGAATGGAACCCCAAGAAGAAGCGACAAAGCCATAAATTACCTCATCTGTGGCTTTTCCCCTGGCTTCAGTACCTGCCCTCGTATCACCTGGAGCCCAAGGGTACCGGACTGGTGGCCGAAGTACGGAGGAAGTACAGACAGCTCATTGACGTTTGGGAGTTCGACCGCGGCGTGATCCCTGGCCTGGAACAGTGGCGTGATGTGCTCGGTGACCAATGGCGCTCCTTGATCATGGGCCATGTGTTGCCTGCTATGGGACGATACCTGCGCAAGAACTTCAGAGTAGACCCGAGCGACCAAGAGCCATACCTGCCTATGCTCACGGGCGTTCTCGAGTGGTCTGATATCTTGACGCCGAAGGTGCTAGGCGAGGTCATTGTTACAGAGATGTTCCCCCTGTGGCATGAGAAGTTGAGTGAGTGGCTTGGTCTGGAAGATGTCAATTTCGAGGAGATCATGGCATGGTATGAGTGGTGGAGGGACGACGTCTTGCCCGACTCTGTGAAGAACTTGAAGTCCGTTCAAGCAGAGTTCAACAAGGGCATGGGCACCATTGAGAAGGCATTGTAGAACATTACGCTGGCATCGTAGTCGCAGCAGCGCAAGCTTTAGGATCATCACATAGAAGGCATCCTTTGCAATGTCCATTAGTCCCCTTTCCAACTTGATTGCAGTCGGCCGTGTGACGAAATGTTATGGCCTCAATGCATCCAGTGCCGCAAATGGAAGTGTCCATCTTACGAGGTAGTTAGACCATCGATTTGGATTGAACCTGTGTTATTGTGACCATGCAAGAGAGCTTGATCTCGAAACCATTAACAATTCTTCGATCGCGTTTCGCACGGATGCAGTTGACATGACACATGCCATCTAAGCTTGATCCACTGGACTCGTCCGGACATTTCTCCCGCAAGTGACCCCTCGCTACATATCCAATGACTGGGGTCACGATCACATTTGACGTTACTATTAGCTAAAATGAACAGGCAGACTCGAGGCCAAGCTTTTAGAGAAACAGGATAAGCAAGGGAGCATAGACGTGGGACACGGGTGTCGTTGCAGCCAAGCACCAGTCAAGCACGAGCCAAGCTCATGATGAAGGTTCATCCGCTAGGCAATCGTCGTTGAGTAGAGAAAGACAAACCGTTTGATGGCTTCCTTGAGATGTGATGGCTGGACTTGGCGGTCTATAGGGTAGTTTCCTGCGGCACTTGAAGTTGGGGCGTTTCCTTGGCGGTGTGACACGCGAGCTTGATCGTCAGTGAACGTGGCAGAAACGCCCAGAGGTGTCAATGGTGATGAGAGGGAGAACCTTGGCTTTTGAGCGATGCTTCAGCGCGATTAGTCCTCGAGGTAGTATGGCATGTCATCGAGGAAGAGCGTAAGCTTTTGTGACGGCCGTCAACAGAGCTCAAGAGGGAAGATGGAAGCTTCTAAAGGCCGTCACTTGCTGATTATGGTCAGTGTCAGTTCACGCAGGATATCCGATCCGACCAAGATGGTGATGAGATGAGCGCCTATTTCTGAAGTCGGTTTGAGACGAGAACCCCTGGACATGGCGATCTTGGGGGCCAATCATCTCTGATTATGTAAATGCCACCCGTTCATCAGAAAAGGAGGAGCTGAAGAAAAGCCAAAGAGCTAAAAGCAATCAAGGTTCGGGAAGTGGGAGCCTCATCCCTCCATCACCCCTACCACCCCTACCTAAAGGCTACCACGTCTTCGACCCTGGTCACTTTTCTTCTCCCTCTCCCAAGACCCGAGTCCTCATCCTCCTCTCTTCGAGCCCACGTCACCATTTCGAAACATCGACAGCCGTGAAACCTGGGGGGCGCTCTACCCAGCCTGGCTCTGACCCAGACCGACTGTCTTCGGATGAGCCCCAGTCTACACTACCGTAGCACAAGCCACTGGGATTCTGGGAATTCTCTTCAATCAATGTTCAGTTGACGGCGACATCGGACAGGCACTGCCCCTTTTCACCGTCCTGAACATGCGATGGCTTGCCCGTAGAGTCCTTGCCAGATCTCGCTCCGCCCGGCAACGCGCTACTCCGGGTCAATATGGTTCCACGAGACCCGCAAGACAAGACTTTTAACAGCGGCATGAGCCTATTTGGGTGTTTACTCCCGCATCCTTGGGGGTCTATTGACAATCTCGAAGTCCGGCTCGACAGACAACTTCGGAAACGCGGAGGATAGTTATGAGAGAAACGAACGCCAAAGTCGATGGATCATGGCACGAGGTATACCTCCAGTCCTCGACCAAGCAATCCTTCGGGGTTTGCGTGCATCAACTCACTACCCAAGGCCGAGCGACGAGTGAATAACTAATGATCATAGTTCCATGATCCGACGTGATGATGTCCCGCAAAAGTTTCCGTACCAGACGATCAAGCCCCCAAACCAGGAAGAGTACAGAGTATAGCTCTGGCCCCCAATAGCGCAGAGAGCCAAGGTAAGACACGGCGGCAAGCATGCACGCGGCCATCACCAGTTGAGCCATCAATGGCACTGGGTCTACAACTTCAGTATGGCTTTGAGATACAATTATGTTCATCACTATTCCCCGCTGAGCTCAGCGGCCGGCGAACAAGACCTGATTAGGACTATTAGGTGCATCTAGCTCTTGGCAAAAGGACAAGGCGCTAGCCAGACGGGCAAGTAGCATGGCGAAGCAAGACATTGCTCAACGATGCTACTCACCACCTGAGTCCAGCATGCATCGATGATACTCGAGCATCATTATGATCACCTTAGGCACGTCTCCCACAAACGCCACGGACCTGTCATCTGTAGTTCAGACCATCGGTGAGGCTCCACTAGCACGGGCCCTACAACGTTGTGCGGCACTTGGCATCGTCTCATCGTCTCTCAAAACAGGGGCTGGCCGGGGTTCAGACTAGCCCCCGAATAGCTTCATTGGCGCCTCTCTCTGTGTCTTCTCTCCACTTGAACTTGCTCCTCAAGCTTCAGCTTCACGTCTCTATTCTGTGGCGCTGCTAGCTGTCCAATCCTGCCATCCCCCAGATCGCACGGCACTTGTCATCATCCCCCTTGTCTCGGTGACCACATGGTCTCCCGCGTCTTGAGACCGGCCAGGAGCGGCCTTCATTCCCGACCGAGAACTCCTCACCCCATCCCCGTCTCAAAAATACGGTTATTTCACTAGCGTGAGGCTGTATTGGTCTACTCCTACCGGTGCCATTCCACGCAACATGGATCGTGTTTGGGCCCAGTCCCGCCAAGTTGGCACTAGCTCGACTTACCCCGGCCAGGTCAACCTGCCTTTGGGACATCTGACAAGCTGTCTAGGGGGTACATATCGATGACTTCCCGTCCGTCGACTCGTTTGGTGTTGAGGGATGATCTCGAGTCTTCTAGGGCTGACGTCTCGTGGGAGTTTGCTTGCTTTGCTCACCTTTCGTCTGTCTTTTTCTCTTCGTCCTGCCTTGACGGCACTTTACCTTCTTTTTTGCCCAGGAGGCTTTGCTATTCTAATCTGGTTCTGTAGTCCAGAGGCAGGTCCCTGGTGTTCTATTCTAATAATCATGTCTGAGCGATCGTGTCCCGTGTCTGGATCCATGGGTGGTGGAAGATGTCCCGCAGGTGCACATGGCCAAACAGCGAATCGACGGGTTGGACCGCGAGGTTGTTCCTTCTCAGGATATACTCAGCAAGGAGATCTCCATGCTGCTTTTGATGTAAGTTGTTGTCTCGGTCATGAATATCTATCATAGCTGACCATACCAGATACCACGAGGAGTAGATGTTGATGAGTGGCTACGTGCCAGGTGAGACCTCCTCCTTAGGATGTTACGGACAGGCTACTTACAAGATAAAGGGAGAGAAAGGCCATCAACGAAATTGTCTACTCGGACATCCCATCGGCGGACCACATCGCCCAAGTGAAGAACGTCGACACTCTCGTTGCCGATGACAGAGACCTCTTAGCCGTTGCCTTGGGCGCACCAGCTCGACAAGTCATTCTTCGAGCCGAAGGGGTAGGATCTCAAAGTGGATGGAAGGACGGATACCTCAGCGCCGAGTATGGCTTCAACGCACCCGACTCAAACGAAGCTGCCGGAGCCCTCGCCAACTGCCCTGGACGCGTCTGGTCCGATCTATGCGAGAGGATGCCCGGTTGTGTCTCACGAGGGCGCGTTAGAGAGTCGGTCGCTGCTCTTCCCCTCGTCGAAGGAACCGAGGAATATGTCCCGGATCAAGCCCTATGGGCTGCTATCGTGGCTCTGGGCATGTTGTGTTCTATTTACCGATACGAAGACAAGAATGATGGATACGACGGTGTCAGCATCAACTCGATCTCTACCAAGCCTCGCGTCGAAATGAGCGACGACCTCGGACCGGAACTTGTAGGAATCCCGAGAACCATCGGACTACCATATTGGCAGGTCTCACGACGCATGGGACGGGCTATTCCCCATCTGACCTTCTTCGACCAAGCGTCCTACAACATCAAAGTGCGCGATCCGACTTCCGTCTACCCGTATGTTGGCCGCTTCGACAATACCGATCTCCGGTGGCCCATGTTTGGAGAGCGTACCGAGATTGCGTTTTTGAAGGGCTGTGCCGACACTTCGGGTAAGTCCAAATACCATCACAATAATTCCCAAGACACTAACCTGATATGTGTGCAGCATCCTTCCAACACGGCCCAGATGCCATAGCCGCTTGCCAAGAGCACGTCATGAACCGAAACAACGAGGGCCTGTTGAGGGAGATGATCAGACTCAAGGAAATCCTCGAGAGGATGCCGAACGCCTTCCACTCCATCTCAACCAACCCCAACTCGGGCGACAACTACGTCTCGGCGGCCGAGTGGGTGCGATGGGGCAAGTTCTCCGCGCCACTGTCCAAGAGGTGCCCTGCCGCTTCCGGTCTTCAGTTTCCGCCGTACCTTCTCATGGACGCCTTCCTTGGCCGCAAGAAGTACGATTCGTTCCTCGGCAACGAGGGTTTGCACCTGCGCGCGTGGCTACCGTCTAACTTGCGAGCTTTCATCGCCTCTGTCGAGTACCACTATCGGATTCCGGAGTACGTCAGAGAGTCTGGAGATCCACGACTCATGGGCGTCCTGGATGGAATCATCGAGGCGTACACGGGTGAGCGAGGTTTTATGGGCACACATAGGTATAAGGTGTTTGGTATCCTCGAAGTCGCCTCCAAGACTGGCCGGACGGAAACAAACGGTGCCTCTGGCGCCTCTGATGATTCGGGAAGACCGTGGGAGGAGGTGCACCGCCAATTCTCGGATGCCATGAAGGAACGCCTGGAGCCTTACCGTGGGAACATTCCCGTCGAACCCCATGAGATGCGCGGAACCTTTGAGGAGTGTCGGTACAAGTCGCGGATACTCTCTCGATCTTTTGTCGACTCGGACCATGATCGGTCAATCTCCATGGTCACACTTGATCTCCATAACACCGGCATCACGTTCCAGCCGGGCGACAGACTCGCAATCATGCCCCTTAACAGCTGGGAGGAATGTGCCAAGGTAGCTGCGGCGCTCGGTTTGGACACGATGCTTGAGAACCCTGTTCTTCTCGACCGCAAGTGGTCTCGATTTGCTGAGCACTTGGAGACGGTCTCTAATCACGGCGTTGCGAGCACCTCCACAAAGACAAGGAAACTCATGGTCAAGGATATCCTCCGCCGAGGTCACCTGGCCCCGCTGACCCAGGATCTCGTCCTCAAGATCCACGCCATGCTGAGAGCCTCGTCGAACACCGTGCTCCAGGTATTGGCGACTGAGGAGTGGCCGGTCCGTGGCTCACTGGGTGACCTTCTACAAGCCGCTGTCATGGACACACCGACGCACATTTGGGACCAGGCATTCGACCTGTCCAATGACGTGGCGTGGCTTAGCGACCTCATTTCGGTCGAGATCCCGCGCACCTACTCCATATCCAATTACCCCGAGGAGCTACTCCCAAGCACTGTCGACCTCACAATCTCACGGGCAGAGTATAAGCTCTGCGCCACGTTTGCCGGAAAGTCTGATATCTCACGATCGGGCGTGAGCAGTGGCTACCTCAACCCACCCGTAGGCTCACCAGATGACTTCATCGCCGACGAAGACGAACTGCTCGTCGGTATCTCCAGACCCATCGCCTTCCAGCTGCCTCTTGATGGCGCCGCCCCCTGCGCATTCTTCGCCGGTGGCAGTGGCATTGCCCCTTTTAGGAGCTTCTGGCAGGCTCGTGCTGGCCGCTCAGTTGGAAAGAATATGCTTTTCCTGGGTGTCCAGAACCGGGAAAAGTTTTGCTACGAGGATGAGCTCCGTCAATACGTCAATGCGGGGCTCATGGAAGTCCATCTCGCGTTTTCCCGTGATAGCCGCGGTCTTGCGTATGACCCCATCATGAGAGACCTCATCGAGCGCCGTACTGAGCCACGATACATCGACTCGCTCATCGCAGAGCAGGGAGCTAGCGTGTGTGACTTGGTCATGTCCAAGAAGCAGGGCGGCCTCGGAGGGTATCTGTACATCTGCGGCTCCGTTGATGTCTTTGACTCCGTTATGAGCGGGCTGCGCAAGGCCATTTATAACCACCGGACGGCGACCATGGAGTCTACGGATCTAATCATCAACACCGCCTTTGCCGAGCGGCGGATCATGTTGGACGTCTTTATGACTCCGAAGCCGCTCCCCTGTAATCGACCAACGATTCCACTCTCACAGCTGTCCGTCCATACAGGACATAGACCTGGAGGAAGAATGTGGATTGCCGTTCACGGCAGTGTGTATGACGTTACGGATTTCTCCCCTATGCACCCGGGAGGCACTCTGATTATGAGGTCGAATGCAGGCGTGGACTGCACGAAATCCTTCGACAATTTGGCGCACACGAACAACCCGGAGGTGGCCAGCCTACTCACAAAGTACTTCATCGGCCATCTGACCCCCAAGCCCGAGTACCACGACTGCGAGGAGATCAGTGGTCTGTACGATATGTGGTCGGCCTACCTACGAACGACCGTCGAGACACTCGTCTCTCAGCAATTCGAAATGGACGACATCCTCGGCTCGTCGAAGCTCTGGTTCCAGGGCAGCCTCATCAACATGCTGGGTGTGCGCATCTTCTACCAATACCAGTCTCGCCTCCTCCAAGGAGGCTTTTCGGCCCTCTTCGGACCCAAATTCCAAGAGATCGTCCTCAAACTCTCCTTCACGATGGCCAACGCCGCCTCCGTCGGATCCGATACCAAACTCCCCGACATCCTCGGCATCATCGCCAGGGCCAAAACCTCCACCGACGCCGTGACAACCTCCAAGGAAGTCTCGCGCATCGGCCAATTCATCTGCGACAGCGAACCAGCCCGCCTCATGGAGCGCGGCATCATGGACTACGCCAACAAGTCGGTCCAGCTCGACATTGAGCTCCTCGAGGACATCCGCGAGGAAGCCTGCCACGGCATGGACGCCTTCGACACGGTCATGAACCTCGAGTCCTCCTCCCAGTCCCAGCGAGTCACCGTCCTCTGCCAATTCCTCATGCAGACCCTCGAGCGCATGGCCAAGCGCCTCGAGGTCTTTTATTCCAAGCTGGCACAGTGCTCCATCTACCACCCTGAACTCGAGCGCAACCCGGCCCGCACCCGCTGGGACCTCGTCAAGCGCCGCGTCCGCGATGGGTCCTTCTTCATCCTCACCCAGAGCACCGTCATCGGGGGCGCGCCGTCCTACAAGTCCTCCGCGGCCGCGGGCGATACGGTGGTATTCGACAACGTCCTCTCGCAGATCCAGCAAACAATCCGCAACGCGCCTCATATACCTAGCCCGCCGCTGCAACAGCAGCAGCAGCAGACAATGCATCTCAACGAGCGACATCGCGTGCGTACAGAAGCACCCCTCAACGGCGCCACGGCCTTCGAATCCCACCAGAACAGCAACGCCCTAAACCGCATGTCCACCTTCATCGACAAGAACATGCGCGCCATCCGCCGCCTGAGCAAAATGCCCCCGATGCCCCTCAACATGACCTTTGAGCAAATGGTCGCGGCCAATCAGCCGCAGTTCCACGCCAACGGGGTCACGACGCCGCCTTCGAGCCGCGGTTCGAGCCGCTCGCCTACACGGGGCCGTCTCCCTGCTACAAACGCGCTGCATATCCAGGGCTTCGCTCGCTCACGTACGCCGTCGTTAGCGGAGGAGTCGATGAACCGCATCACGCTTAATCGGCGCGGCACAAACAGCTCAGAGGGCTCGCGGTCCGGCTCGTCGCTCTCGCATCACCAGTACGGTCACCACGGGCAGCATGGTGCGATACCGATGATGATGGCGCACCACGGGCACGGCGGCATGCCTCACCACTACCCGCCTACACCTATCGCGACGCCGCCGCTGGACCCCAACACGGCGATTCAGTCGATGGTCAGCAGGCTTAATCTGAAGTCGAGGAGCGTCGCGGGGTCGTCGCCCGCGTCGCCGGCCTTGTCGCTGGACGAGAAGGGCCGGGTGGCGCGCATGTCTGCGCAAACGGCTGCTTCGGCGCATAACCCACGGAACCGGTCGACGAGCACGCTGAGGTCATTTAAGTTGAGGGAGTTGGTGGCGAACCAGGAGCCGACGAGGGTTGCGCCGACGTTTTAGACTTGGGTGGTCTTGGGGGAGATGGGTATGCAGTGAGCGATCTGAAAAGGAGTTTAGTAGCGCAGACGTGATATGTAGCATGTTATCAAATTGATTAATTGTAACTTTCATGATGACCAACGAAGATGGAAACGACTGTTTGATTTGTCTTGAGGACTGTACAGAGATTCTCTTGCACGCCGTAGCTATAGCACATATCCAGACGTCTCATGTACCAACGGTGATGAGCGTGGTCTATGCAGTTCGGCTGTTGTAACTTTCTGAGGGACATTCTGCCGTCTGCGGGACTGATTGTGTTCATCTCAATGTTGGAAACATATCAAGAGAAGTGGGAGTGCGGCTCTTCAAAAGTCCAAATTCAACCTGTTTATTGCTTCATTGTAGTATAAGTTACTGGCTGCAAAGTGTATGACTACCTCAGGTAAGCCATCTTCATCTCTCATGTACTCTGAGGCCGCCCAATGCCACAAGTCATCCTCTAGTCCTTTCTAGGATGAGGATCGAAGGAGTTCTTACAACTAAGCATCGACGACCTGCACTAAGGTCAGCATGAGCCAACAACCAACTGGCCTCTACCTCAGCTTGCAACAGCCAAAGTCTGGTCGCAACAACTCTGTAATGAAACAATTTGACTAGTGGAAGAATTGGGATAATGCATGGCTCTCGACCCAAAGTCAATGACAACAATCAAGCCACAGGCAATGTATGAAGGAACATAAAAATGCAGGAGAAGGCCTCGACGGGCCCAAAGATCGTCCCAAGTGTGGCGAGTGCAAACGTGGCTGACGCACCGGAGTGTGGCTGAGTCCTGCACTCCACACCACCACGTGCCCAATTAGGTAATAAAGGTACAAGGATACTTGGGGCACCCAGTCCCGCGCCCAGGCCGGCGAACTGCACATCACACACTTGGCTCCAATCATCTCCAGTCAACCTACCAAGGAACGAAAGGAACCCGGGCGAGTATGACATCGCCACATCCAAAGCTCCCTCGCCTGCCAGTCCTGCCAGTGTCTTTCTCTCAGTCCGTCTGCTAGCCAGCACACTTGGCCTCAAGTCCTGGACCACCGACCAGAGGCCAACATCGAACATCAGACCAAATGGCCAATATGATATCACCCGCTTGGCACGCACCCGTCTCGTCTCGCATTTCTACCACGCTGGCAGGCCGCAGCATCGCCCGTCCATCGTGCCCGTCCCCGTCTCAGCATGATTGCCAGACAAGGACCACCCCCGGCCGACGGCGTCCATACCCCCCCGACTGCCCGGTCCTCTCTGTGTTCTCTGCTCTTCTACAGCTTCTGCAGAGCCCACTTTCAATCACTCCCTCTGTTTCCATTTCGTGCCAAAGAAGGCTGGAGGAGTTCTTCGGTCTCGCCATTCGTAACAATTGCAACAGGGACATGTAGTTGCAAAAATCCACCCAGGCCCGGTTGTGTTCCGTGAGTGAGTGGACGTGTGTAAGTGTCGGGGTGTCACTGTCACTGTTCCCATCCCATCTGAACATCCAAACAGGGCTGCGCGGTGCCTGCGTCTGGTGCAGCTCGCTCGCATGCACACAAGCACATGCACATCCACGCCTTTTTGCCTCCCTTCCCCTCTACCCTTCCCATCTGATCTTCCAGCGGAGAATGGAGTAGACAAGCGAAGGAAGCAAGCGGCGGCGGTGCCCGGGTACGCCGGTGTGAGTGTACACAGTAGCAGAGACAGGCAACAGAGAAACAAGGTTATTACGGCACCATCCCTTACCCATTTACTTTTCTATTCGTGTCATTGGGCGGAGTGCGCGTAGGAAGAGTGAGGAAGGCAGTGCCACCCATCGTAGAGTTTGGATATAAGTCACCACAGCCCGAATGCTTTTGCCTCGTCACCTGCCTCTCATTCACCTGCTTCTCATTTCTTCCACTTCCAGGTTGACTTTTGTTCCCCTTTCCACGTCCCTCCCTTTCTTCAACCTAACCTCGCTCCGCCTACTCTCCCTCACCACCACGACACAAACCACAAATCTCGAAGCAAGCAGAAAAAATGGACAAACCAACCCACAACCCCGCCACCCCGGCCCCAGCCAACATCCCAACACCGGACCCGAACCCGTCAGACAACTACACGACCTCCGGCCCGCCCCCAGAATACCAACAACACCAACACCAACACCAACACCTCAACGCCCAACCCACCGGCACCTCGATGCCAAAATACGGCGGCCCATCCCCTCACAGCCCGCCCCCTCCCCAGAACTACGGAGGCTACGTCCCCCCGCAAAGCTACCCCCTCCAAAACGGTGGGCCCCAAAACTTCCAGCCCTACGGCACCCCGCTGCCTTCCCTCGGCCCCCACCCGGCGCCCGTCGAGTGTCCCGAGTGTCACGCCCGCGGCGTCACGGCGGTGGAGTACTCCTCTGGCGGCTTCACGCACGCTCTCGCTGCGCTGGTGTGCTTTGTGAGCTGTTTGGGGTGTATTCCCTACCTCTTCTCTTCGTTGAAGGATGCGAGACATAAGTGTTCCAAGGTAGGTTTATTCCTCTACAACAAAGTCATTAAGAGAAGCAGGGACTAACAAAGCGCAGTGTGGAATTCCGTTGGCGACGTATCACCGCAGCGGTAGGACTGAAGTCCATTGGCACCAGGCTTATAATGCCTAGGCGTCTAGGAAAGGCGGCAATCCAGTGGGGCCGGGCAGGATAGGAGCTTACAACAAATCCAGTCAGGGGCGGTGGTAGGGCTACGAAAGCCGGCGGAGAACTTGACCGAGACTGAGGTGGATGGGTTGGAGCAGTATAGTTGGGGTCGAACCAGTTTGATTATGCGAGGCGTAGAGGATACCCATTCTAGTTTTTTTCTTTTAAGAACACGAGTTCGCGCTTGAAGCGGCTGCATTCTATTTCATTCAAAGGTTTCCACTTGCTGGCGCTACAGTTTTGCCGTTTTATACACTCTACCTCTAGAGCTGGGCTGCGAGCGTATGACCACAGCCGAGATATCGTTGACGGAGCTTATTTCCACGCATTTCTGTACTGGAATCATTCACTCTCTTGCAGTTTCCCGTCCAACATCATATCAAACATCAGTCCTCATACGAGGCGAGAACCAAATTGAAAGCCCAGCGAGGACATGTTGCGGGTATCTATTCGATCATGTACAAGCTCCCCTAAAATCTATATCATCAGCGAAGGCATCACGTAATCGTCAGATCGTACGCCGTACTTTTGACCCCTTTTGACGCCTGCCTCCGGTTTGCCCATGCTTCTCGTGTGAATCGTTACGCCATGATCCTGTATTTGCTCCCGTCGCGATTACTCAAGTTGGCGACTCGGCATCCTGTGTACACGCGATGTAAACACCGCGGGGGGAGTCGCCCTCGGCTCATCGCGACGTTATCTTGTGTTGTCATCTGCCCCATATGCCATATGTCTTCTGTCGTGAAACGTCCTCAAAGTGAGGGTGCTGTTTAGTTGGCGAATATGCGCACGTTCAGGTCGACACTTCCCGTTGCGATGACGCAGCGTATTGAGACGTCCTGAGGCTTTGCCGCCGCTTTGCTCGGTGTTCCGTTGGCGCCATTGGCACCATCGCCGTTGGTGGCCGCCTCCCGTGCAATGCCAGGGGCCCAGCGCAGACAGGAAACAAAGTGGCCGTGAACGTCGTCGAGAACCTTGACGCACTTCCCCTCTTGCGCCAGATCCCAGCATCGCAAAGTCTTGTCATCAGACACACTGAGCAAGTACTTGCCGCCGGGGTGGAAAACGAGCGCGCGTACCCAATTGTCGTGTCCCAGCAGAGTCTTGATGCAGTTTCCACGAGCATCCCATAACCTGATTGCCTTGTCACGGCTGCCCGTTGCCATGAACTCGGCCGTGTTCGTTGCAGGCGGAGCCTTCTTCAGACCGGCTAATGAGGCCAAGTGACTGTACGCCGTCGGCGGTGCGAGCGTGCAGCATTCCACAACGTGCTCGTGGCCGACCAGCATTAACTTGACTTCGGGGTTTGAGGCACTGATGTCCCAGAGGCGGCCCGTCTGATCGTTCCCTGTTGACAAGAGGTAGCGTCCATCCGGCGATGGACAGACGTCTCGTACCCAATCCGCATGCCCGCGCAGTGTCTTGACGCAGTAGCCCGTTGATACATCCCAGATTCGCAGTGTCTTATCACGACTCGCCGACACGAGAAGATTTCCCGTGGCACCTGCGGCCCCCGAAGGAATGAACCGAACCGCACTGACGCTGTGGTCGTGGCCAGGCAACGTCCGAATATTCTTGTACTCATCTGAGGGGTCCCATAGCTTGATGGTCAAATCACTCGAGCATGAGGCAAGCAGCGTCGCACCGCGGGGCCCTCCAAAATCAACATCCAAAACGGCCTTTGTATGTCCCTTGATCGTCCTCTCGAGTTCGCCCAGCTCCCAGTCCCAGATCTTAATAGTATAGTCTTCCGAGCCAGAGGCAAGCGACGAAAACACGGGGTGAAATGCTACGCAGGTAATAGGGTCGCGGTGGGATTGCAGGGTGTGTCGGGCGGGGGAACGTGGCAGCCAGCTAGTAGGGTCCTGATTTCGTCGAGATAGTGAGGTCGGTGTCGCATTGTCGAGTTCTGATTGCAGAGAAGCACTTCGAGACTCGAGTTCCATGATCTAGAGAGAACAATGTTGGTCAGCGACGCTGGAAGCAATCGTTCAAGGCCACAGGGGATGAAACGAACCTTTTTCTGCAGTCGCACTACACTGGTCCATTTCTTCTCCAGCAATCCCTCATATTTCTTCGAAGTGGCAGCATCGAAAGAGTCGCCAATCTGCAATTCTTCTCTGAGGGCATTTGCGGCATTAGGGAGGTTGCTCGAGGAGAGATACGCGATAATGGCCTTGTGCCTGCCACCGGCTGGTCAGTATGTCGTGTCCACGGCCACTCTTTGGGCGAAGAGGAGGGGAACCTACAGCTCCTCTGCTTGCCGAGGGGTGAGGATTTGGCTCATCCTGGCAGACGGTGGAAGCTAGGTAAGTAACGGATTGCTTGCAAGTAATTACAAAGTTGAGAGGCACTGGTGGCACAAGATGGCACACACGAGCAGATGGAAACGAAAGATGTGTGATTTGGTGGTTTGTTATCGAGGTGCGTCTGCAAGGCGGTGCTCGGGGCTCCGTCTGTCGGTGGTGGTGGTGGTGGTGGTATCGCAGCAACCGCGATGGGCGCGCCACGTGCAATCGGAGGTGGCAGAAGCTGGCCGGAAGGAAAGACGAGGCTGATGGAAATTCGGAGGCGGTCGGGGAGGACAGGAATTGGTAGCCTCGTTAGTCGGATATTTTATTGCAGCGACGGCAGGATGCAGAGGTCAGGCAGGTCAAGGTCGAATTGGCGGGGACCAGGGCCAAGTGGCAGATATTCGCGGAGTTGTAAAGGCGGTGTCGGTGTTGTTGGTGTCCAAGCTCTCGATATTCTTTGGCTGTGCAAGGGTGGATAGTTCCTCTCTGTGTGTGTGTCTTTCCTTCAGCGGGTGTTTTCAGTCAGGGGTTGGGCTCCCAGGCGTTGGGCAGCATATCTTTGTGCGTTATAACAGCAGATTGCAGGATTGAATCGAATCGTCTCTTGCAGAGTACGTGGGTATTTCTAGAAAGCAGTGACTTTTTGGAGGGGAGACAATATGTCCAAGAATGCGAGGCGAGACGAGGCGAGGGGTGCAAGTGCGAGGCTCGGCCAAAAGATGACGCTTGAAGGTGGGCAGGAGCCGGAAAGGCGAAATGTTTCATGTGCTTCGGGCTGCGTTGGCTGCGTAGGGAACTCCCTGAAGAGTTGGTGGGAGAAGAGGCGGTGCGTACGGCACTGGCGGGGGGCCCTCCGATATGCGAGTCCCAGATATTTTGTAGGCTGTATCCGTACGGAGTATGGGACCCTGGGGAAACTTCTTGGACGACGACGAGTGTTCAATGCGTGTGGCACTGGCAGAGGGAAAAGATGGGAGAAAAGAGGTCAACCCTGTTTGGTGGGGTGGGATGAAGTGTGGCTGGTGCAGCGCAGAATGGGAGCTTTGGAGATGGAGACGACGGTGTGGCTGGTATTCGGCCAGCCTAAGGTACCCTAGCATCAAATCTCTCAGCCGGGCTTCAGGCTTGCCAGCTGGCACGCTGTGGAGGGCTGAAGATGTACTGTACGTCCCTCTTTCCCCCAATGACATCACAGTGCTGGATCGTTTCTATGGCAATAGACAGAGCTTTGATTGGCCTGAGATTCTTCAGCATCAATATGTGGTGCAGCCACTTTTTGAGGTAAGGCAGTTGTCGCAGTTGACGATGTGCCAGCCAACCAGCCAATTTGTTCGTTTATTTCTTCAGAGAGAAGACAATTGCAGCGTTAGCACCGATGGGGTCAAACTACTTCACTAAGCCTCAGGATGGAAAGGCCTGATTCATGCCATGATTTGCCGTCTTTAAATGAGTGGATATGTTAGAGTGGCTTACAACAGTCATTAATGCGCAAATTGAGCAAGCGCATCTTGGGTGCTGGGGCCGGGAAGCAGAGAGGAGGAAAAGAAAGCAATTTGATTGAATAGCTGGCCCTGGCATTCATGACTAAGGCTCAGAGGGAACAAGCACACAAGGTAAGCCCAAGGTGAGGCCAAGGTGAAGATGGGTGAAGAAAGGTGAACAGCCAATGCCCCGCCATGCATGCTATCAAATCTTATCGACTGGTAGAGAATTGAAAGTCATCATGTGATCTGTGTTGACCCGGGAGACCAGCGACCCAATCATATTCATGCCCAATTGCCCGATGCGCGCCCAGCTGCTGTGTTTCCCCCCACACACAAACACGTCAGGCCAGGAACAGGGAGAAAACAGCACCCAATGCAGGCGCCCACCACCAACTGGCAACCCTGACAGGACAGAAGCCTTGAGGTGGACGGTGAACCCCATCCAAGCAAAGCACCTGCTGGGCCCGTCCACTCCGCCCTTGTCCCGACAACCAAAATTCCCTGTGCTCCTCGGACCAGCACAAACAAAAGAAACCCCAGCCGTACTTTTCCTCCACATTCCACAACCCTCAGACTGGCGACGTTGGCTTTGTACCTTCACCTGCAACAACCACGCTACGGGAACTACCTCTAGTCTCCTTTTTCTCTGTCATCTCCAAGACCTGATTTGACTTCCTCCAGTCCCGGTCCCTTGTTTCCACGAGAACCACCACCGCACATACCTCAGATATCTCGCTCTCCCCTTGCCTATTCCTATTCCTACACTCCTAGGAACCTTCTTTGCAATCTCCAACAGCTCAAAGGATACTTCAACAGCTCGCACCCACCTCGCCAACTGCCAGGTACCAATCCCACATTGGCTTGACGATCAACAAGTCTTTGGCTGCTGCGACAACCTCGAACTCACCTGATCTGGTCCAGCTTGACCATCATTCTGTAAGTCATGCCAGTCTCTTGCGCCCATATTACCACAGACATCGCCAGTCACTGCGCCTGCAGCTGCCGGCAGCCTGCATACCATTGCGTTCTGCAGCTTGTGACTGTCCTTCTTCCTCAATATGGACCGTCATCTCAAACATACTCGTTCCCTCTCGAGGCTAATCAGACGTGTAGCTAGCTTCAGAAAGCCAGACATCAACGACAAGGAGAACTGCTCCCCCGAATCAGCTCTTCTTCCTCCTCCTCCTCCTACTACTCCAACCCCTCCACCACCCAAACCGGTCCCTCCTATACCCCGCCAGCAAGCCTCCATTCCGATGGCTGAAGAAGAAGACTTTAGCTCCCTTCCCCTCCAGGATAGGTTTACCCACAAGGTATGACGTTGCCGCCTCTGCTGCGCCGTGTTTGATGCGCTGACGCGCCGCAGGTTTGGAAAGTCAGAAAGCAGGCCTATGAAGACGCCGCAAAAGCCTTCGCTGCTACTGCCGACGAGTACGACAATGCCTTCAGACCCTTCCTCTCCGACTCGGGCCTCTGGAAAGGCGCCGTCGCCGATTCCAACGTTGCTGCCCAACAAGATGGTCTGGCGGCGTACTGCGCGTTTCTTAAATTCGGAGGAAAAGAACACTGCACAAGGACGCGCGGAACTACGATAGGGCCTATCTGCGAAAAGGGTTTGCCGTCAACGCGTGCCGCTGCCAAGGAGTCATCTCTCGAAGCCCTTCTATTACTCGTCGAACTCGATGTTGCCGCCCCAGTCATCGAAGAGATTATCCCCGCGCTTGCCAACAAGCAACCCAAGGTTGTCGCCGCGGCTATTACCGCTCTGACCGCGATCTACCACAACTTCGGATGCAAGACCGTCGACCCCAAGCCCGTTCTGAAGGTCCTCCCCAAGGCATTTGGTCATGCCGACAAGAATGTCCGTGCTGCCGCGACGAACCTTGCTGTCGAATTCTACCGATGGCTGCGCGAAGCCATGAAGCCCATGTTTTGGGGTGATTTGAAACCCACTCAGCAGACCGACCTCGAGGCGCAATTCGAAAAGATCAAGGCCGAGCCAGCTCCGAAGCAAGAACGATTCTTGCGCTCACAACAAGCCGCCATGGCACGTGCGCCCCCGCCCGGAGCCGACGACGAGTACGATGATGGTGGAGACTATGGCGAGGAACCTGCCGAGATGGACGCCTTCGACCTGGCGGAACCCCAGGATGTCTTTGGCAAGATCCCCGCCAACTTTAACGAAGCCTTGGCCTCGTCCAAATGGAAGGAGAGAAAGGAAGCAGTGGAAGGTCTCTACGCGGCAATCAACGTGCCAAGAATCAAGGATGGCGACTTCAACGAGATCAACCGAGGGCTGGCAAAGTGCATGAAGGACGCCAACGTTGCTGTTGTGACTCAAGCCGCGCAGTGTATCGAGGTCTTGGCCAAGGGATTGCGTCAAGGCTACGCGAAACACCGCACTACTGTGATGCAACCCATCATGGAACGCTTGAAGGAGAAGAAGGCAACGGTGGCGGATGCTCTCGGCGCCGCGCTTGACCAAGTCTTCCTGGCGACAAGTCTGACTGACTGTCTCGAAGACATCAACACCTACCTCGTCCACAAGAACCCCCAGATCAAGGAGGGCACTATGAAGTTCTTGATTCGTTGCCTGAGAACAACACGCGATGTGCCGAGCAAGCCCGAGATCGCGTCCATCGTCGAGGCAGGCAAGAAACTGTTGACCGAGTCCAGCGAGGGCCTCCGTTCAGGCGGTGCTGAGATTTTGGGCACTGTTATGAAGATCATTGGCGAGCGCGGTATGGGTCCGCACATGGAAGGCCTAGATGATATCCGCAAGACGAAAATCAAAGAATTCTTCGAAACGGCTGAAGTCAAGGCAAAGGAGAAGCCGAAGGCACCCCCGCCAGCTGCCAAGGCACCGCCCCCGAAGAAGGTCGTCGGAGGGAAGAAGCCCCTGGGCATGAAGAGACCGGCTATGCCGGCGGCAAGCGCTCCGCCGCCCGCAGACCCGGAACCCCTCTCCCCACAAGCTTCATCTCGTCCCAAACCCGCAGGCACCAAGATGGGCATGCCGAAGCCGTCGGGCTTGGCCGGCCTCAAATCCAAGCGCCCTCTCGGTGCACCAGCGGCGGCCGGATCCCCTCGACGCCCTGCTGCGGCACCAATTATGCCCGACGATGATGAGCCTGCCCCTCCCCCGCCTCAGCCTCGCATTGGCCTCGGCAGAGGTGGTCTTGCAGGACGATCTCTTGCGAAACCTGCTACCGCTCCTGTTCAGATGCCTCCTGCATCGCCGCCGCCTTCCAGCGGACTCACGGCAATGGAGCGGGCTGAGCTCGAAGAACTCAGATCGGCAAACGAGCGCCTGACACGCCAAGTGGAGGAAATGAGGCATGAAAGGAGCAAGTACATGTCTGAGATTCAAGAGTTGAAGAACCAAAATGCGGGTTTGATTGAAGACCATACCCGTGATGTCCTCAGCATCAAGGCCAAGGAGACGCAGCTGGTTCGTGCAAGAAGTGATGCAGAGGCCACGGAGTCGACGAACGATCGCCTCAGACGGGAGCTGGATCGCCTTAAGAGAGCGCTCAACCACGCCGAGGCCCTGAACTCAAGGACAGGCATGGGCAGCCCAGGTAAGATAGCAGCTTCTTCTATCAGTGAGTGTTCATGTACTGATTTGACCGCAGGTCTTGCTTCGCCTACGCACGACGACGCCGGTATCTACCGCGACGCGTCCTACGGTTCATCTTCTGCTCGACACAACCGTGTTAGTTATGCCAGCAACATGTCCGAGGAGAAGGAGAACGGAGACCATCACTACCCTCGCTCGAAGGCACTCAGTCCCGAACTTAGGTATACGGGCAGTGCATCTTCCGGACGCGGCAGCCCTGCTAGAGGCTACAGGAGCTCTGCGGCCACCCCCGTTGATGATATACCGGCACCATCATACTCGTCTGGCGGCGGCGGTGGAGGCGGTGGCATGAACTCGAACAACAACGGTGTGGAAAGCTGGAAGCGTGCAGCTGAAGTGACTAGCCAACTGAAAGCCAGGATTGAACAAATGAAGGTCAGTTGTTCCCTCGATCTGGTGTCATCTATTTCTCATCACTAACATTTCTTAGGCGAAACAAGGATTTGCCCGTCCTTGAGCTCGACCGCCGAACCACCCGGTGCCAGATGGCCCGCTGGATACTGACGTGAACATGAAGAGGGGTTTTGTTTGGGGTCTGTAATGGTCACGGTTCAAAGGGGGGGAATCCTGCGTGTTCTTGGTTGCATATCACTGGCGTCGGAAGCATACCCCATACCTCATCTCCGGCCTGCAGTTGGGACAGGCAATTTTCGTCTGTATGAGTTATGCATTTTCACCTCTATTGTCGGCTCGCTTGTATAACCTCGAGGGGCGCGAGTGTACTTAATTAACGATGATTATGAATAAGAGCCTGCGATACTAGTCACAATGGAGGCATGATACCCTTGGCAGTTGCGAGCGTGTCATTGCCGATCTCATTGCACCGTTAACATCGTACTTAGCTACGAAGGTAAGGATTGTATCAGCGGTAGTTGACTAGAAATCTGTCACCTATTCCCATCCAGTTCTCCAATGCGCCCAAGAGTTAAAACCACCCTTCAAATCGCGAAGTACACGACGATATACCACCCAAGCTTCATGTACACGAATAACTTGCTGACCAAGCCAATAAACACAGGAAGAAGTGAATGTTGCGTAGTAGCCGAGAAATCCAAGTCGAGACAGCCCTGAGCCAAGCCTGACTGTCCCAACCCGACTTCCCTAGAATCGAATAAAATGCCTAAACCACCCAGCCGTACTATAATCCATCATGAACTTTGGAATGTACTTGGGCTTCGGTTCCACTTCCTTCACAGCCTCACTCTCTCCCTTCCCCGTCTCCCTCTGCACCTCCTCCACCTTAGCACTCTTCCCACTAACAGGCATCGTATGAACAGATGGCCTCATAATGTGAACATTCACCTCGACCGGATCAACCTGAATATGCGAGCGTTTTTCTTTCGCGATATTGATCCGTCCATCATGTTCCTCGAGCAGCACGTCTCGGCGTTTTGTGAGTAGAGACGAGGTGAAGTGTGACGAGGACTTGATCCTGCTGATGACGCGGACGGGATCGACGCGGAGGGCGGAGAGGTCGACGTTGTCTACGCCGATTTTGCCCGTGTGGATGCCCAGATCGTGGGGTGGTGGTGAGTCGGGGGTCGGGGCGAAGACTTTGTTGTCTTTTGCGGTTGGGAGGGCGAGAGTTGTTGGGAGGAGGAGGGCGAGGAGAGATGTTGTTAGATGCATTGTTTTGTGGTGTTTCGTTGTGTGGTTGTTGTGATGATGGCTTGAGAGTCGAGTGACAATGACAACTGTCGGGGTTTCTTGGACTTGGATGGTGAGGTGGTGGGGGAGTTCCAGAGTCTGGGGACTTATACCACCCACCGAAGACGAAAGAAGCTTTTTTCTCCATGATTCCACCGGCCGCATCAGAGTTGGGATCGGGAAAAAGAGGGGATCGCAAGAAACAGTCCAAACAACTCGCACCTGTGCGGTGTGGTGCGGGCGTGCCGCGTGCGTTACGTGCGGGCCACAACGGTGTCAAGTGTCATTGACTGCCAGTTTTGACACCTTCTGGCTGCAGACTGCCGGGGAAAGGTTCGTCGGTAAGTTCAAGAGGCGTACATGCTGCACAGTAAGGTAGTGAGTCAAGTGGGTGACAAAATCGATTTCCGCTCGCCACATGCGACAAGCAGTTCCACCGCTATTATCACTAGCATTAATATCCATTAAACAGAATGTATTTCTCTACGTATATACCTAAGAAGGACCTTGATATAGAAAGGGATAGTGATTATAATATGAGTAGTGAAAGGGGAAGATGAATAGCAGGGAATCAATTCTGTCACCCACTTGTGAGTGTCTTCCCGAAGGCCGGGGGCCGTGGGCTCAGAAGAGGGGTTTGCAAAAGGTTCTTGACGGTTGTCTTGGGATTTAGGTGAGGTCATCGTGTGGCGGGAACATCAGACCAACTTTCGAACTCGTGTGTGGTTTCGGAGCGTTGAGCGTGTTGGAAGGTTTTGGAAGTCGGTGGGGGTTCCCTTACTTGAAATTTCGGTACTGTTTGACTGTGTCATTGTGTGAGGAGTGGGGAGCTTTGACGTTGGGAAGTCCGGACGAGAAAGCTTGGTTCGGGGGCCGAGAGGGGACGCCGGGTTTGCGGCCCCGCTTGACGCGGTCGATGGGCTGCTTGTCGGGATTCTTGTAGACGAACATTTGCAACTACGAGTTTCCTGTTGAATGAACCAATCAAATCCAGCATGCGCCATTGTGCCATTGTTCTTCGAGTAGCCATTTTGTGTGACCATTATTCTATCCATCTCGAACAAGTTATTCTGAGCCTCATGAGGCGCTTGATTAACCGTTGTGCCATTAGATGCCAATTCCGAAAGTTTTGATTCGGTAAGTTGGAATGTCCCTAGATGAGGGCTTATGAATTCGCTTGGCAGGGCCATGAAATTACTTGGTTTAGTTAGACAGGTCTCACCTCTTGGGTCCACCGACATCGCAGAGCATCGTTCCAAGTCCCGTAGATTTAGTACTTGCTGTGCCCCACGGGTTTCTTTCAGGCCAGGCCAAATACGATGTGTTGCCGTTGAAGAAGCGGCATTGTGAGTGGAATCTTCACTCCGGTGTCAATACGTTGAGTAAGCAACAAGAAGTGGCTGCTATCTCGAAGAGCGGTGTTCATGTAGATAAGCGCCTGCTCCGGAGCAAGTGCTAACAGGCAGGTACCATGCCCTCTGGCTACTTTGGTAGACATCACGACTGGAAGTGCTTTTCTTGAAAGTCCAATATGTTGAAATTGTACTGTCTCAAAGCAAGGCCGAGTAATTATGAGATACCCCCACGATCCTTCCTGGCTGTGCAAAGCGCAGTAATTGTCATTGAAGTCTCTGTTCCACTTCGTGACGGACCTTTCCATGGGCGTGGTTCGCTGATGTGCAGCATTCCGGATTTGTAAGGCGACAGACTGCGTCTGCCTACTTGTTTCAACTTCATAAGCTGGTATTGACTTGTATCTCTACCAGACCAGCGAGAGTAGGATCTGTATGTCTTACTATCTGGCCAGTGGTAAGAGGGGCTAAGCCTCTGGATCTCCTAGGGATAGACACAGCCAATGAAAACTCGCAGTTGAGAACTGGAAACACACAATAGTTGTCAGCCTCGATCACTAGGCATAATTTCATTGGGCTGTCTTCTTTCATGCGCATGCAGATTTGGTGCCTCCAAGACCATATGTACCCGAGACCCCCACTAAGGATTAACCCATGCCGGTATCAATTCTGTTCCAAGTTCTGCTTTTGTTTCTCCAGTCATTATATCCACTGCCAGAGTTTATGCAGAATGGCCGACCCTCTTAGTATTGCTGGCTCGGTTGCTGGCCTCTTGGCTACCACTGCCAAGGTGTATAGCACAACCTCCAAATTTGTCTCGAGCGCAATTGACGCCCCCGAAACGGTCACACAAATGTTTCGAATCGTCGAGGAGATGAAGATGACTCTAGCTTCGGTCCAAACGCTACTTGTTTCTCTGGATAACGTTCCCGACTCCCGCAAAAGCATGATTCAGCTCGATCATCTCTCCATCGTCATCACCCATGCTGTCCTTACTCTTTCCAAGCTTGAATCCATTATTTGTCAGCAAGACGGGCTGCGGTCTCGGCTTTGGTGGGCGCTTTGGCACGAAAAGAAGATCATCAATCTCCTTCCTCAGCTTGAGTCTCAGAAATCAACCCTGGCGGTGATGATCACAATCCTCAATAGGTAAGTACAGGTTATCTGGGCGGGGTCTGTCCCCGATTGGACTGACGATGACCTGCAGTGAGACTCAAGAAGAAGCTTCTCGCGCTCAAATGACTATGCTAGCAAAAGTGGATGAAGTTCTCCAACAAAATCGAAATTTGGCCGAGCTGTTAAAGTTGCTTGATAGTGAAGCATCGTGGGACACTAGATCCGTCAAATTCAAGGACACTAGTTCTTTGAGGACGAGGCGGACCGTTTACGATCAAGTGAATCGCCCTGTCAGTGTCAGTTCCGCTTCAGCTATCTCTCGGAGGCCACAATCCTTAGCCGGATCGATGGTCATGACCCTATCAAAGTGGAACTTCGAGCTCATTCTTTTTCAATCGAGGGTATACAATCGTACCGAAGGTCGCGAAATTGACAGATTCTCATTCACAACGTCCACAGCCCCGACAACTGGATGGAGCATGCTCTCGGGGCTCAGCATCGGTGACATTTCAACAGTATCGGCTTTTAGACTACCAATTACCTTGAAGGATGTCAATAGGATCGCCCCGGGATCAACATTCGCAGTTCTTCTGGCCAAACATCATTACGTAGCCGACGATCGCATACACATGGGATCCTCGTCTTTCTGGAACACAGAGAACATGGAATCCTTCACGTAAGCTCAATGAAATCATACTACCCAGATGCTCTGGTATTGATATTTTCAGCATTATGATTATTGGGAACGCTGAATCTCTCAAGAGCGAAATGGTCCATACTTTTTCTAATTCACAATCGTCCACCAAGTTCGAACATATCCCGGGGTCCGCTCACTCTTCTCGGAGAACGGTACGGTACGTAGCGTCAGCTAGCGCCCCAAGACTCACTGATGCGTGGGTCAAAGGGACAGTCCGTGGAAACCCTGTGCTGACAGACTTAGCTTGCGCGGTGATTCCTTGAACCTCGAACTGCACGATATATCAGGCCTGAAAGACAATCCTTTCTTCAGGAGACAGCACTACGAGCTCGCAGACGCGTTTCTTGTCCTCTCCAGGAAGCCCGAGTTGATGAGGACAGATAGTTGGATGTCTGAGATGTCTGAGATCTCCACGTATTGGACAGATGTTCCCCGTTTCCTCATTGGCACTTATCGCAACACCGTTGAAAACATCATCCGTGATGGCTCATTCGATATCTCTAGCTACCGAGGGTTCCAGACTGAACTTAAGTCAGGCGCTGTAAGATATCTCGACTGCGATGTAGACGATCCTGCAAGCGTCGGAATGGTGTTTCGACAGGTAAGATCATTATATACTCGAGGCTTTACTTCATGACTCTGTAGACAGGGCTTACCAGGCCTTGTGTTATCTAGGCTTTATCAGCTGCGAAGTATCATCTCGTCAAGTTGAAGAAAGCACGCCGTAGATGAGCAAACTGAAAAGGATGTAAGGATACGTGTAATCTTGTCAAACGCAAAGTTTTGTGTAAGATTGGATGTCAAACGCAAAAACAAACAGTTCGAAAGATAAAGAGAATAAAGATTTGGAAGGGATATCATTTTGACACCAAGCTTAAATGGGTTTCTTAGAGCGGCATTGTATATAGCTTCTCGAATGTCTTACTAATTACCCGACTTCTTCTTGTCGTGAGTTTTCATTTACTCCGTCATGTTTGTTTTCCTTTGCTTGTTTTCCTCCAGAACTGCACTTTCGCTTGAAATACTATCCATCTCAACGTCAAACTGCGAATATCTGCTGCGTGGCCCACGAGAAACACTGGCATGAGTGCTTGTTTTCACTCTCGATCCTTCCGAGGCAATCAATCTGGGATCCATTGCACGGAAGAACCTGCGCAGGGTAGGCATTGAGCCGCATATTACGAATAGATTTACCTCGACGAAACTTAAAGCGGGAAGTCGTAAGTTACAAGCTTGGCGTATTGGAGGCTTTGAAAGAGGACGGGGTTGAAGACGTACGACCAGACATTCGCAGGGGCTGCTACCCATGGAATATCGTTGGATGAAAGAAGTGACTGCAAGTAAATCATGCGGACGACAGATGTTGTAACAGTTCTGGGCAGGAAATCAGTATGCATTCCCTCGGTAGGCTGAAATGTGGTACTCGTACATGGATCCAATGCCAAACATGAGCACGGCTCCGACTTTGACAGCCGGCCGCATCTGCAAACGAAGGACCATGGGAATCGGTATGATGAAAAGTACAACGTCAGAAACAATGTTGGAAACGGCGATGGCCATGTAAAGTACTGCTGAGTTGAGACATGTTCCGGAGGTGTACGGGTCCCAGTTTGTGCGAATCGGTTGGCAGTGGAAAAGAAGAAGTGATGCGATGATGACAGTGTATGCAGCAACCATTGCAATGGCTGTCAGGATCGCATTTCGGTACCATCTTTGTGGTGAAATGTTGAGATAGGCGGTCAAGAGTGAAGTTTTCGTCAAGCCGTTACAGGTGATAAACACCGGGGCAACAATATAGGAGCTCTATGAGGATATGTCAGAATTGAAGGCAAATTGACATCGACAGCATCCGTTTCGACATCGACCGGAACGCTAACCAGCATATGCTTCTCGTATATCTGTATGGACATTTCGAAGGCGTGATGACCCAGCCCCCCTATCGATATAGACCCTGAAGTACGATGTCAGTGTCTTGATCGAGCCCCAAGAACCTGGAGGTATAGCATCTTACATATTTGCACCGACTGCATGACAATAGAACAAACCTTGAGAGAATCAGTTTCCTTCGGGTTTAGATAGCGTCATGTCAGATGTTTACCCATGCGAAGAATATCAGAACTGTGGGGAATGAAAGTCAATAACAGCATGGTTGTGTGATGCCAAGTCACTCACAATCGTCGATCTTTGGGCCGTCGGACAGACAAAATTTGGTGTAGAATCTCTGGATCAGAGTCAAAAATGCCAAGGGCCCCAAGATACCGAATACCAGGTAGTGTTCGAGCACTTTCTGTTGCTGCGGATGCTCAAAGTCTACCAAGTAGCCCCCGGGAGCCTTAATGACAGTTGTGATGCCATTGGTGACTGGAAAGTCGGCCATGAGAATGACCAAGTGTTGACGGTCTTCACGTGGCCAAGGGAAGAAAAGATGGAGAATCAGAAAAGACAGACTGGCGACAAATTCATCCCTGCATACTACGCGAACAAACAGCTGCAACCCTCAGTACTTAAGCAATGTGCACATTCCATCCTCTGATCTGCTTGAGCTCTTTTTTTCATTCTGCTAACCTTATCACGAAAAATGACGAGGATCTGGTCCTCGAATTATATTAAACATGACTGATGCGACTGGGAAAGACTCTAAGGCGGGCTGAGCTATCACATTCCCGTTTTCTGTCAACCAACACGAGCACCGTCCCTGGCCTGGAGAACTGCATGGGCCCTGGCTTTCGGATGGGCCTTGGCCTGCACTCTCACACACCAGATGGCCAAGAAACGCAGGACAGGGCTGCCTACATGCAGCAAATTTCGCGAATGTGAGTTGAACATCCGGACCGATGTGATACCTGGTTACTCAAACCCTTGCGTTCTCAACCGGAATGGATCGAATGACCGTCTTGTGAGAGAATGAGTGGCACAGTTGGTAGATTCCGGACCACGAGTCTAGACGCTCTATCGATCAACCGCGAGAACCGAACCATGAGATACTCATTATGCAAGCGACGCAAACAACAGCAACCCTTGAAGACCAATCTTAATGGAGCATGGTAGTGTGAACAATATTGGATTCCGAAAACCTGAGCTGGAGCCCCGGCCCGGAATCCACCCAAGATCGAAAGACATAAAGGCTCAGATCCATTCCATTCTTTCTTTCTGAAACCCCAGGAGACACAAGTCAAGTCCAGGTACCCGGGCACCTCTTCATCCTTTCTCACTCTCATCTTCAACCTAATCCCAGCCAAGATGGTCCGCCTCTCCGTCCCGCTCACCATCGCAGCCACGCTGATCGTCAGCGGCATGGCCGCATGCTCAAACACTGGGCAGGCGCAGATGGTCACCTACGTCAAGCGAGCGACCAACTTGACCCAGGAGCAGTTCTGGGACTACTGGCAGACCCAGCACGCCCCCAAGGTCGCCCCCTTGGCTGTGCACTTCAACATCACGCGTTACCAGCAGGTTTGTGAATTGGAGCCTTGGCTTTCGGATTGCTGGGAGCCGACAATGAGCATAAACTGATTCTGTCATAGATCCAAGTCGGTGGCCAGATTCTTCCCACCGAGGCAGGTTCAACCGTGCCGGCATCCACCGTCCCCGTTGACTTTGACGGCATTGCTATGTTCCTGTACAAGTCTCCCGCGGTCCTCACGGCAATGCTTTCTCACCCTTACTACCTTGCTGTTGTTGAGCCTGACGAACATGTCTTCATCGACAAGGGTGCTTTTGGTAACGGCATGGTCGCAACATTTGTTGGTACCGACATCGAGATCGTTGATGGGAAGCAGGATGTGTGGGTAGGAAGTCAGGCCACGCGGGAAAAGTTTCAGAGAATCTTTGAGTCGTACCTGTAGGGCCTGGTGGAAATCCACCAGTTATCTCAACTTAGATTCTGCAAGAGAGAGGAACCTGCCGTATGGAGTAATTTTATCGGAGACCCAAGTACATGTAATAATCCAGTAGATTTGTTGGTTCTTCAAGTTTGGTACATAACTTGGCCGCGTGTCATCCGCAAGTCTACTTCCCGCTCATGTGCATCTTGCTCGTTGGCAATGTGCTGCCAATTCCTCTCTCTTTTCTTTGATGAGAAATGACTTGTAGGATCTTGGCGATAGTGGCAACAAGGCTCCCGGCAGCTTTGCGGAATATGTTCTGAACTGGGAGAATGTGCTGTTGGTTGTTGTTAAATCAAAGCATCAAATGTGACGGGTCATATGCTGCCGAAGTTATATCCCACTTTACCGTCATACCCCCGGGCGGAAGTGGATCCGCGGCGACGGGGGTCATATCCGTCTCTCCGGTCGGGCTCTTCAGCAAGGGTCATAGGATCAAGGCCAATTCCAACACTGCGCGTAAGAGTAAATGGAGTCTGCAAGGTGACCTCTCGGAAAGTCTTTCCGCTTGGGATAGTGAAGGGTGTGGAGTGTCTTTCGATTCTGCATGCGAACAAGGACCACGTAAACCCCTGGCAGACCGTTTTCTGTTGGAACCGGGGGCATTTCTATTTCACCAGCCTTTTGAACCGGGGACCATCAATTTCTGCTCATAAACACGGATACATTCCGTATGATTACTGAGCAAAGGAAAAAGGAAGAAAGAAAGAAAACAGACGAGGACAGCCGTAGTACATCAACTTTCGGACATGACAAACAAGAGCATCAGTCAAGTTAGAGACATGTAGCCGTCTGGCAGAAGAACAACCCCAAGAATACAGATACGAGCGAAGAGGAGGCTCGCCTGTATGCGAGCAGCAAGTGACTAGGGTCCATGCACGTCCATCTAGTACCTAACTATCGTGAAATTTGTGCTTGAACCAGGAGGCATCGCTTACAACAAGGTACTTGCATATGAGGAGTGTTCCGATGGCTCAAATCACTGTGCTGTCATATAGAGGAAAGACGATGTGTATGTATGTATGAACCTTGCAGATTGGATATCAACTGACTGCAAGATGATCACACCATTCTCTTTACCTACTTGGCTGATAGATAAACCCAGTGATTGCCCCCTCTCCTATTATGCTGCTGATTCAGAAGCTCGCGATGCATTCTGGCAGGGTACCGGCTCCTGAAGGATCTTTGGTGCTCATCTGGTTTCTCCGCAGACCATGAACAAAATACTTACTCAGTTCTTTGGGAAGCCTGTCGCCCTATGTACTGGAAGCGAGAATAATGTCACAATGTGATCTGCTATAGCCTAACAGTGAGAAACGCAGCAGTAATTATGGACAACTTTAAGTTGCTGCAACATAACACTTTCGGACTGGTCCAAAAGAAGGAAGTTGTGATATCTTCGAATTTAGTAGGTACATGAACAGCGCAGTCTAAACATCATCAGAAATGCATGCATGCTCGCGATCCAGCCCTCTTCATCAATATCTCCGAAGTTCTGCCTCCATCTCCGGAGCCGGTGCTGAACTCGCATGCTCAGGTACGCCAGAACACTACTCAGAGAGGAGACTGAATGACCGGGTACTTGGGAAATGCAGGTGCGTAGACCTGGAATATGATCAGTAAGATGTCTCATACAGGGAGTAAGATATTGCAGGATACGTACCGACTTGCAGCGAGCGTTGAAATCGCCGGTTGACCCCTGAATGGCAGACAACTCGTCTCCAGGGACTCCGAGCTTGACCAAAGGCCCAGACTGAGGTGACCCCTTGGCCCATCCAGGCCCGGCAGCCGGGTTCTTGATCCAGTCCACGAACCAACCATGGATGGAATCAGCCAGCGCCTGCTGTGCCTCAGTTACGCCCGTAAGTGAATCGAAGCACTCGTTGCCTCCATGGAAGAAGGGCACTTCGGTTCCGTGTGTGGGTGCCGTGCCCGGAACCCCAACCACGTTGTCGTAAGCTCCGAAGAATCTGTAGACCCAGGTATCTTGCTTGGCACTGCGCAGGTCAAGCAGATAGTCAACGGCGCAGTTGAAACGGGCATCGCCATACTGGGTTCCACTTCTGAGGGACTCTGTCTCATAATCAGAAGCATTGTACGCTGCTAATAGGACGTCATCTTCAATGTGTGCACTATCCGCATCGAAAGTGTTGATCCAAGAGCTGAAGTTGCTGTTTTCGGCGCCATACACCAGGCTGAAGATGGTGCCCTCACCATCAGAAGTTCCCGTAAGGAGGGGCACGTGTGATGCATACTGACCGGCCGCAAACCTTGCAGCATAACCAGAGTGCCTTGTGGCGTTATCAATGACGGGAGTGAACCACGTGTTGAAGGTCGAGTTGAAGTCAGCTGTCTGGAAAGCGTACGAGTCGGCACTGCGCAGGCACTCGACTTGGTTATCCCCTGCCTTCGGACAGCCAACCTCAGCCGCTACGGCGTCGAGCCCTTGGTTGGCTGGCGCATATGCTGGCCCAGACATGGCATTCGCACTCATCTGCACTGCTCCCTTGAGCCATGAATCTGGGTGGTTCCAGAGGTAGTGATCGACCTGGACAGCTCCGGACGAATGACCGCCGAACACAATGTGATCGGGATTGCCTCCAAACGCATGGATGTTGTCACGGACCCAGTCAAGTGCCTTTTCGACGTCCAAAATACTGAAGTTTTGTGATTCCTCGGGAGACGTCTCGCTGAGCTCCGACGAGTGCGGCGAGGCATAGATACTCTCGCGGGTGTTGAAGTTGACGTATATCACACCGTTGCGGGCAAAGTTGGACCCTTGAAGTTGAGGGTTGCTGCTGGAACCAGTGACCATTGCGCCTCCATACATGTACACGAACACAGGCAAGTTCTCGCCCGTCGAGGGTGCCCAGATGTTGAGGTTGAGGCAGTCCTCGTCTTGCTGGCTGTAGAGAGTGCCAGAAATCGCTTGAGGGCATGTAGGACCATATGAGGTTGCGATCAACGTAGCGTTGGACTTTGGCACATCTTGCGGCGCCCTCCATCGGTTTTCGCCAGCTGTTGTGGCAGCAAATGGGATGCCTAGGAATACCGAGTTGCAACTTGCATCATGGAATCCCTTGACCAGACCTTGGGATATACGGGCGTGAGGCGCAGATTGAGTTGCGTTGCTGCAAGTGCTTGCCAGGACCGAGGGCAACAAGCCAACGAACAGCATGGCAAGGGCCGCAGCTGATGGCGACATGTCGATGAAGTGCATATTGTTTCAATCGGCCAATGCCTTCAAGATGTAGAGAACGTGAAATGCATATTGACAAGATGGGATTCCCGGAAGAAAAGGAGATGGCCATCCAGCACTGTTTTCTTCAAGGTGGGTATTAATTACAAAATACGACCTCAAGGCCTTGTCAACCCCACTGAAGACCGTTCTGGATTAGCCCATTACAACGGATTTTCGGTGATGTTGCAGCAATCTTCTAGGGAGTTCAGCCCCAGGCACATTTATGCTTCTTTTCAAAGTTTGGATGATCTTCTCTTCCCCAGATGTTGATTTCCCTTGTCCTAGAATAGTAGTTTTTCAACAGGGCTGATGGTAATGAGTTGCAGACTTTCAAGCATCCTCATATTTTACTGAATTGAGGGAGCAGGGGGGATGACGAGGTTACGTAAATCGCCATAAGCACCGTCAGCAAGCCCCCTGGCAGTACGGATAACTTGCCAAAACGGGGAGAGGTGAGCGAGCAAAAACATGACTGGCTTTTCAAAAATATCATCAGCTCATGGCCTCAATAGTCCGGTTCTTCTCGACTTTCTCGAGCAGCCAAGTTTCTCTACTTTGTCGCAATGATTTTACGGCGAGTAAATGGCGTTTCTCTCCTTGTTGATACGCGGTGACTACAACTCGTCTTTCTCGTTTCTGGGCGGATCAAAAGTCTTCTTCTTCGTCATGCCAGCCAGGATGTCGACAATCAAGTCAGCGGCAGCGACGGAAGTTGTCTCGGCCACAGAGTCATAAGGCGGGCTGACTTCGACGACATCAGCACCAACCAGGTTGAGTCCTTCAAGACCCTTGAGGAATCGCTTCAACTCTCTCGTTGTCCAGCCGCCTGACTCTGGCGTTCCAGTAGCTGGAGCAATGCTCGGATCGAGGACTGTAGCGTTGTTAGTCAAATATTCGTCATGATGAGGCGGTCCAACTTGCCATCAATGTCGATAGAAAGATACACTGGCGTATTGCCAACTGCGTCTCTGACTTTCTTGACGATGCCACTCATGCCAATATCGTCAATCTCATGGGCTTCAATTATGGTGAATCCGACAACATCTCTGTCGATTTCATAGTCTTTCGGGCTCTGCATTATGTCAGATAAGTCAATCACCGTAAAACTAGTATGAGTCGCTACTCACGAAGAGCTTGGTCCTCAGACCACCATGAACACTGGTGCCCTTGCTGATGCACCCTTCTCGGCTCGCATGCCAGAAGAAGGTTCCATGGGTAATGGCGGACTGGTTAGAAACGATCCCTGTGTAGCCTTCATAAGGATCCCATCTGCGCATGAGCATTGTTAGTGATCGATGTCACAAGCCAGTAGCGATTGTTGAGAGGAGCCTTACGTGTCAAGGTGCGAATCGAGATGGATGACGGAGATGGGTCCATAAACGGTCTTCAGACTGCGAAGAATTGGCAAGACTATAGAGTGATCACCTCCGAGGCTGATGATGCGGGGATGTTCCCATTCATCTAGAATGGAGGTTAGAGGCTGCGACTACCTTACATGTCCGTTGTTGCCAACATCAGTGAACTTAACTTACTCTGATCGGTGGTCGGATGGTAGAGAATCTGTCGATACGCCTGTTCCATCTGCTTGAACGCATGGCTGGCATCAAATGGCGTGATGGGCACGTCTCCACAGTCGATCTTTATGTGTTAGTGCTACATGATCCATGAAGATGTTCAATCGGATAAGCTCTCACAATCTCCAGCCCCTGTTCGTAAGGGTCAACCTCCCACACGGTATTGTAACTACGCCCTTTCTTCTCCCTGGACGACCCAGCCCGAATACCTCTCGGGCCGAAGCGAGCGCCTGGACGGTAGGAAGTAGAGGTGTCATAAGGGAAGCCCAGAACGGCAATGTCTAGAGGCTGGCCTCGGGGTCAGATGAAACCTCACATGGCTTTTGAGCTGCAGGTAATATACCTTATTGTGTGACTCCGCTAGACAACGTTGCCATTCCAAGTGCGCAAATGTCACAGGCTGGGAAAAGGGCAGATCTTTGTCCAGATCTGGGGAGAGGCTTAGCTGAGAACCTTGCCAACAGCCACCGAGACAGCTGAACATACCTTCAAGGGGATATTGATAGTTCGGGCCAACATTTAGGGCAGCTGCAAGGTCAGCACCCGCGCAGAGTAGGATTGCATCTGCAAGACGCATAGTGAACGTGAGTATTGGTTTCCTTGGCTTGAATGTTTCGCAATCGATCTGGCTTTGGTAGGTGACATTTTTGTATGATGCTCATCGTATGATTTGCTTAAATAATATCCGACAAGACGTGCATGTTCAGATGACGACTGGAGTGAGGAGAACCAACGCCGATTCGAGGCCGATAGGTTGAAGCCTTGATGCACCTATCAGACGATTAGAGTTAATCAAAGGCAAGAGACTCCGACGGCACCAACGGCCGGGAATAGGGCCCCCACATCGGTCAAGCCGACTCCTGGAAGTCGACTCCGATATCTTTGGGGATGTTTCACGCGCTATCATGGGCTAAGGCGCGCCTTTAGATAAGAGGTTGGCTTATCTCTTTGAGCTAGACAAATGAGTCGCGAATATCTTCAAAGTATGGTGAATTCAATATCTACAAGGTTCTTTAAGTATAAATATAAATGCAGTCGGGAGGTAACATGTCAAGTCGTTTGATGGTAGTCAGAGACTCAAGGTGAAGCTTTTCGGGAAAGCTTGTTCAATGAACCCTATCAACATCCCTGTCTCCGAACTTCTGCATCATTAACTCTCGAGCCGTCGCACTCTCCTTGTTGCGAACATCTGCAAGCAAATATGATGGAAACAAAGACAGAAGGCGACAGCGACAACAAGGTCGGAGGCCATGTTGCAGCATCATCTCATCCAGAATCAATCGAAGCTACGGAAACTGCGGAACTCTCGACCAAGCGCGGCCTCTCTGCCCGACATGCACAATTCATCGCTCTTGGTGGAACCATCGGCACCGGCCTCTTTGTCGGTTCCGGCAGCACCCTCGCCCGTGGCGGACCGGCCTTCCTCGTTGGCAGTTATGTCGTTATGTCAGCCCTGATCTACATGGTCTTGACTGCAGTCATTGAGATCTCGACGTACCTTCCGCTGCCAGGCGGCACCATGAACTACTACGGCAGCCGATATGTCTCGCGAAGTCTCGGTTTCATGATGGGATGGCTCTACTTCTACTCTTTCGCCATCTTCGTTCCATTCGAGCTCACGGCATCAGCCTTGGTCATTGAGTACTGGAATCCGAATGTCAATAACGCCGTCTGGATCACGATCATGTTGGTAATGGTTGTGGGCCTCAACCTTCTACCTGTGAAGTTCTACGGCGAAACGGAGTTTTGGTTCGCTGGACTGAAAGTCCTGACCATTGTTGGTCTGCTGATCCTTTCAATCGTTCTGTTCTTCGGCGGCGGTCCATCCCACGAGCGACTTTATTTCCGGTACTGGAAGGACCCCGGCGCTACCAAGGAGCTGATCGTTCAAGGAGACGCCGGCAGATTCGTGGCCGCCCTATCAACTCTCCTCAGCAGTGTGCTTCCATTCACGTTCTCACCCGAAATGGTTGTGGTCACTGCCGGAGAAGTTCAGTCTCCTCGCAGAAACCTGCCGAAAATCGCCCGCAACTTCTTCTGGCGGTTGATTGTCTTTTACATTGGCGGTACCATCGCCATCTCGGTCATCTGCCCGTCCAATGCACCGGCCCTTACCAGCGGAAGCTCTGGAGCCGCGGCTTCTCCCTGGGTTGTGGGAATCAAGAACGCGGGGATCAAGGGACTCGATAGCGTAATCAACGCCGTCGTAGTTACGGCCGCTTGGTCTGCCGGCAACTCGTTCCTCTATCTGGCAAGCCGATCTCTGTACTCGATGGCCTGTGAAGGAAGCGCCCCGCGGATCTTCAAGCGGTGCACCAAGCAAGGAGTTCCCATCTACGCCGTCATAGCCAGCTCGTTATTCTCGCTTCTGGCTTACATGAACGTCAACTCCAACGCAGCAGACGTTTTCAACTGGCTGCTGAATCTCGTCAACACTGGAGGCTTCATCTCCTGGGTCTGCTGCGGAATCATCTACATCCGCTTCCGAAAGGCCTGTGACGTTCAGAATTTGCCGAAATCAGCTCTTGTCGCACGATCCTTTTTGCAGCCTGTTGGGTCATACATCTCGCTAATCATGTTCGGACTTCTGTGTCTTCTTAACGGTTTCACTGTCTTCTTCCCATCTCGCTGGTCCGTGGCAGACTTTCTCTCTGCGTACATCGGACTGCCTTTGTTTATCGTTATCTACTTTGTCCATCGATTTCTACACCGCGCTGATTCCTGGGCCATCTCTTCTCATGAGGTGGACCTCAAGACTGGACTCGCAGAATTGGAGGCAGAAGAGTCATTGGAGGAGCCCAAGGAAGGGTTGCGAGCGCGGTTCAAGCGCCACGTAGGTCGATCTTAGGATGATGACAGATGTATGAGTGATAGGGCGTCGCAGTCTCCTGCCCGACTCCAATAGGTGTCTAAGGCTGAGAGGCTTGATAGCGATAATGACTTAGATACTTGATAAGACACTGTGTAATTTGAGATAAAGAATGAACAATATTAGACAAGTTTCTCGGCTTCAGTGCATCGAATAGCCACCATCTTCCCATTCCAGTCCCTTTGACCTAGGTACCTTAGCCTCGCTACTCAACCGAATCGCCATGATGCAACAAGTCAAAGTCCTCATAGTGGGCTGCGGTTCTGTGGGAACCATGTGTGCGTTTGCCCTTCAGAATTCCGGAAACGCCGAGGTCACTGCTATTCTTCGGTCCAATTATGATCTAGTCCAGACCCAAGGCTATCACATCCAGAGCATTGACCACGGTGAAATTGCTGGCTGGAAACCCCATCGCAGTGAGTCGCTTATCAGTTCGATCCCGTCCTAGACGTAATGATACTGACGCGCCATAGTGGAAAGATATCTAGAAGACGCACTACAGCATGGCCCTTTCGACTTCGTCTTGGTGGCTATGAAAAACTTGCCCGATGTGTACTCGATCCCAGATATCATTGGTCCCGCGATTGCACCCCAAACATCAATCGTGCTCGTTCAGAACGGCATTGATATTGAGCCACCATTACTCGAAGCCTTTCCGAACAACATTTTACTCTCAGGCGTCCCGCTGATAGGGTGCGAACTCAACGGACGCGAGATGTTGCATAATGACCCAGATATCCTTCAGCTTGCGTACTGGCCAAATCCAAAGTTTACACCTGAGAACCAGACCACCGCGTGCGCCGCATTTGCTCGGATTTACAACAATGGTGGTGCCAAATGCAACATCCAGACGGATATTTCTTGGTTCCGATGGCGAAAGCTCATCTGGAACGCTTCTTTCAACACCGTCTGTGCCATAACGAACTTGGACTCGGGCGCCATTCAGGATGCTGGTGGTCTGGATACCCTGATCCGCCCAGCCATGAGAGATGTTGTGGCAGTTGCCCGAGCAGCGGGGCATATCTTCTCCGATGAGATCTTGGATGACATGGTTGCATTCACGCCCAAAGAAGCCCGTTTGAAGCCGAGTATGCAGGTTGACGCGGTGAGGCAGAAGCCAATGGAGATCGAGGTGATTTTGGGAAATCCTATCAAAACCGCGAAGAAACTTGGCGTGCTGGTTCCAACCTTGGAATTTCTCTACAGCCTTTTGCAAACCAAGCAGTGGAGTTTCTTGAATTTGGAGAAGTGAATCTTGTTTCCCATATTTCTTATGCGCTTATCGCAACCTATATACAAAAAAGAAATATAATTTTTCCATTCTTCATTCCGCGCGTCGTTAACAAGTACACGTAGGCCTCTTAGCGACGGATGTGCACTCTCATGTTGCCGTTGCCCCAGGCGTTGTTCTGCCCGAAGACGAGACTGCCACGGGTGCAAGCGTCCATGATCTGGCCTGCCGACCGGGCAACATTGCCGCAGGGACTGGATGTGTCCCTGGGAGGGTTGCCACCGGTAGCAACACCAGCGATCTGAGCCTGACCACGGTGGCAGAAGACAGTGGCGCTGACGACAGCCTTGCACTGCACATTGGCACGGGCGGCGATGAAGTCGATACACCAGACGGCATCAGCAACCTATCGTAGGCAATCAATGTCAGTAGATGCCATGAATCATCGTCGTGTGGTAGTCACAAAAGCCTCTCGTGGTAGGCTGGCGGAGGGATAGCTCAGAGTGACTTACAGAGGCAGCGTTATCGTTGTCGTTGAATGTGCAGCTGACATCCTGCTGGCGCTTCTCAAGACCGTCTAGACAGTGACAAGTCAGCCATTGACAATTCTAGTTGCAAGGCAACATTAAGACAAGAATGTATCACGAACCGCTTGAAGTCTGGTTGAATGCGAGAGCCATGGCCTCCTCGGGGGAAGGATGTTGTCCGGTGGGGTTGGCAATGATATCCTCAGCCCACTTCTCGAAAGAGAAGGGAACGTTCTGCTCGGTCGCCTCAGCCGCAGTAGGGACGGCGGCAATGAGAGGGATGAGGGCCAGAAGGCCGGCGGCGCGGATGAAGTTAACCATTTTGTCAGTGAGATATTATCTGAGATTGTTTGGAAACCGATGAGTCGAGGCAATGATCTGAAGAGAAAGGACGCAGCTAGGTGTCCGCAATGGAGCTATTTATACCCATCGAGATGAAATTCTCGAGGTGCCTTTAGAAGTCACCGAGGAGGACGTTAGACGAGAGGATTTCACGCTTGCCACTTCTGGAAGTTCTGTGGACATATAGAGTTGCCACACTGTCGAAGGAAGGATGTAAAGTTTCCGAGAAAGGCTGGCTCAGCTGCAAGGAATTGGATCCTCACGATGGGGCTGATGTTGCCTCAAATTCTTAACTGGGCATCCAATCTAATACATACACGGCTTAGTCTCTTGGGCAGATGACTTCAATACAACCTCACCCTCACCATCAATGTGTCTATGCCAGCAGGTTGAGGAGCTCATATCCGAACCATAGAACCTGATAAAGTCTTGGGCGTTGACATTGGCAATCTCTTCTGCCCAATACTCAAGTGACTGTATGGCAATTCTTTCGCCCCCGATGTCTGCTAAAGCTCGATTCATCGCAATCAATTCTCTACCTGACATGAAGTCTTCGTTTCCCGCGAAAATAAAAGATGATGTCTGCTCGCCAAGCCTCGGCTCCCACCCGTGGCCTGGCAAGTGGGTGACAAAATCGATTTCCGCTCGACATATTCGGCATGCAGTTCTATCGCTATTATCACTAATACCGCTATTATCACTAGCATTGATATCTGTCATAGAGAGTGTATTTCTTTACGTATATACCTAAGACGGACCTTGATATAGAAAGGGATAGTAATTATGATATGAGTGGTGAAAGGGGCACTCATCAAGATGAGAGCAGGAAAATCGATTTTGTCACCCACTTGCCTGGCCGCCCCAGTATCACAGTAAGATCAACAACCCATCGGAGGCAACGGGTCAGAGTGGCTACCCTTGACAACCTGCCATTTATCTTGAGCTTAGGGCCAGACTATAAGCAATACGAGAGACGCACCCATGGTTACCAGAACCGGAAAGAGCCCAATTGGACATCTCGCAATCGAACGCGGGGATCTTACTTAGGCACCCGCAATCCGAGATCTCGGCAGGTTTCCCATAGGCTCGCTCGGGTGGCAGAAATTAAGTTGAATGGGTCTCGGCACGACCCAGTGGCGGTGTATCAGCACTTGTTGAAATAAGCAGGCCCAAGGCGGGGAATTGGCTCTTAGAGGCATAGGGTGACAGGACCCGCTGAAACGGCCCGAAGCGTGTTGCTATTTTAAAACGTCCCCCTTATGGCTGACCCTGAGAAGCCCGACATTTTGGAACAGTTGGAGTGGAATTCTTGAAGAAACTTGAAGTACCTTCCAGAGCTGGAGGCCGTCTCCTTTATCAGTCCAAACGGCAATTAGCGGAATTCGATTGTTGAAAAGATTGCAGGCATGTTCGCCTAGCTACCTCGGGCAGGAGCAGTGTAGTTTGCCTTTGGCGTCAATAACCATATTCTTCTAAATATCTTTCAGTGTCTGATTCTGTAGCAATGCCAGAGTCTCGATTCATCATTATGCTGCCGTTGTCTCGAACTGAAAGGGATTCCTCAAAAACAGGATTTGATGCGAATTTCCCTTTGAGCTGCAAGAAGCTGAATAATTAAAGGTATGCGCGCTACGGTCTTATGGAAAGTGACACACGTGATTACCTTGGCCAGGATCAATCTGATGTTCAGATGTTAGAGGTAAGAGGCACGTTTACTTTCAACCGCCCAATGTAGCTGAGGACTATTTCAAACTAGGGTACTTTATTTATCAATTCCTATGGAAGACCGCTCAAAACGCTGCCATCCGTCTTCACCATAGGATCCAGACTATTCTTAAGCCAGCAATTCCCATTGTAGGTCTTGGCCATGCTAAGGTTTCGATTAAAAACCGCTGCAACGCAGTCTTCGGTCTTGGTATACCGATTATACGATGCACAAGCTCTAAGGCAATCCGAATACGAGTAGACCTTGATTGCGAGTAGGTCGTTCTCATCCCCCATTCCATAATTCTTCTTGCAATGAAGATCAAACGATACCTTCTTGTCAGACAGTTCAACGATCTCCGGTTTGCCATCTAACTCCGGACAGGGAATATTGAGTATCCCCAGTGTTGACACTTTTATGGGGTTTCCAGAGGCTGCAGGGATCGTTGCGGTTATCGTTGTGATGGGAACTGCAGACATGGCAGCCAAAGTTGCATCCCTGTTATTGACTATTAGAAATTTCAAGTGTCAAGTATATGAAATCGTATGGCATGGGGGCTATACTCTCTTGCTTTCCTAACAGCCAGTGTACCACCTACCCCGCCGCCCACAGCTGCTATCAACACAAGCAGGACCAGTAAAACACTGAGAACAAAAGTCGCTGTCCTCATTCCACAGATCATGCGTTCTTTCTCTGGGGACTCTAAGCTCTTCGATTCCGATTCATGTTGTTTCGGGTGATCAAACGCAAGAGTATGGTGCTTGGGAATTATCTCAGGCGTGCAGGCCTCAGGGGCATCAGGAACGTAAGCTTCAGGGCCGGTTGAGTCCATGGTGTGCTTTTGCTCGCCGACACGAAGAATGGCGTAAAACCTCAAGCCTGCTGTCATGAGAGAAGATGGAAGCAAAAGCTACTGATGATAGAAAGAGAAGCGACCTTGACGGAATCAGGAGGAGATCATGAAAGTGGAGTCAAGGGAGACAAGCAACCAAATACTAGACTGAGAATGAATGCCATGTGTTAAGAAAGGCTTGCTTCTTCACTTACTTACCGACTAGTCAGTAGTTCCTAGCAAGCAACTTTGAGGTTTGCATCGATTTTGAAACATTTCTCACCTTCTTGAAAGTCTGGTGATCACCCATACAACCCGAACTGCTCTTATGTGTGACTACATGTTCGCTTTGCGCGTCATGACTGAATCCGAACGCAGCAGCTGTACGACGTCACTTACCTGATAAAGAAAACACCTGAAGTTCAGAGAGAGCCCTGAAAAAGTGTGACAGTACAACGACTATCAAGCTAGCTAGGCTTTGGTGCTATGGCTGTACTACATAAGGCATCCTTCTTCGTATACGTAAGCCGTTCAATCGTCGGACAGCGTATCAGGCCATTCTGCGTCAGATTCGTCTATTAAAGCCAATGAAGTGAAGCATTTAGATTCTAACGTGTTCATCATAGCGTACAAGTAGTCTCGCAGGACTCAAAACCGAAAGGTGCGACTCGAAGTTGACGCCAAGGTAGGCCGAGTCTGATGTATAGGAAAATGCTGTACCTCAATGATTGTCGAAAGAAGTGGAATATGCCCCATCATAGGAACACTGAATGACGAGACATGATGCGATGAATGTGAATGGCTCTGATAGGTGCCCAATTGCGAGAACATAACATGTAACGATGCGTTCATATCGGGCCATGCCAGCTGCTGCCGGTATCCAGATTTTAATGATGAAGCTGGTAGACTCAACATCCCTCTGATCAAGTCAATTCAGACGTTTAGTACGTCTGGTACTTCATCTACCTGGACTCTGGTGCGGTCCAATAAGGGTTACGCTTTCACGGTAGCCGCTGAGCGTGCGTCCATAAGAGTCGCTTGCTGGCCACTGATGCTTGTATGAAAGTTTCGTTGGTTCTTCCTGTGCTTATCTCCGTCATTATGATAGTGACTACCAGACGTGATTGTCCCAGTGTTAAGGCTAGCGCGTGTGTACCAAGAGGTAGGTTCGCCTGCAAACAGACGACTTGGAGAAGTAGACTGGAGGGAAACGGGGGAGAGCTCAGCTACCTACTTAGTTAAATAGTGCCACATATGAAGATGGCGACTATTGCAATAAATGCCAACTACTCGGTATCTGGTACATCCATTGCATCTTTCTCCATGCCCTAGAGCTGGACGGACCTCAAGTTTCATGAGCAGCAAAGCGTATCAAAGAAGCTTGACGTGCACTAAAAGCTATCGACTCTATGGTATGAAATTAAATCAGTGCCTGTTGCTTGTACATGCTTCGCTAGGCCTGCCTTCTAAATAAGCCATAGGACTCTGCTTGGGGGCAGAACCCGAGAGCTCAGGTGCCGCGACCATTGTATTTACGAGAGGAGTGGGCTAAATACTCAATCCAGGATGCCACCCACAGCAGAATTGTCGGATATCGACCGAGGGCTAGTCGCATTCTTGAGCCAACAATTCCCATTGTTTACGCCAACATTACCCAGATCTGAGTTAAAGGTCGCCGCGACGCATGTTTTCGACCCTGAGTTGCGATTATAAGATACACAAGCTCTGAGGCAATCCAAGTACGAATAGACGACAATGGCAATAATGTCTAGAGCCCCTTTTGCTCCGAAGCTCATGCCACAATGCATAACGAATTTGGAATCAACATCAGAAAGCGCGATTGCCCTCGTTTCGCCCTCCATGGCGGGACAGTCAAGCTGGATTTTCCCTCGTGTTGGAACTACTATCGGGCTATCGCTGTTCGTCGATGCAGGGACCAGCGCGGTGACTGTGGTCGTGACAACTGTAGTGGGCGATGCTACGGACGACATTGCGTCGCTAAGAGCCGATCATCAGAGATTTGTGGCGGAAGGAAATTGACATTGGATCATACTCTTTCGCTTTTTGGACTGCCAGTGAACCCCCAACGCCACCGCCAACAGCGGCTATCACTATCACTGTAGCCAGCAAAACACTGAGAACAAATGTCGCTGGCCTCAGTCCGCAAATAGTACGTTCTTTTTCAACGGGAATCGATGAATAAGTTTCAGGTGTTGTCGGCGCATAGTACGATGATTCATGTTGCCGCGGTTGTTCGGGAACTACTTGTTTGTGGGAAATATGAGGAACATACGTCTCGGGGCCGGAAGAGTCCATCATGCGCTGAAACTTCTGTGTTCGGGATGAAGGAAAGGCATGGACTTTGTTCTCGAGAACGTCATCCAGGAAGAAGAGAAGAAGAGCAAGAAGAAACAGGAAAAGGGCACGTTAGGCAAATTGACACCGCTTAAACAGCAGGGGATGGCTTATGTAGTATCTCACTCACTTACAAGGAGACACAGGATCTCGAAGGATCTTGCGGTCATTGGCACTCTCTCGACATTTGTGGAAGTCGGAGACCAGGGATCCAACCAGAGCTGCGCACATGTCTCACTGGGCTGTGAGGATCAAGCAGGCTGAACTGAGGCGCAGAGCTTGTGCTACACACCATCATGGCATCTCGCGTATCTATTCGTCCGTCTTGCAGCAGGTGAGACGCGCTTGCATCAAAGTCATCAATCCGAGCCAATCGTTTTGAATTGGGGGCCAAAAGTCCAACCTGAAGCTGACGCCCAGAGTTCGTTGGAATTAAACATAGTCAACCTCAGGGCTCGGCAGGCAGGGTTTATCTGATGATTCATGGGCCCCTTTCATCTGGTCAGAATTTGTCAATTTACGGACTGCCTTGTGTAGAAAATCGGTATTAATTGATAGCACTTAGTGACATTTAATTGCACAGATGCCCTACCTGCCCCGCTGTATCGTGCCCATGGTCACAAATCGTCAAACTCTGCGCTTTCAAACATGGCAGCTTCGGCTTTACTACGTCGAAGGAACTCCCCTTCTTTTTTTGGAGTGATAAAGTCTGAATCCGATGTTCGAAGCTAGAGAGACTACCAAAGAATTATCTGTAACTTGCACATGTTTCTGACAGTAAGTAGACGTTGAAAGTCGCCGGTGTACCTCCGAAAGTCATGCAATGTAGCAGAATTAGATCTTCCCCTAAAGTCCTCTTCAAAGCCAAGTTCACGAGAGAAAGTCTCCGCCTGACATGGCCAGTTCATACTCGTAATCCGGCTGAAACTCCAGCCACATGGCCTCAGGTGTAGTCAACCGGTATGTGTACTCAGCTTCGGCATCAGGACAAAGGTGCTTCTCGATCCCCGATGCTACGGCAGCCTCTGCAAGGAGCTGTATGCGACAGGAGTTTTCCATCAGGGTATACAGAAACGCCGCCTCATCGACCGTCTTTCCTGTCGTCAAGAGACCATGGTTCTTCAAGATGGCACACCTTTTGTTGCCTAGAGCTGTAGCTATCCTCTCTCCTTCCGAGGTCTCGAATGCGATTCCGCCAAACATGTCGTGAACGGCATGATCTTTGAAGAATGTGCACGCGTCTTGGTTGAGCATTTCTAGTGGTCTTCCAAAGGCGGACCAAGCCTTGCCGTGGATGCTGTGGAAGTGGCATGCTGCATTGACGTCGGGTCGGGCTTCGTGAAGGGCGGAGTGGATGTTGAAACCTGCGTTGTTGATACATGCCTACAAGAACCGACTGATGTTAGTTGGCTGATCCGCAAATTCAGGGTTGACGAAGGCACAATAGTCCGGACTCACGTAATTTCCACCAATAATTTCTCCCTTCATATTGACATGGACCATGTCACTGGCTTTCATCAGACCAAAATGTCGAGCAAGGCTAGAAACATCAAGACATAGTAAGAAAGCTGTGTTGTAGCTCACTGAGAACCGTGCAACTTACGGGTTTATCCAAAAGGTTTCAGGGTCGACCGGGTCACGAATCGAGATGTGACCGGCTGTACCTTCAACATACCCCTTGCGAGCAATCACTCGAAAGGCACCGGCCATACGTTCAAGCATCCATTTGCGTTCTTGATACGGGTCTGGGAATTTGGGAATGCCCTTGATAGGAGCACTTCTTCCAATAGTTGCACCGGTTCCGTCAATAGTTGATAATCCATCCATGAATGTGTCTTCGACCCTTGGGCGGAGTGCTTGCATCTTGGTGTTCTGATGTTCTGTTACCGAGGCTCGCGTTTGGATGGATTGCAATACGGTGGTAGTTGTAGCCATTTTCAGTATGTCAGAGACAAAAGAATTGACTCCTCTGATGTAGAAAGTGTTATGGATTCAATTCTGTACAATTTGCCTGAGAAAACTTCAATCACGAGACAGCTATGACATCGACTAGATAGACCCTGTTATCGGTCTGGGCTTCTTGTGAGAGCACCATGTCATGGGTTCCAGCTGCCATTACAACACCCCAGAATCCGAACCCAGGGAGGCGAACCGACCAGATGGAACCATGCAAGACATTTGCCATGCGTATCACTGCAAGAGATCCCGACTCATTCCAGCTACCTGGAACTACTAGCCCGGGCAGCTGACAGCGACGCCTTATCTTGACGCCATCTTCAGCCCAAATTGGCTAAGGTGGATCCTGTCGGAGTCTCTTTCCCCATGACATTCTTGCGGGCGTTGTCTTATCGCAGCGCAATACAACAATTGACAACTTCAGAATTACTCAATACTTATCTGCTAATTGTCTCAGTTAATCTCGTATGTTTTATTCTTACCTTAGCTGCATTTACGTGAGCGTAATAGCCTTGAGAGGTTAGTCGTGATTAGACAACGCCATCGCAAGGTATCATTTGTTCCTTCAGTCATCTTGAGAAGTCAACCCTATAGGGAAGGAAACGACGAAGACAGTATCATCATAGAGGAGGTGCGATCTATGCAGCGATTGTGCTTTGCATTCGAATACAAAGCCACGGCTTCCTCGGACACAATGCTGTCCTCTCCAGTCCATCTGCTGGGGCTGGCACGGCACATCGCATCGTCATCTCGGTCACTTGGACATATTTAAACGTTTTATCTTTATACTCCATCGTTCATCTACATCATGTCTACAGTATCCATCACGCCTACAGCTGCTCCAACTCCAGGCCCTTGGGGCCGTGGCCTTGGACTCTGCTCCGGACAACGGGAACCCGACTATGATCTCTTGCAGCCCTTCGAAACCATGCCAGAGGAGATGTCTGGTTCAACCCTATGGGTAAAGGAGGAGCTGAGTCAAAACACTGGGCGCTGGCTTTATTATTTGACCGAAGATCAGGTCAAACACGTCATTGCTGCCGTCCGCGATATCGAAAACCGAGGCTTTCAACTCTCTGAAGTCGACAAGACAACCTTTGAGCTCCCTGGCCCCTTTGTGGACTTTCTATATAGCATTCGAGACCAACTGATCAACGGAATCGGCTTCGTCGTGCTACGTGGTCTTCCCGTCGAATCTTGGACAACCCGACAAGCCTCAATCGCATACCTAGGCATCGGTTCCTACATCGGCCGCCGATTGAGCCAAAATCGTCTGGGACACATGCTCGGACACATCAAAGACCTTGCTGAAGGCAAAGAAGTCAACGGGGAAGGCAGAATGTACCGTACACAGAAAGCTCAGACGTACCACACGGATGAAAGCGACATCGTGGGTCTGCTTTGCCTTCACCAAGCGATGGAAGGCGGAGAGTCACAGGTGGTCTCCAGCCACAACATCTACAACACTCTCAGACGAGAAAGACCAGATGTACTACACCAATTATGTCTGCCACACTGGTTCTACGATAGAAAGGGGGAGACGAGCGAGGGAGAAAAAGGGTGGATGCGTACTCCGGGCTATTACTATTACAAGGAGAAGCTCAGCATGAAGTGGGACTCTTACTATGTCGGAGCGCTACAACGCTTCTGGGACGCTGGGCTTCTTCCGCAGTACACGGATGCCCAGCGTGAGGCGATCCAGGTGATGGAGGAGATGTGCCGCCGACTATCGTTGGAAATGACGCTACAGCAGGGCGATATCCAATTTGTCGCCAACACTCATAACCTTCATGCGCGGTCTGCATACAAGGATGATAACGATGTCACGAAGAAACGCTGGTTACAGAGACTTTGGCTCGCTACCTCGGAAGAGGAGGGTGGATGGCCATTGCCATTTGCTGATAGTCGGTATGCTAAAAGAGGGGGTGTTCAAGTCAACGAAACTCCTGAGTCGTATCCAACAGAGGCTGAGTAGGCACTAGTTACACAGACTCTACTAAAGAGTCGAGAGTGAAGCTCTTTGGCAACAAAAGATCTGTAATTCGGTATTGGAAGATAAAGTTGTGTACGATGCGTCATAAAAATAAAATCAATTACCATAGTTGCTTCTATTTTCACGGCGGTCCTTTGCGCGGTATTTATTCTCTTCTCCTCTCGGAATCAGGTGACGCCTTGCCTCGTCGTAGTCTAATCCGGTTGAGGTGATCGCGATCATTAGTCACCGCGCTTGCAACAAGGTTTAATGACCGCACTGTGTTCGGAGCACAAATTCGCGCAGACCTTCACCCTAAACACGTACCTCAACAGTGCTTAGCGGGGTAAACTTTCCATGATAACACCGTATTCATCAAGGGGCCCTGCTTATCTCGACGCGGTCCGAGAAAGGTGTGGTGTCTTGCCGCAAATTCCCGGTATGCCATCTGCGCCATGCCCAACTTCTCCTCACATTCAATCAAAGTCTCCGAGTGCTGACCTTGCATTCACGGGTGGGCATTACCCCGGAATTCCCACCGCAGGCGCCTTGATGAGGCGCCCGTCCGAGCCAGCCACCGGCGATCCGCTCCCGAGCATGACCCCACGATGCCGCCGCCTAAATCGGGACAGCGGTCGATGACCTTTACCGGGTACGTTCTGTGCTCTGCCCCTCCGAGAGAGTGTGTGGGAGAATGTCTCGGACCACTTTGACAGGGGTATGGACTGACTTGTGCGCGATTCATTGGGCGGCAACAGGTGCTGGACCTGCAAGAGACGCAAGGTCAAGTGCGATGAGAGGTCTTCTGGCTGTGGGAACTGTGAGAAGATGAAGATCCCTTGCGAAGGCTACGGCATTAAGCTTCAGTGGATCAACGTTTCGAACCCGTTTCTTGAGCAGGAGAAGCCTGGCAGTAGCAGTAATGGCAGAGGGAGAATACGGATTGGTAGGATTCCCACCCCATGACTTACTTATCGTTTCTGCCCATATGTCCTGGTATTAGTGGCTGATGCACGTTGAGGGCCCTTAATAGGCCGTGATACAGGGCCAGAATATCAGATGAGAGACATTGACTCCTTCTTGGCATCCCTTGAAGAAGCGCCAAACTCAAAGGGCATCATACAGGAAGGCCCTTTCTCTCTTTTTCAAGCCGATGAAGGTAGTCTCGAATCTGGCCAGAGTCACGACTTGGGAAGTCCCGATATTGCAGCCTCGGACTGCTCATTGGTCACCAATGCTCATCACAGCTCAGAATCAACACGGTCCCAGAAGGACGCAACGGCCTCCCCTATCTACACTGACTGCGCAAGCTCAAGTCCTTCATTCTCGACAGCACGAGAGGACGGATCTCCAAATCAGATTGGGCTCGATGTGGAGCTCATCAGAACTTTAGAAGATGACCATGCCACACCAGAATTCCAGCTCCAGGAAGAGTTCAGCTCTTCGCTGGGCGACATTGCAGAGCTAATAGAAGACTCAATTGAGTTGTTGCCGATGCAGCCGCAAAATGACATTTCATACATGAGACTACCGAGACGGATATCTACCAGCATATCAGGCGACGCAGTCATCGATAGACTTATGCATCACTACGTGGAGAATATCGCGAGCCTACTCCAGCCCATTCCACATCCCCAGAATCCTTATCGAAAGCTGTACGTCCCTGCAGCTCTCCAGGCAATATCGGAATGGCTGCCGAAAGCAAAGATGGCCACACCTACCGTTTCTTCAGTCATTTTTCACTCCCTCATAGCATCATCTGCTTTCCATCTCGGCAATTGTGGTCCCGAGCAGGCGAAATACCTTGCCCTCGGGTCGCAGCATCGCCAAGTAGCGCTGCATTGCTTACAGTCCGCCATCAACCCCGCCATGGCAACATCGGAATACAAGCTTCTCATGGTGGCCATGTTATCAATGGTGACCATTAGCAACGTGGGTTCTCTATTTCATTCCCCAAATGTGACGTGTGAAGTATGCTGAGCTTTATCACACAGTTCACGACAGGCAGTGATGCCGACTTTGTGGTCCACCTTCAAGGCACAAAACAGCTGCGGAAAACGCGACGGCGATGGAAAGTCATCAGCAGAGCCACGCGGCAACTGAATGAAATTAGCGACTTTCTCTACCTCCTCACTCGCACGGTCTCATTCTCCTTCACGCCAGGGCCTTGGCCATCAGAGGGTGCAGAAGATATAGACGAACCAATCGCCTCGCAGGCAGAGCCCGACAGCTGCTTCGGATACATGTACGGGATCACACCCGCCATCGCTGTGGATATCGAGGAGACCTGCCGACTGGCGGAGTATCTCCTCTGGTACGAAGGCACCGAAGAGCCCATCCCAGAGGGGCTGCTCGAGGCCTGCGAAAGCCTTGGCGACCGACTCTGCAACTGGTCTCTAGACCTTGAAGACGTCCGCCAAGCGATGAACCAGGATGCCGAAACCCTAGAAATCTTTCAACACCACGCGAATGCGTGGCATTTGGCTGCAGTCATTTACTACCACCGACGCATTCAAAAGTGCCACAGCGAAAACCACCAGCAGCTCCTCGCCGAGATCGCCGAACACATGCACGCCGTCGAGGACATCAAGACGCGGTCGAAGTCCACAAAGACCAACTTCATGGCGCCCATAACGTGGCCTGCCTTTGTAGCTTCGTGCGACGCCAGCGATCGCGGACCGTGGGAGCACTGGTGGGAAAGGATCAAGTGCTACCGGGTTGCCAACAGCCGGACGCAGTGGAAGGTGGTTCAGCGTTTGTGGGAGAGACGGGATGAACTAGAGCAAGCGGGCGTTGATACGTTTGATTGGATACAGGCGTTTAAAGACTTTGGGATTGCTTTGTTTCCAATCTGATTGTTAGATTATGCTGGCGCAAGGCATGGGATAGGGAGTTATTGGCGCTTTGATGATACTCCTTTAGACTTTTGAACTCTGTACATCAACTTGAGATTGATTCACCTCGGCTACTAGTTGCAACTCGCTAGTTTGATAGCCCGACTTCGAACTACCTACCTTAGTCTCACCAGCTCTTCTCTCGTCCTCTCTCGGAGCCCAGATCTTGAGCCCGTTGAGCTACCCCAATGCAAGTCGACGGAATGCGGTGCCGTTGCCGCACGCAGCTAAGTGAGGAGAGCTTCAGGCCGCGGGCCGAGCATCGTCCTCTTCCCCCGCATTCTCCAAGTGACATCACGATCCCAACCAAGACAAACCAAGACGAACCAAGACAAACAATCCATCTTTTCTCCGCTCCGCCGATCCCTCAACACATTGATCTACTGCAATCAAGGCAAATGCTACCCAATCCCAGAACTTCCCTCACATCACCACGTGGGTCCGTTGTCAGTGCGGCCAACGTTCCGCTCACCTTAGTCGAAATAAGCAACGCGGGGTAGGTAGACTCCCGCCCTCGGGCATGGATATTTGACCTTGCGGACGTTTTCCGGAACGGAGAGTAGCCGTTCCCCCTCCTCTCCATTGGATGTTTCAATCTGCCGAGCTTCTTCGCCGATGGGGCTCACACTCACACGTACCCCAGCCGCTGACGACGGGAACCTTTGGCAACCTGTTTGGGTCGTGTGGGCTGCGTCCGAACCACGGAGAGATACCCGAAGGTTTATATTCAGGCCATAGGGCGCGAAAATGGAGATTGATCGCCCTCGTTCCATGTGATTGTGATTGTGATTGCACTCGACAATTTCAACCTTCATCGACTTGCGGAGCCTGAAGCTCTAGTGAATGCTGGCACCCGACGATACCTAGCTCGAGACCAACATAGAAGGCGATCCAGCGTTGCCATGATGGACTCCTCGTACGCTTCGCGCCACGAGAAACTTGAAATCTCAGAGCTCGAAAATGGAGAGCATGAGCCTGTTACGAAGAAGGGGGAGATTGAGCGGATCGATGCAATAGCTACGGCGCAAGGCACCACACTGGCTTCCTTTGCGCATCTGGATGAAAAGAAGATCCTGCGAAAGGTGAGGGTTTCATTCCCATTACCATCGTCGATGCATGGAGGGACTGACCGTTGAACTTCTAGATGGACATTCGACTCATCCCGATGCTGGCTTTACTCTACCTACTCTCATTCCTGGACCGCAAGTTCCCATTCTTCACTTTCTTTTGAGACTCGTGACTGACAGCCTAACTAGGTGGAAACATCGGAAACGCCAAAATCGAAGGACTTCAGGAAGATTTGGGAATGACGGCCGATCAATACAACTGGTGCCTCACCGTCTTCTTCTTCACCTACGCCGCGTTCGAGGTCCCGAGCAACCTGCTGCTGAAGAAGCTCCGCCCGAGCGTGTGGCTACCAACCATCATGGTCGCGTGGGGCCTCGTAATGACCTTGATGGGTATCGTAAAGAACTATCACGGCCTGTTGATAGCTCGCATCTTTCTCGGAGTGACGGAGGCCGGGCTGTTTCCCGGTGTCGCAGTAAGTCTTCTCTATGTTACATGTTACTATCCATCATTATGTCGGTCGGCGCGAGTGACAGTGTTGGCTGATGTGAAGACTAGTACTACTTGACAATGTGGTATTGCCGCCACGAGATCCAGCTTCGCCAAGCCATGTTCTTCTCGGCGGCTTCCATTGCCGGTGCCTTTAGCGGTCTCCTCGCGTTCGCAATCTCCAAGATGGACGGTATTGGTGGGCTGGAGGGATGGCGCTGGATCTTCATCCTCGAGGGCATCGTGACCGTCCTCGTTGCCGTCATGGCGTTCTTTGCACTACACGACTTCCCTGAGACGGCCAAATTTTTGACTGAGGAGGAACGAGCGTTTATTGTCTTCCGACTGAAGTACCAGGGTCAGGTACAAGGCAAGCAAGAAAACCGTGTGCAAGTTGCCGAGGCCGAGGAGTTCAAGTGGAAATACGTCGTGGACGCGTTCAGCGATTGGCAGATCTGGATCAACATCTTTGTGTACTGGGGTGTAAGGCTTCCTTTGACCACTACCACTGACGAGTGGATGCTGACATTGCGTAACAGATTGTATGCCCGCTCTACGGAATCAGCCTATTCCTCCCGACCATCATCCGAAACCTAAACTACACGTCCAGCACGGCGCAGCTGATGACTGTACCGATCTACATCACGGCTGCGATTCTCGCCGTCATTGTGGCGTATGTATCAGACAGGGTTGGCAAGAGAAGCCCCTTCATCGTCGGATTCTTGTGTATGATGATTGTTGGATTCTCAATGTTAGTAGCCTCCCGTGTTCTACTCAGAGAGCTTCATGACTGACCGACCCACTACGCAGGTGCATATCAAGCTCGAACCCCAAAGTGGTGTACGGAGGCGTCTTCATAGCCGCTTGTTCCATCTATCCCGCCTTCCCAGGAGTTATCAGCTGGCTCTCGAACAACCTCGCCGGAAGTTACAAACGAAGCGCAGGAATGGCGCTCCAGATCGGCGTGGGAAACCTCGGTGGCGTAAGATACTCCCGTCTCAATATGATCTATGGATTGACGAGAGTAAAAGTGCTAACTTTGAGAAGGCCATGGCATCCAACTTTTACCGCCAAAAGGATGGCCCACGATATATCCTAGGCCACGCCCTCGAGCTCGGTTTCATATCGGTCGGTATCATCGCAGCACTGGTTCTCATCTTCAGCTACATTGGCATTAACAAGAAGCGCGACCGGAAGATGGCGGCTGGGGAGGACAGCAAGTTTACTGCAGAGGAGCTGTCTGGACAGGGTGATCGAGCAGTAACTTTCCGGTACATGTGGTAGCGGCAGACATTGATGGAGATGTTGTAATCTACGCCAAGATACTCAATGGAATGAGATATGAGAAACTACTTATACGTGGTGAATGATGACATGAAAGCCTCAGAAATGCTGTAGGAATAGTCTCATAGCAATGGATGACCGCACCTCTCAGGCTCTGGGAGGCAGCTCGCATATCCTACCGACAGGATGTCGTTACTGGGAGCCCATACGATTAGAAACCGCCCTCATTGCAAGGTTGACTCGTGCGCGATATGACTGATTCCGGAGAGGGTAGGGTCCGAGTGGGGCCGTAGTGAGGGCCGGAGCTGGGGAACACCGCGCCTAGCCCCGGCGGGCAAAACGGCAAGGGTTCAAGAAATGAACGCTATATGTGTTGTAGCAGACCCAGTCTTGAGGTAGCGGCTGTCTGTGACGGAGGACTTTGAGAACGGCACGTTGTCCCAGGCTTTGTTCGTCTGAATTTAGCAAGTTAAGCTTACTTCCGACTACCCTCGCATCTTACACTATGAGCCTGCGACAGGGCTCTCATTGCGTGTTGGCTCATCTCATCGACTTCTCACTCAACTCATTTCTTTTTCTTGCATTTCAATTGAAAATGTATCGAAATTGCCTTTCGAACATTACAATTGTGAATAGATTAATATATCCTGGCACGTTAAGCACTAGGCGGGAAGTCTTCAGGTGTTGTATTCAGTCATGTACAAAGCGGAACACCTCGAGATGTGTGATGGAAGTAGTTGGCTCGACGTGAACGACCCAAATAGGTTAATGATGCACATGCAAAACGATACTGCCGGTGTCATTATGAGTAATCTGCAGGCCAAGTGGAACGTTGATTTTACTGCTTACTCTCCAATGCCAGCTCACGCGAACTGTCCTTCCAGGCGTACTAAGGTGTGGCGGGCGGAACGCCGGGGTTCAAAGGTGCGGGGCAACCGAATCCGCCCGTCTCACTTGCCCCCGGGACACGGCAGCCCGAGCCCAGCGCAACTTCCCCCGGTCAACTGTCTTCTTTCCGAACAACGTGGCCTGCTACCGTGTCCTTCGGGGAGCGCTTTTCAAGAATTGAACGAGAACTCACATTACGTCCCGCTGTCTTCTATCTCGAGCACTACGATAAATACCAGCTGGCCCATCACTGTATGTGCCTGGCTCGGATCTCTCAACGGAACATCAGCTGCTTCCTTCTCAACCTCATACTACAGAAATCATGGCCGCTGCTCTAGACGCTGTCCTCGCCAAGTACACCGCCTCTGGCGAAGACACAAAGGATAAGCTGCTAGGCGCCTCATTCATCGTCATTAACAAAGATGGTATGACTTCTTTCTATTGTGTTCCTCAGACCTCCCCATCTCATGACAGCTATAGAAACCCTATACAGCAACGCAGCAGGTCGCCTTGACTTTCCCACCGAGGCGCGCCCCTGGGAACTCAATACGTTCACCTACGTCGCATCACTCACCAAGGCCATCACTTCCACCGCCGTCATGCAGCTAGTCGAGCAAGGCAAGCTCCGGCTCGACGACGACATGCGCAAGATCGTGCCCGAGCTAGGCGACATGCAGATCCTCCACGGCTTCGACGAAGACGAGAAGCCTATCCTAGAGGACAACACCACGCCTATCACACTCAGGTACCAGGATCATTGGGAAATGTCTCTTGACTGCTCTGGGTGACATACTGACGTAAACCACCCAGAATGCTACTCACCCACACCGTGGGCCTGGGATACGACTTGATGCCAGACCTCCAAAAATGGTCCAAATCCACCGGCCGCACCGTGACAAACCTCTCAGGTACACTCGAAGGCTTCAAAACACCCCTGTTCTTCGTCCCAGGAGAAGGGTGGTACTACGGCACGGCCACCGACTGGGCAGGCCAAGCCCTGGAGCGCGTCACAGGCACATCCTTGAGCGCCTACCTCGCCGAGCACATTTTTGGCCCGCTCGGAATGAAAGATACGGGCTTCTGGCCAGACAAAATGCCGCACGTCGCCGAGCGGACCGCCGCATTCCAAATCCGCGGTAGCGACGGATCGTCTCTTAGTCCGGGATCTAGTCCGCGCAATGTCAGTCCCAGCGCCATTGACAGCGGCGGCGCAGGTCTATGGACCACCGCCAAAGACTACAGCATCTTCCTCTCCGCGCTGCTGAATAACATGCTCGTGAAGAAGGAGACGGCAGACGAAATGTTCCGGCCGCAGCTTGACGAGCGACAGGCGAGACAATTCGAGAAGCTCACGGCTGAATGGGGCGGATCGCTGGCAGTGGAGTTTGAGCTGGACATGGAGCTGAATCACGGGCTGGTCGGGTGTATCAACATGCGTGACGTGCCGGGGAAGCGCAAGAAGGGGAGTCTGCAGTGGAGCGGCATGTGTAACAGTCACTGGTGGTTGGATCGGGAGACGGGCGTTGCTGGGGTGCTTCTTGTTCAATCGCAGCCTCATGCCGATCCGGTTGTGACGAGGCTGTATGATGATTTGGAGCGGGCTGTCTACGGCGAGCTTCTGAAGACATCGTAGGCTTGTGATGTCAGGTCTATGCACTACCTTATGCCAGAAGGACCTGCGATTCGTATCATGAGGCAGTCTCGTCGGGCATCTCCATAGACTCGAGTACACTCTCCAACACTTTCCTGCACTGCCTTCTATAGCGATACGCCATGATCTGATTCCTCGTCGCCTCGGCCTCCTCCATCTCGAACTCGGACTGGTCCAGCCGTTCAAGCTCCTGCAGCACCTTGTGCTGGATGATGCCGATCGTCTGGAACAGCAAGGGCTGCGTGGCCGCGGGGACCCGTCCAGTCAAGATCATCCTCAGCCTCTCCAGATCTGCCTTGCTCCCGTCGTCGTCATTACTACCACCCTCCGGCACCGGAATCATCTCGCTCCGCTGCTCGGCCGTCGTTTGCGCGAGAACGAGCTCCCACACCATGATATCCTGCACATGCCGAAACGGAGGCAAGATCGCGTCCCCATCGACATCGCCAAGCAGTTGTCCAGATCGCGCGGCCACTGAGCTCGGATCAGACACGGGCCTCAGAGAAATCAAATAATCCTTCGGCTTTTTGTTCCCTGATGCGGCAGCCCCGGCGCCATCACCACCTTTCTCCGCCGCGGCCTTGGCGCCACCACCGCGCTTCTGGACGTGGACGTAGTCGTTGTGCAAGACCTCCGATTCGGGAATGGTGAAGCCGTACGCCAGCATGAGTTCGGCGTTGGTCTTGGTGGTGCCGTAGTTATTGAAAACTTGCGCGCCGGGGGCGTACGTATCCAGCGTGCGAAGGCCGACCGTAGCCTCCTCGTCCCTCACGGCATCATCGGACGTCTCCCACGCGATCCGGGCAGTCGGGCTATGGTTCCCCACGTCAAACAGGGGCATCAGCAGAGAAAAGTCGTCGATGGCGCAGCCCTCCGGCAGCGAGAGGGTGTGCTGCCTGTGGGCTGGGATGACGAGGGACGGGCGGAAGCTCCGACTGGTGAAGATGCAGTAGGCCCAGTTGTAGAGGAGGCGGGTGTAGTCGTGCCTGGCCGGGTCGTCGCCGAAGGCGGCGAGGGCGTGTTTGTATTCGGCCTTGAGGCGGGATTTGATCTCGGCGATGGCGACGTGGGCGTTTGTGTCCTCGAGGAGCTCGATGTCGTCTGCGGGCCAGAGGGGCGGGAGGGCCCAGGCGGCGAGGTTTGTTGGCTGGGGGAGGGTTTTGATGTAGGGGTGCCAGAAGGAGGATGGGCCTTGAAGGTATTCCTTGATGAGGAAGAAGCGGCTGATGACGTGCGGTGGGACGGACTCGAGGAACGAGGAAGGGAATGCTTGGGAGGAGGAGGAGGAGGAGGAGTCGTGATGGAAGCCCGGGTTGGGTGTGGTGGTGGCGTTGAGGTAGGAGAGGGTCAGGGCCAGGGGACAGGTGACGACGGTGTCGCCCGGGTTGACGCCGGCGCCGTCGGGGGAGACGCGGAAGGAGTTTCCGGTGTTGGGGTCATTGTAGACCTCGACTGACGGGTGGAGGGCGGCTCCGTGGGCCTTTGCCCAGCCGACTAGCTCATCCATCGTGGCTGGCTGGGCTGGCTTGATGTGCACGTGGAGGGGGTGAGTGGAGGTGTGAGTGAGTGAACAAGTTTTTGTATGAGTATGAGTGTGTGAGTGAGTGGGTGTGAGTGTGAGTGTGATTGTGTGGATGAGAGTGAAGATGTGAACGAATGAGTTTATGAGAGTGAACGTGATAGTGACAGGGTGTGAGCTAAAATAGCCTCTTCACGTTTTTGGCGCCGGCAATGCGAGTAATTCGACGTCCGGGCCTAAGCTCAAGGCACAGATCTTGGAACTCTGGGCCCTTCTTGAGTTAGCTCGTTCTTCAGCAGATTAGCTTGACTGGTTCTCAATCATCGGGCAGGCAAAATGGTGTGTGCTGGTGTGTGTGGTTGACGTTCAGACTTTTTTTTGGGCGTTTTCTTCAGCTTCGGCGTAAGGGTCCCCGGTGTGTGCGGGGTTCAAAAATCAAAAGCTCGGTGAAGGTGGGGGTGTGCGAGGTCAGGTACAGAGCTCTTCACCGAAAGTTGGAAACTAGTCATAGTGGCGTCAATAGAGTGGGAAAATCGGTGGAGATCGATCATCAGCCGTTTTCCATCGAATGAGGTGGCTTTCTCTGACATGGGACCGGCGATGAAGAGACGCAGGCCCGTCCGACCATCCCTGCGTATCGTTCATCTGATGGTTGCGCTGGACAAATCTTCATCAACGGCACACCTTAACATTGGTGAGGTGAGTCGTGCCGTTGATGACTCTACGTAGTCCGGTAGTGTGTACAGCCTTAAGTGTTGCATTTCCACTCCAGAGACTCATTTAGATGCATACATCATGAGCCTTGCGATCATCGGAGCAAGCAAGGCTGATGTTGTACTGGTAGAACGGACCACAAAAAGTGCTCGTCAAGTAGTGTAGCTGAGGTCTAAGAGAACCTGGGCCTCGTAACTTTCATAAGCAACTCGTAGAGGCTTCTGGTTGAGGAATATGCGCCTAGTGTCACGCCCGGCATCGTTCCTCAGTAAACAACGAGAGTCTCACAGAAGGTATGTAAAGATCCAATGCAAGGCTTATGCTATACTCAATCTCTCTGATGTCTTCCCTTCATCGTTCCAGACCCATTCCTGCCATAACTCGGGATTATCATACAACCTCGATACCACACTCAGAACCTTCGTACGAGAACATCTCACTCATCCCACGCCCCATACTCACACCGTCACCCATCAAGCGGCTTCTGCGCAGCAAGAGTATGAAAATGCACATACGAATGCACACTCCGATCCAACAAATCCCTCCTCACCTCGATCAGGAAAACCTCCACCTCCTCAGGCGTCCACCCCAGACCCCTCGTAAACGGCCCAATCGTAATAGCATGCAACCCATCATAGATCGCCGCGCGGCAGTACTCCCCAATCTTCTTCAGGTCGTCGTCCTTGGCCCACGGCCCCACCGGCACCTTCTTCACCTCGTGCGCCAGGTTGACGAAGCCCGCGGCCGCGACGTGCGCGGGGTACAGTTCGGCCGCGTTCATCTTGACGTCGAGCTTGGCGAGGGCCTCTTTGATGTTGGCGACCATTTTCACGGGGGCAAAGGTTGGGGGCATGGTGTTGTCGTCGCAGCCGTAGACCCAGCGCATTTCTTGGAGTTCGATCCAGCCGCCTGGTTTTGTGACGCTGGTGGGTGTTAGTACATGTGAGAGAGTGTGCTTATCCCGTGCTTGGTATGTCCGGTAGACCGGGGTATCGTCACGGGGCATCAGTCGGAGACGGCTAGGGCTTACCGATATGCTTCGGCGAACAGCTCCGGCCATTTTTTGATAGAGGGGGCCATGTTGCGGAGGTGGACAAAGTCAAAGTGGTTGTCCGGGTAGACCCATTCCACCTCGGCGTCGTCGACCATGAACCGGACGTTGGGCGGCACGAACTCGGGCTGGATCGGACTCAGGTCCACGCCGATGATTTCGGCCTCGGGGTACTCGTCGCCCACTGGTTATACTCATTAGCCTGCCATCGCCATGCCGTGCAAAATGTTTCCCATCAAGAGGGATATAAAGAGAGTCACGAACTATCAATAGCCCATATCCCTGTCCCCGTCCCAACATCGATAATCCGCTGCGGGTTTTTCAGCGGCGCGCTGTGCAGCTGCCCGCCGCAGAGGTGGACGACCATGGTGTGCTTCATGTCCTCGCGCTCCTGCTCGTCGTCGTCGTTGGGAAAGTGGTACTGGCCCTCCTTGTAGCGGTGGTACCGCCGCCGGTTCTCGAAGCTGTAGTCGCGCACGTGGGAGGCCAGCGACGTCGACGCCCGCGAGGAGCCGGATTCGGTCCCGCTTGCGTAGCCGTCGTCTGGGCCCGGGGAGGTCGGGTCGGGGGTTAGTTCTGGGGCTGGGGTGAGGTGATCGTCGGCTGGGATTGGGGTACCAGGGACCGCTGGTGCGGGTGCTGATGTTGTGGTGGAGCTGTGAGCATCGTGAGGTTGCGATGCAGTGGGGTTTGCGGTGGGTGCGGCGGGTGCGGTGTCTGGTGTTGAGGATGTGGCTGGCGGTTGCGCTGGTGTTGATATCCCAGGGGAGGGATCCGAGGCGTCTTTAGGTGCCGCTGGTGCGGCTGGGCTGTCTGCCATTGTCTTGTGGTAGAACCTTTCAGTTCTTCAACCCCAAAGCGCGAAAGGAAGACGGTGAGTTGAAATGGCGTGAGATGCGTCGATGGAAGGGAGCTCGGGAGGAGCTTTTTGAGAAACTGTGGAATGGACGGATGGGTAATCCCCGAGGCGGGGCAAACTAGACCGAGGAGAACCGCGGAAGCCTTTACGATGGCACGGCTGGTAGCTTATAAGTAAGCATATGGTCTCCTTAATGGGCCTCGATCCGGAATAGACGGGAGTCTGCGGTTGCAAACTCGGACGCCTTTGGAGACCGCGGACGGGGTCTTTGGGGTCTCGAGGGGGCAGACTACTGGCGCCATCGCCCACTACTTTTTCTTTACAATCGAATCATAAATGCCGAAACCAGACAACCATGTCGCCGCCATTATCAGCCGAGAAAAGCCCAGGGGCACTAACCCCCACCAGTTTTCACCGTGGATGGTGAAGCTAGCCCAGAGGCGATGCGACGTAAGGTCGTTGAGTGCAGAGCAAGGTAGAACATAAATCTAAATGCTCCCTGCATCAATCCATTTAAGTTTCCCTGCATGAGTTGTCTCCTTCTCGTATCCGTACCTGTACGGAGCAACGCAGCAGCACAATGGAAGCCTTCAAACTCACCCTCCCGGGCGGCAAGACCGTCTCCGGGCTCCACAGCATCCCGTCCCCGACGGCCTCCAACCCGCTCCGCCCGGCTCACCCTCCCCTCATCGTCGGCCTCCACGGCGGCACCTACTCGGGCGCCTACTTCGACGTCGACGACACCTACACCGCCCGCCACACCAGCGCTGCCACCGGCGTGCCCTTCATCGCCCTCGATCGTCAGGGGTACAACGACACCACCCCCGTCGGCGACGACATCCCCGCGTCATCCTCCTTCTACGAGGAATGGGGCACCACGCTCCACCGCGACATCCTCCCGGCCCTCTGGGATAAATTCGCCATGCCGAACGGATGCACCTCCATCGCGCTGCACTGTCACTCCCTCGGTGCGCCAGGCGCCTGCGTCGCAGCGGCGCTCTGGTCCGAGGAGACATCCCCCGCCTACCCGCTCGCCGCCGTCACCATCTCAGGCTTCGGCAACGCAGTCAAAAACTGCCGCACAGGGGACTTTACGCCGACAGATGACCCGCCCCCGTCACACGTGCACTTCCCGCACGCGGCAAAGGACGCGCTCATGTTCCCGCCGGGTACGGCGGAACCGGCGATGCTGACGCACACGGCACGCCTGGACCGCCCGATGCCGTACCGCGAGATGGCGGATTTGCGCGGGAAGTGGCTGGCGAACTGGGAGGACAAGTTTGCGGGGCGAATTACGGTGCCGGTGTTGATTGGGCTTGCGGGACGGGACGGGCTGTGGTTGTCGAGGGAGGAGGATGTGAGGGAGTATGTTGCGGCGTTTAGGAAGAGTCGGAGGGTGGAGGGGAGCGTGATCCCGGGGGCGCCGCATAATATCGAGATGAGTTATTGGTCTCAGGGGTGGTATGCGCGTGTGTTTGGGTTTGCGATGGAGGGCTCGGCGTCTTTGGCGATTGGTGATGGTGGTGGAGAGGGTGATGACTTTGGGAAGCATTGAAGTCTGCATACGAGGAGATAGTGCCTCAAAAGACAATGGCATGGAGCTCTGGTGTTTTGTAGACTGCTAGGTCTTTTTGTTCACTCTATTTGGTGAGACATGAAAGAGATGAATGGGATGCAGAATCTTCAAGGTACTTTTGAGAAATTCACGACATGAACGAAACGAGTAGGACACTACACATGCCTTGTTGATAAGGTATCCTCAAACTCGAGCGTCGGCTCAGCCGTTTCCATGTGCGAAGACAATGATACGCGCATCTCGATGGTACAGCTGATGATCCTTTGGTCGTGCCGAAGCATAAGATGAACTCTTCACCATGCTCATGAAGTCTGTAAGCCGTCTTGAGAATTAAGACACTTATCTATGTTTTCACTGGCTCACAGTTCAGACATCGAATTGCAACTGGCCATGGCCAACTCAGATACCCAAAATCCCCGACCTACACCTAACCGGATGCTTTCGTAGATAGTCGGCAAGGTCATTGGAAACCTACACTCTCTCAAGTCTATCGGTTTTGGTCCAGACAGTGCATTGATGGTCGTCCATTTGAAGCATCGAGTACCCGCTCGATCGCAAAGTTCTCGTTGGATGATTGGCGTAATCAAGAAACCTTGCTTGATCCTTGATGTCTCGGCCAATGAAGCCGGAAGGAGGTATACCGATATTTCCATCATTAATCGGTAGCGGGCTTTGCTTGCTCACGTTGCAGCATGGAAACGCCTGCGAACCATCTCCTCTGTACATACCAGTTTTTTTGGCGAAAGCGAACAAAAGTGAAAAGGCGCAAATACAGTAAGGATGACCAAAGATCGTTACCATGACTTGGAGAGGGTGGCAGTCCAGTTGTAGCTGGCGCTGACGTATCCCATCGCAAAGGCCCAACTCAAGCTCGTGACAAAGACACCCGAATCTTGGCTTGTGATGCATAGAATGGGGGCCGAGCCGTCGCGCTGTCAATCCCGCACCACCTGAGTGTCCTGGTATGGATGTTCTAGAACAACGGCAAAAGGAGCAGGGCACGGATCGCAGTTGATGGACGACATGATCTGAGGAAAATCGGAACCTCGTGTTGCTTTAGCCCAGATGATTCGTCACCTAGGTGCGCATCAATCGTATGATCCTAAGTACAGTGAGCCCTGCAGTTTGCACCGTAAACCAAGCGAAACTTGGTCTGGGACATCGCGGTGATGACGCTGCTGTGGATCTAGCAGCATAAGACCTGTCTGAAGAAATCTCTCTCGCCGTGATTTTGAGTAGAATCAACGTCACGCAAGGGCAGTCGGACAGATCGGAAAAGTCGAGAGATCCTCTCAACTTCCCTAATAAGCACATGCGACAGCGAATCACGGAGTCGACAGGATGGAGAACCGTTGCGAAAGTTGCCCGGGGCAGGGATAGCACGCAGGCGGTGGAACCTAGGTGTCCCATGTCTGGGTTACTTGAAGAACCATCTTCCAGGTGTCGTGCCATGCTGTCCAAAGATCAAGGAGTCTTTAAATCCCCAAATGCATGAGAGAATCTGTCGGCAATGATGGATAAACTTGATCAATGATTTGTGAAGCTTTTGATGCGGTTCTCTGATGTCGTCGACACGAATTCGAGGAGGAACTCCTGCGAGACCTCTCAATGACCTGCAGGACCCCCGCAAACGTGGCCCTTGTACCCGTTATACCTGGGACCCAAAACTAGCCGCTTCCACACTTGTGATGGGGCGCCGAGAATAGCGTCGTAGGCCGTGGTCTGTTTGGCATGGGCAAGCTAACGATGGGGTACAGGTCGGGGTCGAGTTAAGCTGGCCCTCGCATTGTTCTCCACCTCGGTGTGCTGGAGTAAGTCGTCTATTATTGCAACGTTTGACAGGGTCAAGGGAAGAGATGGCGCTGGATAACAGCATTATACTTGATTGACTTGATTGCCAAAGCCGCAGAAAGTAGTAGGGTAGCTGGCCAGAAGGGCATGTCATATCGACCACAGCCATGGGACTCTTTGTCGTTCTCCATGACGACGTTCTTCGAAGAGGGGCAATTCCGGTGTCGGACTGTGAAAGGAATCGGTGATGTTCATCTGCTTCTCGTCAATCTCGGATTGGCAGAGGGAAGAGGGTGTGCTTGTTCGAAATAGCTGCCGGCAGCCGCATGTCGGCCTCATGTAAGATGAAAAATCTGTACCCGGCGCGTGGTCATTTCTACCGTTCAACTGTGTGTTCTTCCAGCTCAATGTTGGTGGGTGGTATAGCCCAGTAGGAATGAGTTCCTCGATGACGGCGCCCCCACGGCTGATAGAGTTGAACTTCAGTAGTTTGGAGATGGCTCTATGCTCACCGACTATTTATGCCCGTGGGCGAGGCAGCGCTTGGATGGCAGCGATGATTCTGAGGGTGTATGAGATGAGATGCGGTGTGGTGGTGCTACTTGTGGGAGGTGTGTCCCGCCGTGGTGGCTCGTGTCGCCATGGTGGTGTACTATTGGCGTGCCATGGGTTTGTTGCTTCACGCGGCGTTTGTTGTTCTCGCTGCTGTTGTTTCTGCATGTTAAAGAGAAGATTGTAGGAGAAACATGCGCCTTTGATGTTTGGAGTAAGGTAGGTACTCAAGTGTTCATCGAGATCAGATCAGGTGGTGGAGGTTGGCGGTGTTGACATTCCATTGCACTTGAGGAAGCAGCTCCGTGAACCTGGAAGTCAATGGAAGGTAACGGCAAGTGGGGTGGTGGTACAGTGGCGTATCGGACAGTACGTACTTCCACCAGCCAAGACGGGTTGGAGGTATCGCCAAGTCGCTCAGGCACTTCAACTCTCACCGGCTTGGGGGATATTGAAAGGTACGGACGCAGTGTCGAAGTAAGCGAAGGAATTAACTATGAAGGCTCGATAGTTCAAATACAGGAGCAGCGCTATGGATTGAACTCTGAACAAGCCTACGCCTCGGACTTCTAAGGTAGTAACATACTCATGTGCCTAATGTTAGGTACCTTGGGGTAGGTAACGCTAGGTGCTGCAGTACTCGGAGGTGAGAGAAGTGGTGTAACTGTGGCTTTCAACGTGGAGTACCAAACGGCACTCAAAGAGGAAAATACGGTAAACGGATGAGGTACCTAGTAAGCCACTTTGAATGGAGGTTGACAAGAAGTCAGGGCCATCAAGCCTAGGTAGGTAGTGAGCCCAGCCATGCCAAATTCCCCTTACACCAGGAAGGTATTCTGAGGTAGACCACCTCACAGAGTGGGTGTTTCCCCCCACAGCCAGGGCATCTTACCCATGTCGACGTGCTTTCTCCCACGCGGGGTGTCGCCCCTGTCTTGAGCTTCCATGCGTCACCTGCGAGTCGAGATTTTGAGATGGTGTCCTTCGGTGCCTCCCCATACCTCCTTGGGGAAGAAACTGGAAGTCGAGTACCTTCCTAAGGCACCTTACTTGAAATACGTACCGAATCTGGCCTGACGTTGCGTGACCTCACAGTGACCGTTCGCGGACGGCCCCACTTGGCCGCTACCCGTCCGAACGTACCGGTCGGGGAAGAGCCTCTGCATGCTCCTTCCTGGCCCTACCTTACCTTCCATGTCACCTTGTGTGCCTACCTTAGGTAGGTACCTACTCATGCAGGGCACCTCCTTCTGCTTCCTTTCCTTGATACCTGTAGGTACTCTGCCATTTGCATGACTGTGCCTCTTGTTCTACTCGCTCGTTACAAGGCACTCGACACCGCATGTTAAACATGTGCCTACAGCAGGTACGGTCGGTACGGTCGGTACGGCCCAAGACACATCCAAGTCCAATGCAAAATGCAAGGTGAGGGCAGGTGAGGTGACCTACAACCGTTCCTTCTCTGACAACGTCTTCTCCTGTCCGAAGGCGCAGATACGGCAGGAATCGTCCCACGGTGGCTTCCCCAACCCGGTCAACCTCTTTGGCAACCTGACCTCCTCCTGCCTTTCCGACCTCCCGAGGTCGTCTCGTCGTGCCTTCCCGTGTTTCTCTTCGCTTCAGTTGCTTCCCAGTCCGGCAGCTGCTTCCCAATTGATCCTTCCCATTGATGTTCGTCTACCTACCAGCATCCCGTGTCCCTTCTGCCCCCTCCTTCCCCCAGCCTGCCTGACACGCCTCCCACGCCTGCCACGCTTGCCATGCCTCCCTCACTTTTGACCGTGTTGCCCACGTTACCTCATTCGCTTCCATACCTACCTTCCTCCAGCCTGCCTCATCACAAAACTCTGCCCTCCCCTCGCATCGAAAATTTCTCTCCCTGCTTCACTTCTTCTCTCCGTCAACAATCCATCTCTCAAGTCTACCGCTCAGTAAGGTAGACGATTGTGCTCAGCACACCCCAGACTCTGCCCTACGAGAGGCATCGATTCCATCAACGACACTTCCCTTACTTACTCGATACCACACCCCATAGCTCAATCTCGCCAAACACCGCCCGTCATGGTGAACCCTAAGCAGCCGGGTCGCCAGTTCTCACTGGGAGCTTCCGCTCACCGCAGGAGACAGATGAGCAACATGCACGAGCAAGGCAATCATTTTGGTCCAGCTTTGACTGTGAGTTAACCCCTCCCGCCTATTCACGATATCCATTGCCCTTCCCCGCATGTCTCACTTTCATGGCCTGATGCGTCCATTTCACCCATTGTGTGAGACAATGAACCGAAGCTTCCGCTCAATTGATTATCTTTTGTCCTGGGCTTTTATCATCTCAGTTCACTTTGTCGCTGTGTTTCTTTAGTTGCTTGCTATGCAGCTTTTGAACGATAATGAACTTCACTGACAATACTGTTACAGACCCTTTACTGCGGTATCTCTGCCGTTTTCGCCGACTCCCACACTGCTGTGGTTGCCCTTGCGATCCATGACACTGTCTACCTTCTGGACTTCACAGTCAAGCATATCAACCTTGACGATAGCTCCCAGACCGGCAACGATGCCATTGCCGACTATGTCATCAATACTCTTGAAGACTATGAGCATGCCAACTTTTCCAAGTTCATTGGCGCCGGTCTGCCCATGACCCTCAAGTACATGAGCCAGACTCTGTGCTCCCGTCTTTGGCTCGAGCTCGACATCGTCCCCGTTGTCTTGCGCCCTGACGATGAGCACAAGGAGAAGAGCTTCTGGGACATCAAGCGCGTTGACGAGCAGGCCGATTCCATGGCCCGCAAGTGCATCATGTAAGACCGACTTTCTTATTGCCTCATGTGCTTTGTGACTGACAAAATATTGCAGGAATTTCGGTCCCTCCCTCGTTCCTCTTCTCCAGGTTGGCTGGAGAGGTGTCGTCCAGACCGACGCGGGCTTCCGTGTGCAGCTCAACACGATCCAGAACCACAAGGATACCTGCGGTGCTCCGACTTGGGATGCCACCATGTTCTTTGCCAAGCTGCTTCGCGAGAACAAGACCAAGATTGCCTTCTTCAGCAGTACCCCTCAAGGTGGTGGAGTCGCCTTGATGCGACATGCTCTCGTCAGGTTTGCTCGAACTATTGGTGTCGACCTGACCTGGTATGGTATGTTGTTTTCCGCATTGGACCGAGACCACGTTGTTGTTGGAGAATCGTACGGATCTGACATCATAGCTAGTGCCCAAGCCAAGGCCCGGCGTCTTCAGGGTGACCAAGAATATCCACAACATCCTCCAGGGCGTCAGCCACCCCGATCAGCGCATCTCGGCTGAGGAGAAGCAGTCCATTATCGACTGGATTACGGATAATGCCAATCGCTACTGGCTTTCTGAGGGAGGTCCTCTGCGACCCCCCGAAGAGGGCGGAGCCGACGTTGTCATGGTGAGATTTCCCCAAACCCAGTGTCCCCCCGCTTGATGCAGCTAGCTGCCATCCCCAAGTTTTGCTACCCCTCCCCCCACTTGCACAGCTACCCCTCCACGGATGCATCCAATGTGGAATCATCTCCACAGGAGCTTTCTCGTCGGGTTCGCCCCACCCCTCTACTGTTTGACAGGACACCACTTGCATTACATCCCAGCTACGATCATGGACGGCTGCTAACATTGTATGCCCCATTCAGATTGATGACCCGCAAATGCCTGGCTTGATTCCCCTGATCAAGAAGATTACGCCGGATCGTCCTGTCCTCTACAGATCCCACATCCAGATTCGCAGCGACCTTACTGGAAAGGCTGGTTCCCCTCAGGAGGACATCTGGAACTTCCTGTGGAGCAACATTCAGCATGCCGACATGTTCATCAGCCATCCTATTCCCATCTTCGTTCCGCACAACGTGCCTCGCGAGAAGGTGGTCTACCTCCCGGCCACCACTGATTGGCTCGACGGTCTGAACAAGCCTCTTAACAGGTGGGATACTGGCTACTATGGCCACATCTACAACACTGCCTGCCGTAACCAGGGAATGACTGAGCTAGAGTGGCCTGCGCGCAAGTACATCATCCAGGTGGCTCGCTTCGACCCGTCCAAGGGCATCCCCACCGTGATTGACTCTTATGCCGAATTCCGGCGTCTGTTGGAGGAGAAGGGCGAGACGGACATCCCTCAGCTCGTTGTCTGTGGCAATGGCTCAGTCGATGACCCTGACGCGAGCATGATCTACGATCAGACTATGAATCAGCTCGAGAAGCATTATCCTCACCTCGTCAAGGACTGCAGCATCATGCGCCTCGAGCCCAACGACCAGCTCCTCAACACCGTCATCGCCAATGCTCACGTTGTTCTTCAGCTCTCTACCCGCGAGGGTTTTGAGGTCAAGGTTTCGGAGGCGCTGCACGCTGGCCGCCCGGTCATTGCGACTCTTGCTGGCGGTATTCCGCTTCAGGTCAAGGATAACGTCAACGGCTTCTTGGTCAAGCCCGGCGACTACAAGGCCGTTGCAGGTCACCTGTTGAACCTCTTCACCGATGCTGACCTGCACAAGAAGATGAGCCACGCCGCCGCCACTGGTGTGAGCGATGAGGTCGGCACTGTCGGCAATGCTCTGGGCTGGTTCTACCTTGCCGCCAAGTGGGCCGAAGTCGGTGTCAAGCCTGGCCTGCGCGGCGATGAGCGCTGGGTCAATGACATGGCTCGCGAGGAGGCCGGCAAGCCTTACAGCGACAACGAGAACCGTCTGCCTCGTCACTTTACTGAGAAGAAGGAGATTCCCGTCGTCTCTGGAAAGACTAATGGCCAGAACGGTGACGACGGCCACTAAGTGCTTGGAGCTGATCTCGTGCGAATGAACGTATTATGAGGTTGTGACATGTTGCGGCTAGGACTTGGGTCGCTAAGAAATTATGGTATCGTGGAAAGAAAAAACGGTGGTTCTCGGGGTCTTTCATAGACTGAGATGTATGGTTGATAAATGGCTTTCTTCGTCAGTAGTCGAATTGATATCCTCACTTTAGTGCAACTTTAGCGTTTGAAACTGCAGATGTTATCTTTGACTGATGGCGGGAGGCGAGAGATAATCGTAGAGATGGTGTGAAGATGGGGGATGAAATGTTTCGATGAGGACAATTGTGTTGGGGTGATCCCAGACGACACCAGGTGACAGGTTTAGCTGGCGGACGGCCGAGTGCGCCGCGCAAGCCGCAAGCCCCGGTCGGATTTACGATTGCTACATCTCCAGTCTCACCGCGAATCACTTGAATCAGTTAGTTGTCGCGGCCAGCCGCGCGTACCCAACGCACCGGGCTGCGAACCAGGGCCTTTTTGGGGAGCTGATCCCTCCGATTGATAAGCCAAGCCGCAGCCATAAGCTGCCACCTCCCGAGCTGAGCCTCTCTTTTTTCAACTTTTCGTTTTCCTTTATCTCGACTGGACATGGCTCAACAGTGTTTCTAGATCTGGCGTGTTCCTTTTCCAAACCCGTACCTTAAACTTTGTCCCAAGGTGAGCATTATGGTTCACCTCGTCTCGGCCGCCGCCGTCTTGGCGCTATCTGCTGGCCTGGGTTTATCTCCGGCAACGGCTCTCGTCTCGGCCGAGCCCATTTCGGCGCCGCGACCGCCTAATCATCAATCACCACCTTCAACAACAATAACATCATCATCGTCAGTCGACTTCGCGCCGAGCGCGGACCATGCGCGGGAGAATGCGGTGCACATCTTCAACGCCGTGCATTCTGCTATGCGGCAATGGGGTTCCTCGCTGCATCACAACGGGCTGGGTCTCATTCCCGCCACGGTCCCCAAGGGCACGCTGATGTACCACGGCACGAGGTCGAATAGTACCCCCGACAGCTTCGAGTGGCTCGCGTTCGAGATGGAGCACTCGGAAGGGTTCGCGAGGAGTTTCCGGGGCGGGAGGGGGTCGCCGCCTCCGAGGCCGCCTGGGAAGGGGAAGGGACCCGGGGGTCCGCCGGGTAGTGGTGGTGGTGGACCACCTGAGGGACCGCATGGGTCGGAGCCTATTCTCATGATGGGACAGGAGGGAAGTCAACGGCCTATTGGGGCAGTTGACGAAGACGACGATGACGACAAAAAGAAGCCTCCTCCGAAGGGACCTGGTGGCCCCGGCGGCGGCGACGGGAAGCCTGTCCGAGGATACTTCCACACCTACCGCGCGAAGCGGGACCTGAAGCTGCTGTACCTCGACGGCATGGCGGCCGGAAAGACGGGCATGGGCACGCTCGACACGCAGGATTTCTTGCTGCGCGGTCTCAAGGAGGCGCCCGGGTTCGGGGAGTGGGACCGGGCCGCGGATATCTGTGATGTCGTCAAGGCGTGGGGGCTGGACGGGGTGATTAGGATGGAAATCGGCTTCGAGGCGATTTACTGCGACTTCCACGACGGGCTGGTGCTCGAGAGCGTGCTGCGGCGGCCGTGGAACGACGTCCCTGAGGCAGGGGGCGGTATCGACATGTTTGAGTGGGCGAGGGCCGTCGGGCAGCGGTATGATGGCATCGGCGGCGGGCGGGTGAGGCTTGGGTTCGGGGGGATGGTGAGCGGGTTGTGGTATCCTCTGAATGTGAGCAATCCGAACGGGAGGGTCGATATGCCGCGCCTGGGGCGGTTGACGGAGGCGGAGAGGGGGGTTATGCTTGGGCGGGTTGGGGAGATTGTGAAGGGGGCGGGGTGGGAGGATGGGAGGGTTGATTGGCAAGGGGTTGTTGATATGATTGTTACGAGGCATGGGGATCGGATTGAGACGTTGGCGGATGAGGGGGCTGATGGGGGGGATGAGGGGTTTGTGGCGCAGGTTTTGACTGTTACGAATACGTTTGTGGATTATCCGCGGGATGCGGATGATTCTGCTGTTGTTGCGAAGGATGAAGGGGAGGATGGTTATGTGAGAGAGGCGAGGGAGCGGTGCGTGAAGCACTTCTTGACGCCGGCGGCGGTGTGGAAGGCCGAGTGGACGCCCGAGGACGGGATGATGTACGTTGCCGTCGAGGCTGTCGTCCAACGGCTCTGCGGAGATCTCTTTGATGTCCGAGGTCTCGTTCTACAGGCGTTGCCGGCGTTGGTCGGGGCCGTTTCCGAGGCGGAGGTCCGGCGCGTGGTCGACGATAGTCGCGGGGACGACGACGAGAAGCTCGAGGGTGCGGTGACAAAGGGCCGCGAGGTGATTCAGGCGCTCAAGGAGGATCTCGGATGGAGCACGTGGAAGAAGTGTAGGCCTGGGTGCGACGTCGGGGAGATTTGTTTCATTGCCATGTGGCCTTTTGGGCTGGAGGAGGATCACTTCCATCCGAGCTGTCATAACCGGAGTTCGTTGGCGGGCAGGGATGGGCGACGGGGTTCTGGGAAGGGGTACTGGGAGTGGGAGCCTAGGCCTTGAGGGTGGTGATGTAGATGGAATAGGAGGGGCGGGTAGATTTCCTTGATGTCTTGTCCTGGATCGAGATGTTTCCTAGATTCTAGCTCGTTTCTGTATCGAGATTCTGATACGTGCTGGCTTTGGACCTTTTGCTGGAGAGTGAATATTACGCTGGCGTTGTGTATTCACGTCGACGATAGAGGATACTTGAATCCCTTCCTCTTCGTTCCTGCCACCAAGCGCTTCGGGTAAGTTGGTCGAGGGGTTCATGGGGGAAGACCCGAGTGTGGATCTCAGTCCCCTCGACCACCGGATCTGACGTTTGGTTCTTTGTTCGATCCCATATCGAGGAATGACTTTTCGTGATCTTCTTAGGAATTGTTATAAGGCTGTTGAAGTGGAGAGACAGGCGATAGGCATCACGCACCACGTGACCGGATTAAATTAGCCAGTACATCTGCTCTTCATGACGAGGGCAGTGTATTCGCTTTGAGTATATTCAATGCTCGATGTCATGTACGAAATTCGTGATGCCAGCCTACCTTAGCCAGGACAGGTGATGTTTCTCTTTTTTGTCTTCGTCTTGTTCTCGTGGCCACTCAGCGACGAATACCGCGGCTTGAGAAGCATACAAACATAGATATCACTCGACCCAGAGAACCTCTGAAGGTCTAAGATTCTGCTCATCGAAAGGTTTACTCAGGATGTTGTTCACCATTGACACGTGACTTTCCGGGTCGACACTCGCCACCGGAGCGCGTTCTCAAGGTGGCCATATTCTGCCTCAGCTGGACTCTCACGATAGCAATGTATTGGAAAAGCTTGAGTGATAGCTTGTTAATTGGTCCCTTCAATCCAAAGGTCGGCGTCTTCTTTCCAATGTGCCGCCTCTTGGGATCGATTTGGTGGTGATGAAGGATGAGATGGCAGCCAACTATCAGGTTGATATCCTGATCACAGCAAAACCTCGACAGGCGATGTTCATTAACAATTCGCCATATTACTGCGAGAGACTCGTCCGGTCTCCAAGATGAAGTCTCAGCTACAAAACCACAACATTCTGATATTTACTGATCCTGGTGGACTTTCGGCCTCAATCTACATCCGCAAAAACAAACTCCGCCTTAATCATCTCAAAAATAAAATCCTTCACCGAGGAGATGCAAAATCCAAACAAAACCCTTCAAAATTCCAAATTCCATGAATCTCTATCCAAAGATCCAAATCTAGACTCAATTAACCCACGGTTGACGTTGCACGTCGTCGCGTTGGTCATACTCACAAAAAAAAAAAAAAATGGTCCCACAAAGCTCGCACCTCGGACATTTCGCAATAGCGAGATCTGCGAGGTCACGACTCAGCGCACGCTGCGTAACGACGTGAACTTGCAAAACGCACTGCAAAGTGGAATCATGCCAAGATTGGGGTAACGGTGCCTTCAAGCACGTCTTTACTGCGTAGTGAGTTTGCGTTGTCACCTTTTTTGCATCAAAGCCAAAGGTAGGAGACGTGAACCGGGAGCAGGTACTTGTTTGCGTGCTGAGAATACTCAATCTATCGAATCCTACTCAACATTCAAACTATGTGCGCTCGTCAATGAGAAAAGTATGACTAGTCTTCGTCAACGGCATCCACAGTTCTAGAACATTTACGTGCAGTCATACTCGTCCAAATCAGGGTCACCGCAATGGTCACAGCCACGACCCACGATCTATCCGTACCGCCCTCTCCCCTGAAGACGCATCACGCCCTACGCGACCCGGTCCGCGGAGAAGGTTTCCCCAGGTCCCAGGTCATGGGCCCCTCCGCTAGCCCTGTGGGATCATCGGGAGGGATCGTGGAGCCATGAAATATTCTCTAGGCATTGGACTCTCACTGCGGTTCCGCGTTTGGGCGATTTCTGTTTCTTACAAAGTCATCCCGGGAAATCCCTCGAGGTATTAGGTAATTACTTCCAGCGCGTCAGCTGGCGGCGCAAAGGTGCACTGATGTGGCGGCGGGACGCGGGAGAGCGCAGCGGGATTATGTTCTTAGCGTTGTGGCCGGGCTGGGGATAGGCGCCGTTGGGGGTTCGTTGGTTAATGGTCATGGGCTGAAAACTTGGATTCGAAGTATTACACGCACAGGAATTTAGCACCTGGATGAGTCCGATGGAGCCTTTCATCCCGTCGGCTCGGGGAGACTTGGAACTGGGAACTGGGCATCCTCGAGGTGATCTTTTTCCAGCCCAAGTATTTGTTCGTTGTCCAAGAAAAATCAATTTGCTTCCGAATCGAGTCAGCAGGATACCTCAGTGCTCCTTTCTCGTCACATTTGCTATAGTCCACCCACAAATGGGCGTCCACTAAGGCTTCGGGCGATATTCCGCGAAACTAGCATGACGGTAACTGCCATGAAAAGTGACGCAAATGCCCAGCTGTGTCCGTACGGACGAAATACAAACAGATCTAATTACAAGCCACTCAAAACGGGAGTGGCGGTGCGACATTGTTGTCTCTCGTCTCTGAAATCCATGTTTCTCGCCTGTTGAACTCTTGACTCTTGACTCTTAACTCTTGACTCTGGTGAGTGTGAGGCGTCGGCCACTCGGTACACCTCACCCTCCATGTTCCACCATCCCTTTCCTCGCCATCTGTCAAGAATCAATGCCAGGCACAGAATCGATAGCTGGGGACGCCACTGTAATCGACTGAGAGAAAAAAAAAGAGAAACCAGTGTCTGACTTCCCATGTGCCCTGCTCCAACACACGCCGCAGCTGGTTCTAGCCTGCAGAATTAGGCTTTGACAGGCGAGGGAGGCAGCGTTACTAGTTGAGTTAGTGCCAGGAACCACCCACGCCACCAAAGAGGTTTGATGTTTTTGGCTCCTCTGGAACTCGGACGCCTGGCCGCCGCGCCGCGCTCGTGACAACTTCGACAGAAGAGAGTGCGCGTCTGCAACATCTCAGACCTTGGAGACTCCGAGGGCGGTTCTCGATCCATCTTGCAGCTTGCATGCTGCCACCGGCTGTTACCGGCAGGGCAGAGAGGTCAGTGCCATTACGCAGTGACGAATGGCACGTGAACGAGGCCTTTGAAGTCGGCGGCTCTCACCGAATCTACGCAACAAGTCTGTCGCCGCTTCATCCACAGTGGGTTCCTTCATCAATGAGTGTCCACGATGTAACGACTCAGTGTCGCTACGTCGATCCAAAAGTGACGCAACCGCAAAGTTAATGCCAAAAACAACCCCCAAGGTCCAGACTCACTCTCCGCGGATTAGCAGTTGCAACCCTGTAATCCAGCCGGCAGCTCTGACGAGCCACGCGAAAGCGGCCGCTGACGATTCCGCTCTCGTCGGCGTGGTCCATGGTCCTCTCGTCAGGGGTTACCCCCGGCCGTCCTGGGAAATGGATCCCGTTGCCGACCTTGTGGCCCATTGAACGGGTGCGCGCCGCGGAGATGCAAGATTCAACGACATGTGGAACTCCGACCCGAATGTCAGGCCACCGGCAATGAGCCATGTTACGGGACGCCCGGTTTTTCTGTGGAGGCCAGCGGCCATGAGCGGTCCGCACACATCGTCGACCATTGAGAAGCCTGATATTTGTCAATTGTAAACGTCGTCCCGTGGAAATGGTGCTTCTTTGTCCTGGGAAATAAATACTGCCCGAGTCTCCCGCTTCTGAAACGGAAGAGAGAAGAGAAAAAGTATCACTATCCAGACATCAGACTTCAGACTTTCGTCACACAGACAATAAGAAACTTCAGACTTCAGACTGCTGAGCACTGGCTGCAGCACATCATCATCATCGTCACCGTCATCATCAACATCACCTCCGACTCATCACCCTTGGTAGATGTTCTCCCTCTTCAAGACCACTCGTCTTTTGCCAACTTTGGCTCGTCCCACAAACAACCTTGCCCGAGCATTCTCCATCTCATCCGCCAGAATGGGCCTCACGCAAGACCAAATCAACATCGTCAAGTCGACGGCGCCCGTGCTCAAGGTGCACGGCGAGACCATCACGACCCTCTTCTACAAGGACATGATTGACACCCATCCCGAACTCAAGAACATCTTCAGTCTTCGCAACCAGGCCTCTGGTGAGCAGCCCCGGGCACTCGCCCAGTCTGTTCTCGCCTATGCCACGTATATCGACGATTTGCCCAAGCTCAAAGCCGCTGTTGAGCGTATCGCCCATAAGCATGCATCGCTGTACATTCGCCCTGAGCACTACGACATTGTCGGCCACCACCTTATGAAGGCAATCGGGGAAGTCCTGGGCGACGCACTCACACCTGAGATCGCCGAGGCTTGGACACTAGCATACGGGCAGCTTGCGCAGGTTTTCATCGGCCGCGAGAAGGAGATGTACCAAGAAGCAGGCACCTGGACAAATTGGCGCAAGTTCAAGATCATCCGCCGCATCGACGAGTCCGACTCCGTCACCAGCTTCTACCTCGCACCATCAGACGGCAAGCTGCCCCTGCCCAAGTACCTACCGGGCCAGTACATCTCCGTGCAGGTCCCAGTACCGCAACTCGGCGGCATCACTCAGCCCAGACAATACAGTCTCAGCGACGCGGCGACACAAGGAGAGTACTACCGTATCAGTGTCAAGCGTGAGGCGACAGTGGTGGACGCGCCGGAAGATGACCTGAAGAAGGGCCTTGTCCCCGGCCTCATTTCCAACCTCTTGCACGACGGCTACCAGGTCGGCGACGAGATCGATGTGTCGCACCCGCAAGGAGACTTCTTCCTGGATGCGAAAGAATCCGAAAAGGCGGACGTTCCGTTGGTGCTTCTATCGGCAGGTGTCGGTGCAACGCCGCTCATGTCGATCCTCAACACGGTGCTGAGCCCGGAGTCCAAGACGCCGAACCGGCCGATCAAGTGGGTGCACGCGGCACGCAACAGCAGCAACTTGGTATTTGCCAAGCACATCCGGAACCTGACACGGGAGCGAGAGAACGTCAGCGCGCATATCTTCCTCAATGAGGTCAAGCCAGGAGACGAGAAGGGGCAGGAGTACGATTACGAGCAGCACCTCGACCTGAAGCAATTGCCGGAAGAAGAGCTCGGTCTCGCCGACAAGAGAACCGAGTACTACGTCTGCGGGCCGAGGGATTGGATGCTCAAGGTGAGACTTGTGTTGGAAGGTTTGGGCGTCGAGAGGGAGAGAGTGAAGCTGGAGCTATTCGCAACTGGTGACGTCGAGCAGTAGTCAGTCATCAGTAGTTATTTGAGTATCAGGTTAGACAGGGCTGAGAGAGAGGGAGAAAAGAAAGAAAGAAAGAAAGAAAAAGATTTGGCTGGGATCTTGCGAAGGGATGATTAGGCGGGGCGAAAGTTTTGGTATCGAACTGAAAGAGGTTCTTTTCCTCGCGCACCTTGCTTGAATTGTAATTGTATTGATAGATAGATACCTCTCTGAAATTTTCAACATTTTTGTCATTGTGAACGGCAAGATGTGTGTCGAGAGTTCGTTACTTTTTTGCCTTGTGTCCTTTTTTCGTGACTTGGTCCTCCCTCGGCCGTGCGAGTCCAAGTTTTTCTTTTTCCCAGCTGCGCTGTTTCGAGGCGATGGGTTTTGCAAAAGTTTTCTGACGTGTAGAATTTGACACGATCTTGCGCACAGGCTGAAAAATGAGGCTTCTAGACGCCAAGTCGAATCTTGGGCTGTAGCAAGTTGATGAGATTCAGAGAATGAAGTTGATATTGGCATCGAACAACAAGCGTTATTGATAATACGCCTTCTATCGGCTAGGCGCTGGATCGAATCGGGACGGTCCGCTGGTGAACCAGAGTTTGAGATTCTGAACTTGGGCGTTACGGTGTAGCAGCCAAGCGACTCGTTCGTGTCATTGCTATAATGCGTCAAGTAAGCAGCCCGCCGTTGGGATGAAGCCTTCGTCTATGGTTCATAGGTTAAGGCGGAAGGGTGTGCGGACGAGGCTCGCGGCGTTCACGAAGGGAAGACTGGACGAGACCAGAAAAAATGGGTTGGGTGACACAGAGAAAGGTCGTATTCCCGGTACACTTTGCTTTTTCTCAGCACAGATAAGTGACGAGTAACTTGGCTCTGGCGCCCAAGTTGTGCATCGTGACGATGGATGCTAGGACCAGGCGTCGAGACACGGCTTGCAGGCGGGATGGCTCCCCGAGCGGGAGCTTGCGCGGGAGCGGGTGCGATCCGGGAGGGCAGCTGATGGGATTGGGACCAGCAGGGAGGCGGAATCATGGCTTTGGGTCCGTCGATCTGCGATGCAGCGACCTAACGATCCAGCAGCTAGCCATGGAGCATCGGATCGACATGGATAGTCAGGAGGAGGCCAGCTGCATATTCCCCGTTCATCAGGGTCCGCCTTGATGGGATTTCGGATCCAATGTGAGATGCGATGAACGTCAGCGCAGGGGTGGGAGGGGTGTAGAAGAAGATATACTCAGCAAGGTACGCTGAAAAGCTAGTCTACTCGACGGTAGACCTGAAGGGAGCAGGAGGCGAGGCGGCTGACGATAGATCCGGATCAAGGGTCATGCTAGTATGGTAGAATATGTCTCCAATGTCTGAGTCTTGAGGGACCTAAAATGGAGCTGATGGAGCTGATGGACGAGACGGGCGAGGTGGGCGAGGTGGGCGAGATTCAGATGATGGTTGTGAGGTCAGAGTAAAGAATTTGCGGCCAATAGATGGAGAGGCGTCGAGACCTGTGAGGATTGTTCGTACCTTACCGCGGCGAGTGACTTACATCTCGGGGCAAGACCTCACTGGATCGGCCCAGGGGTTCAGTTCGGCCGTGATTGGTGAGACCACGTGCCCGGGGAGTCGGGGCTCCGGTGCCGAGCGCTAAGAATAAAACAGGCAAGACCAGTGGTCCAGGTACGGCCAGGTCACGTTGTTCTGGGCATGGGAGGCAAGAGGTACGCGGCCGTACGGAAGTAAGGTACCTAGGTAGAATAGAGCCTAAGGAGGAAGTTGCGAGGGCAGTGGAGGGCTACTGAGGTGGGAGACGGAAGCTGCACCTGCCGCCCTCGGCCTCCGGGCAAGTCCCCACCTGCCGTCGCCGTCCCCGGATCCGTCGGCCGGAAACAGGTACGTACTTTGTGCTGCCATCCGGGTCGGGTGAGTGCCTTCCTCCCATCTTGCGGCCTGTCTCACGCTGCCACCTCAATCATTTCCACTTCTCACCAACACCAAGCCCAATTCCAACACCAACATCCTCCCGCCCACCTGTCGACGAGACTGCCGTTTTTCCCTTTGGAATGTTCAACTCCCACTAGAGATTCCGTACGTGGCTGAGCGCGTGCAGTCGTACCTTGGGCGCCGCTTCTCCCCATCTCTTTCGCCCATTCTTGCTTCCCTGCGTCAGGACAGGGGGCCCGCCGACATGACAGGGGCTCAATTCCCATCCATCTGGCACCACTAATCTTTTCCTTTCTCAATTATCTTTCTTCTTTCTCCTCCCCTTCCTCTCTTTTCCATTCACTCGGCTCCATCGCCCGTCCCGACGATCAGATTCATCGCCTCCCACCTCTTATTCTCCTAGTCAATCGCCTGCGCTAACTCTCTCACGGTATGGCCTCGACCACGGTCATATTCGACTGCTCACTGCTCACATCGACCCAGGCATCTTGCTCGATGGATCGATGGATCTCCGGAGCTGTCCCGGCATTGCCAGGTCCCCATGTCCAATGATCTCACTCACATTGATCATTTTTTCACCCATCGTCGTCATTCCAGGGGCCTCGGGAAGAAATCATCGAGTGGAATCCTGATGGGCCTAAGGGCCAGAGTTCTGGAAGAGTCAGCTGCATTCCGTCGTGATGCCCCCTCTCGCCCTGTCCTGCCACACAAGATCCTGCGACCAGCCGAAACCCATCGCCCTCTCAGGGGACACGAATCACAAGGATGGCCACTGTGGAATGCCGGTACTCAAACTCTATCCGCGCATCTTGGTCACACCTCTTCAGTCCCCCCCCCCCCCCCATCACGGGACACCTGGAAGCTGCGAGCTATTCGTATACTTGGTAGAACTACCTGGAAGCTGGAGCTGCCTGGAGCTCAACATTTTTCATGTACCGCATGGGGTCTCTCCAATGACCAGTCTCCAACCGACCCTCCGCCTGTTCTAGAGTTTGTGGACCAACGGCCTCCGTGGTCGAGAACCGCTGTTGCCCGGATGTCGCCCCTCGCCGATGGAATAGTGTGCCTCGCGGAACTTGAACTTGGGCTCTGGATTGGCAGACTATCTAGCACCCCACGCTGTGTGAGGGTCCTTCAGCGCGCCTCTCTCCATTATTTCAACGCGTCCAGCCGGCCCCAAAGCCGCCCAAGAACCTCTTTTGGGTCCCTCCCCCGTCAATATTGCACCTCGGTGCCAATATCGTTCACCTGATGTCGCAGTGCACTGGCCCAGGGGTCTCGTCTCTGCCGAGAAGCTGAAGAAATATTCCGCGGGAGCGCGCATCCCGCCATGTAAGGACCCGAGAGACGACAAGCCAAGTCCGAAAGGGAGGGCAGCTGTCATAATGCACCAAACCGCAAAATCAACGCAACCCCATCATGCCATGCCATGCCATGCTACCGGTTCTGACGGATGGCCGAGGCGCTGCGATAATGCCTAGTGTGGTCGAAGATGGGACTCGAGCTGAGCTGTCAACATACCTACGCGAGTCGTGGTTCAACAGCACGGGCAGTTGCATGATCTGATGCTTCATTCCGTGGAACGGCCCGCATTCGCGCACCTGGCACTGCGACCGCCGACTATTATGCTAAACTGCTGGCTGCATCGTGCCGGCACTGCTCATGGCACTGTCTGGACCACCTGGAACACCAGTTCATCCGACCCAATTTTTGTCATTTCGTTTCGGCCGCAGTCGCCTGAACAATCGCAATCCGCAACAACTAAAACAAAGAATCTTATTCTTTGAAGCAGGAACATCAAACAACAATCGCATTGACAAGACGGTGGAAGGCGTCATACTCTGATCGGCTTCCAAACCAGCCTCGACGTTACCCGTAACCCGGGGCTACGCGGTGCCCAATCACAACATCCCACTCTGTCCTGTCTCACAGACTGGTGTGGTGACGCCGCTGACTGACTTCTTGGTGATCCCCCAGAGTCCCAGAGTGGTCATGGAGACTGGGCTGCCACGAGTCGAAGGCTGGGCGACGCGGCCTCTTGCTCCTTTCACGCCTTGTGCAACGCACCTCGGTTTCTCGTACCTTTTTTCGTGTCTCGTTGTGTTCCTCAAAAACCTCCCTTGACACAAAAAGAGATTCCAATTTTGTCTCCAGCCAGGGCAGACACGAGTACCTTTGGCCCGAGAATTCTCGACTGTATCAACTGTCCGTCGTATTATCCTCCTCTACTCCGTAGGATACTCCGCACGGGATCCCGCCGTTCCTATCGAATGGCAAGGGGTTCTGACAACCCAAACAACAACTCTTAGCTGTGCCAGATCACTAGCTTTCCTTAAGCTATTTGCGCCATCACGTCGGGTCGCCCTCTGACGTCCGGATTTGACCATGGCACGGCGGATACCAGAAGCTTGCAAGGGTCCGTCTTGAGGGGTAGTGTCGGTGATCCTTGCTAGCAATCAAGCCACCCACACTTTGGAGCTCCTCGATATCGCGCACTAAAACTGCATTCTCCCCAATCCGGCACGCAGCTCTAAGGGAATGCACGTTACTCACCGGCGACGGCGCGCCAGCCTAAGAACTCTCATGCTCTGCTCATCATCGACATCGTCTCCCGCTTGCCATCCAACCGCGCCCGCCAACTGCCCGCCTACAGCGCTTACTTGGCCTTCCCGCACGACAAAGAGACGGCGCCTTCCTGCCACCTTCTCGGCCGTATCCTTACCGATCTAACCTGCTTAAACCCACAACGGGCCCTACTCAACGGCCTCTCGTCGCAAGGCTGTCTCCTAGTCCACGACAACTTCCCACCATAAGTCCCTTAGTCGACTACGGCATTACTTTTTTTCCCCGATGAAGATGCTGTCACTGGGCCTTCCAATCGTCAACTTCGGCCTTGGTTGCCCCCGGCGCTGACTCCGAACTTCACCGAGCGAGGCAAAAGGAGGCACAGAAGTCCAGCTGCAGGTGTGCTTCGCCCGGTTGGTGCGGAATGCCTCCCCTCTTCGTTTTAGCTGGTCATCGTGCCTGAGGTCATCACGGCACGGCATCAGTGCCCCCCGCCCCTGGCAATAACGCACTGTGACAATCGTGGGATTCCAGATTGCATCGATCACTTGTGGCTCCCATCTCATCTGGTACACTGCGGCGCAAACACAGGGTACCCTGGTCGAAAATCCAGATTGCCGGGTTCGCAGCCACCAGCAAATATTTGGTAACAAACAACCACGCAAACCAGCGCAGCAAAGGAAGCAAACAACCCTCGAATCCTGACAATTTCCACGCATAACGGGCAAACATGTCTACGAAACCGTTAGACAGTTTTATTTTGCGGCTTGATTTCTGGGCCTTGACTGAAATTGCTCCATCTATCGGCTAAGCAACATCGGCTTCTTGCCCGGTGTCGTGTCGTCGTGTCAGGTCGTGTCGTCCATCCCCGAGTCCTCCGACTCACCAAGTTGGTAATCGAACTGAATCTGGACTCTACTCGAGCCAAGACGGCTCTCTCCATTGGCTGCGTTGCGAGAATCACGGCGACTACGGAGACTAGGAGACTAATCCAAGCCGTCGTGGAGTCTACTTACGTGGTCGGCTGGCTCGTTGAAGAGCTTCCCGAAGCCGCTTGATAGTTCGATGGATCTTGGCCAGAAGGCTCGATGGGACGAGGCAGAGGCGGCGGGGGAGGCTTCGCCGTTATCTCTGCCACCTTGTGACATCTGACATATGAGGCAAGCGATCCAACTCGAACCCGAGGCTAGGCGTCGAAAAGCTCGAATCGCGATCATAGGTTGCACAGCATCTGGTGCCTGCGCCGCGCTGCACCGTTTTCCTGAAGAAGATGGGTGCTAAATGTGACGTCCATCAACGACGCCGTCGAAGCAGGATCACCACTTGCCCCTTAGCCATTCCTTGGCACACAAACTCGAGGACCCGCCCTTTCAGCCACGTTCTGCATGCTGTTGCGGTCCCTGTCGACCATAGGAGACGATGGGAGACCAAGTGGTCCAAGGCCATGCCGCGCGGTGGTGGGGGAGCGGATTGGAGTGGTGAGTTACCTTAGTACCTAGGAACATCGGCTCGACTCGACTCGACTCGACTGTGACGGTGGGTAAGAGACTCAGACAGACGCCACACCTGGCGGATGGTGGCCCGTCATGGTGGGAAAAAAAAAGCTCTTTATGTTTTCTCTCTCTGGAGAGAGCTTTCTTTGTCCTTTTTCCATGCCACATCTGTCCAAACCTTTTCTGAGTTCTGACACTTCGTTTTTGCATGTTTCATCGTCTCCACAGACAGGGACCCTGGTGGATCTTCCGGCCCCTTGCAAGTGATCCTGGGCTGGTTAGTGCAGCTCTGTGCAGTGTGCAGATTGAAGAGAGGAGAACTAGAGACTGGGGGACTGCAGACGTGTATCTCTGTCTCTCTGTCTCTCTCTCTTTTTGTCTGCGAGCTAGTGGAGCAGGTTTCTTCTTTCAGGCATCGTCCTCTCATACTGTCTAGCAATGAACATCGGATCGCTGAAGTCAGGCAAGGTCTGTACCGTGGTGCTGGGCCGCCGGGGAAGTGCCCATTGGTTGTCCGGGCGAGCAAGCGGTGCTGTTGTCTACTCGATTCGAGCGAACCAGGCTGGATGGACTGACTGGATGGAGACTTGAGTCTTGTCTGTAATTGTTCTGCACACCCCCTTTCCACTCCCTCCTCGTCGTCCCTTTTTCTCCTACGGACACCTACCAGGCAGGCTACCTTCCATGCCAGAGGTACGGATACCATACCCTACTCCCATATCCCGGTCCGTAGTTCTGGGGAGGTTAGCCCAGATGCTATTTCTTTCCAGTCCGAGAGGACAAGGTCCAGCATCCTCGTCCATTTTCGCCATGTTTTACTATCTCGCTCCAAGGCTAGCCGATGACTGTCCAATCAAGGTAGCCCGGCACATCCAGTGCTTTTTCGACCGAGCGGGCTATGGTTGCGGCGAGGAATGGATCAGCTCGGGTCGTATCGTAGTCGATGCTCTTCGGTACCTCGCCTGCTCGCTGGATCTCTCTCTTTTTGCCCTGCACCTCATCAACGGTACTCTTGTCCCCGGTCGAGAGAAAAGCATTCATGTGTAGCTGTCTCATTGACTAGGGATCAGAGCAGCCCACTTCTTGGTCGAATGGATCAGGCCTATTTGACTACACACCTCCCCTCACCCCCGACTCTCTGGAATTCCCTCGCAAATTGTTCTTGTTTTGCAAACGCCGAACCATGGCAGTGACAATGTCTGACGGTCCGATTCGGAAGGCCTGCGATCGGTGTCATAGGCAGAAGCTCAGCTGTAAGCGCGTCGGCGATGAAGCTTGTGAGCGCTGTATCAGACTCAAGGAAGAGTGCACTTCGAGCCCTTCTCTGCGGTATCGCAAGCAACACAGCCAGCAGCACCAGCAGCAGCACCACAACCACCACCAATACGGCTCAACAGGAGAGGTTGTACGAAGAGCCATCCCGACTCCCAAGCGGCAACGTACAGAGAGCGGGGCTGCCCAAGTCACACAGTCCGATCAAGGTGAGTCTTAGGTGTCTTTGGCTTGTCTAGCATAATCCTCCCTTTACTGATGATTCTTGCCTCGTGTAGTTATCGTCAAGACCCAACATGGTGGTCCCGTCTGTGGTAACACGGCATTCGGAGACAATGCTGTCGTTTCACCTGAGGCCATGCTTGACATGGTCGATTTCGACTTTGGCTTCGGTAACTCTGCCGGCCTCTATCAACCCAGCACAAACCAACAACAATTACCCCAGACTTTCACCGGAGCCATGGACGATCTGATGTCAGGACATGGAGATTCCATTACCCATCCGTGGAGCCCAGTCCACTCGGCAACTTCAGACTCGGCATTCACCTCACCCATGGCACCGCAAGCAGACCAGGTCGGCCGGGTCTATCTCGGAAGCCCTGCGTTGCAAAGGCAATCTTCTTCAAGATTGAGTAAGCCGCATGACTTTACTCCACCACGGCGAGCAAGGAAGCGTGTCAAGCAAAGAACAAGGCAAATCATGCTCCGGCCGTACGCTGCTGGCCAAGGACCATCGACTGGAGAGTGGATGCCGCGCATCACCGAAGTCAACTCCAGGCTCTTTGAGCTCTCGTCAAACCTACCCGCGCACATCGACTCATCCGAGGAGCCCGGCCGATCCAGCATAGCCTCAACGCCCGATGACGGAAGCTCTACCTCGGCGCCTTTCCCAGTTGATGAGATGTTCAAACTCTCTCGACACTTTGCCGACCTTCTTGCGGAAATGTCTCCACCGATGGAGGCCGCCTCTCCCGCAAGCGATGGCGGGAACTCTGTACTAGCCAAAGGACTCAACTCCTTGTCGGATCCGGCGACCTGTCTCTTCGTCCTCTCGACGTATGTTCGGCTTCTAGACATGTACCAGAAGGTCTTCAGCTGCATTCACTCAGAGCTAAATCAGCTTGAGTCGGGTCACCTGTTTCAGTCATGGAAACTTCCTGGCGTCACCGTGGGCTCCTTTGCCGTCGACTCGGCGCCGTCCCTCCAGATGTCTCTCACGATTCAGTTAGCGGAAGAGTTTCTATTACAGATGCGGCGAGCGTCTGCATCACTCGATCCGACTCTGCGATCGGATGGTTCACCAGCGGGAAAGGCCCCTGATGCAGCCTCAATGTTCTCTGGAGTAGTCGATGTCTCATTTCAGGCATTGAAGAGGCAAGAAGAAAGCCTAGGCAAGGAACTAAAGGATCTACGAAAGGCAATGGAGACTTCTCTCGACGGATGAAGACGAAGCCAAGGTGTGTAATCGTGTTAGATAGTGCAAATTGCTGTATTGGTGGCCTCGATTTGCTTCTCAATATGCTTAGTGTGGGGAATTGGACGACGGATGGAGTTGTGTCATGGAGTTCATAGGATCGGATGGAGTCACTTTTAGACATGAGGAGCCAAGACAGCCTCAATCTGAACCACGCGGGACAAAGAAACGTCTTTCATGTGCAAGTACCCCATATTCTCCACGAGGAAGATATGCACGTTGATACATTGACTTTGTGAAGGTTATAAGTCACTACGGAACGGATCGCGCTTCCGAAATTCTTGAGCCCAGGACCGTTTTCGTCGTTAGGTCTCTCTCTATTGAGTCTCTGATGACATCGGTTGCTCCCAACGCCGAAACAGACGTAAGTCACTCTTACACACGCTGGATGAGCCGTCGTTGAAGAAGAGGCGCCGTCTTATCAAGCCTCCCGGGCGGCCGATGGCGTCCGCGAGACCGAGATCGAGAGACTGGCTGACTAAATAATAGTCGGAATCCCGTTTGTTTGCTGGCAACTAAAATAGTCAACGCCGAACGTGCACGCCAAATAATCCCGGCGACCGTTCGAGACATTCTTCGGCCACGGAACTCCGAACCACCCCTTTTGATCCACCAGCAGGCAAACCATCGCCGAACCTCAACTCACCTTTCATCCCACACTCCCACACGCCCCCTACTCCCCTCCCCTTCCCAGATCCCCCCCCCCCCCCCAGTTCCTCTTCAGCACACCCCCGTACCGTGGGGGATCTGGGATCTTGGGTCTTGGGTTTCTGGGTGCTTGGGTCTAGGCGGAGTAAGGCGGTTTGCCCCCTTACTTTTTTGACATGGGGGCACAGGCGTCATGTAATCGACACTGTCCGCCAGGGAGGAACCATCGCGAGGTTTGATATTGTTGCTGCCATCAACTGATTGTCTATATATCCCTTCATATCACACCGTCCAGTATGATGTCTTTCCTCTCGATCACCACAGCCCTTCCCATTCTTCCCTATTGTTATACCTCTTACCTCCACCTTCACGCATCGGACAATTCAGCCCACGTGTCGACGACTTACACGGAGTTTTATACTCTTCTCTTTTCTCTCTCCAACCCCCCCATAATACCTAATTATCCTAGAAATACCCCTGACAGCAATGTCTACCTACAAGAAACCCCAGTCAGAGCCTATCGCCATTGTTGGCACAGGTTGTCGATTCGCTGGCGACGTAACATCAACAACAAAACTCTGGGATCTTCTCACAAACCCCAGACAATTATCACAAGAGGTCCCGAGCAACCGGTTTAACGCCCAAGGTTTCTACCACCCAGACGGCGAATACCATGGAGCAACCAACGCAACACAGGGCTACTTTCTCGAGGAAGATCACCGTGTATGGGATGCAGGATTCTTCAACATCACACCCAAGGAGGCTGAGGCTATCGACCCTCAACAACGCATTATCCTCGAAGTCGTCTACGAAGCCTTGGAATCGGCCGGATATACACTCGAGAAGTACGCTGGCAAGAAGGTTGCCGTATACGCAGGGCTCATGACAGCAGACTACGACTCATTATGCCAAAGAGACGACATTACATCGAATCAATACTTCGCCACAGGCAACTCACGAGCTATTCTCTCTAACCGAATCTCATACTTCTTCAACTTCCGCGGTCCCTCAATGACCATTGACACAGCATGCTCATCAAGTCTCGTCGCTCTACACCAGGCCGTGTTGAGTCTCCGGTCCGGTGAGTGCGAGATGGCCTGTGTGGCCGGCGCCAACCTGATGATCACCCCCGAGCAATTCATCAGCGAAGCCAGTTTGCACATGCTCAGCCCTACAGGCACATCAAAGATGTGGGATGTGAGTGCAGACGGATACGCCCGCGGTGAAGGCTTCGCGGCTCTGTTCATCAAGCCACTGTCTCAGGCTTTGAGAGACGGTGACTCCATCATCAGCATCGTGAGAGAGACTGGTGTGAACTCGGACGGACGCACTCAGGGTATCACCATGCCCAGCCCCCTCGCTCAAGCCGAGTTGATTCGGGACACGTACCGTAGATCCGGTCTGGACTCTCAAAATCCCAGTGATAGACCCCAATACTTCGAGGCCCACGGAACTGGAACCCAGGCTGGAGATCCCAGGGAGGCTGAGGCCATTTCAACGGCATTCTTCGGCAACGAGGCCAAGACTACTGCCGAGAGTGACGATACGAAGCTTGTAGTCGGATCCATCAAGACGGTCATCGGCCACACGGAAGGCGCCGCGGGTCTAGCTGGTCTACTTAAAGTGGCCCACTCCATGATCAACAACTGCATTCCACCCAACCTGCATCTCAACACCCTCAACCCTAGCGTGAAGCCGTTCTACGGACACCTCCGCATCCCTGTCGATGTCGTCCCTTGGCCCCAGGCCCCGACTGGCCAGCCCCTCCGAGGAAGCGTCAACTCCTTCGGCTTCGGCGGCACCAACTCTCATGCCATCCTCGAGAAGTACGAGCCTAGCATCCACGATGAAGTCGCGAAGCACTTCGCTCCGGCACTGGAGGCACCAGTCTCGCCGCTCACCACCACACCCTATGATGCCGAAGCCCCCGCTGTCGGCCTTCCTCTAGTCATCTCTGCCAAGTCACAGAAGTCTCTGGTTGCTGTGACCCAGGCCCTTCGTGACTTCATGGTATCGACTGACAAGTCGGCCGATGAGGTCGCTTACAACCTGTACGCCCATCGTTCGGCCCTGACCTACCGCACCGCCATCAGCGCGGACTCCCGCGATGGAGTCATTGCCGCCCTCGACAACCTTCTCTCCAAGGCCGGGTCTTCTTCCAATCCTGAGCTTGGTGTTCGCGCCAAGCTCGACGGCGGCGAAGTCAAGATTCTCGGTATTTTCACTGGTCAGGGAGCGCAGTGGTCCGGCATGGGCCGCAAGCTCTTTCACTCAAGCAGCGTCTACAGGAACACCATTGAGAACCTCGAGAAGGTTCTCAAGGCTTGCCCCCACCCGCCCACGTGGTCCCTCATTGAGGAGCTCATCCATCAGGAGGATGCCTCCCGCATCAACATTGCCGCTCTTTCCCAGCCTCTCTGCACTGCGGTGCAGATTGCCCTCATCGACCTCCTCGGCAGCATCAATGTCTCCTTCCACACCGTCGTCGGTCACTCATCCGGTGAGATCGGCGCTGCCTATGCCGCCGGCGTGCTTAGCGCCCGCGATGCCATGCTCATCTCATACTACAGGGGTATGTCTGCTCACCTTGCCGGCGGCAAGGATGGCCAGAGGGGCATGATGATGGCTGTTGGTATGACCCGCGCTGAGGCGTCGGCTCTCTGCGCTCGGGACGACATCAAGGATCGTATCTGGGTCGCTGCTAGCAATGCACCGACCAGTGTCACTCTTTCTGGAGATATTGACACGGTCAAGGCGCTCCAGGCTGAGTTGACCGAGGAGAAGAAGTTTGCTCGTCTTCTCGTCGTCGACACTGCTTACCACTCTGCTCACATGGAGAGACCGGCAGCTCAGTACATGGAAGACTTGGCTGGTTGCGGCATTGAGCCGAGACAGCGCAACTCGACCGTCTGGATCTCCAGTGTGTATGCTGATGGCACAGAGCCAAGCATCGAGGAGCTCAAGGGCCCTTACTGGAAGGACAACATGGTCAAGGCCGTCTCCTTCTACGAGGCCATTGATCTTGCTCTCAGCTCCCAGGGTCCCTTTGCCAGTGCCGTCGAGGTTGGTCCTCACCCCGCGCTCAAGGGTCCCGTCCAGCAGACCGTCAAAGCTTCCACTGGTGGAGCTCTGTCGTATGCGGGCCTGCTTGACCGCAAGAAGGATGACAGACACGCCTTTGCCGAGTTCCTGGGCTTCACCTGGAACTACTTTGGCACCGACGCCATCGATTGGAAGCTTCTTGTCGCACAGTCTTCTCAGCCTGGTCTCTCGTCTTCGAGGATGGATTTGCCTTCTTACCCGTGGGACCACAGCCAAATGCACTTCCGCGAGTCCCGCATCGCCCACCAGTACCAGTTCCGCGAGAAGGGACCCCATGAGCTTCTCGGTGTTCGTACTCGCGATGACACGGAGTTTGAGCTGAGATGGCGCAACATCCTTAAGCTTGAGACTGTCCCTTGGATCCAGCACCACAAATTCCAAGGCCAGGCTCTGCTTCCTGCCTCTGCCTACTGCGTACTTGCACTGGATGCCACAAAGGCTGTTCTCAATGGCCGTGAGGCTTCAGTTGTTGAGCTCACGGATCTTGAGTTCATGAGCGGTATCTCCCTGGAGGCTAACACTTACGGTGTCGAAATCTTGGTGTCGTTGAGCATCGCGCCCCCTTCCACTAAGGGCCGCTTAGCTGGCAAGATTATCGAGGGTGTCTTCACCATCACATCATGCTACGCCGATGGCGTCACTCCTATGCAGAAGAACTTCACTGGCAATCTGCGCATCTACCTCGGCGAGCCATCAGAAGATGCTCTTCCAACACGCGATCCCTCCATGGCTGAGACGCTTCCTGCCGACACCGACTCCTTCTATCAGATGATGTTGGACATTGGCTTGGATTACACTGGCCCCTTCCGCGCTCTGCAGAGTATTGACCGCAGATACAACTTCTGCTCGGCTACGCTTCAGAAGTTCCACAACACCGACACTACCGGACTCGGCGTCAGCCCTGCCACCCTGGACAGCTGCTTCCACTCCGTGTTTGCCGCCGTGGCTTCGCCCGGTGACAAGTCTCTTTGGACTTCTTTCCTCCCCAGGAGCATCGAGAAGATTCGGTTCAACCTCGCTCTCTGCGATGGCAAGCCTGCGGACAACGCATCCCTCGTTGTCGACTCGGTCATCACCCAGGAGATTCCTCGCACTAAGACCGCGACGACCAAGTTTGTGGGTGACATGAGCATCTACAACCCCGATGGCGAGATGGAGATTCAGGTTGAGGGCCTCATGGTCGCTTCCTTTGCCAACTCTAAGCCTGAGGATGACAAGGAACTCTACCTCACCACCGTGTGCGATCTGGATCCTGAGTACGAGATCATTGCTGCCGACCTTAGCCAAGAGGACGTTGCTACGGAGCGCATATTGCTCGAGGCCTGCGAGAGAGTCGCGCGCTTCTACATCCACGACGACTCGCTCAAGGACCTCTCGTCTTCGCCCGTCTTCTTCACCCCGCCGGCCACTCCCATGTCGCCTCCCAAGGCTCGACCGTCGGAGGCTACTCCCAGCCCCTGGCAACAGGACACTGCCGAGACACTAGATGCCTACATCCTGCAGTCCCCCTTCCACCACGCCCTCAGCTTCATCCGGCTGCTCGGTGAGAACATCCCCGATGTGCTCCCTGCAATGCTCTCGACCATCATCCAGGAAGCCAAGCAGCTTCATCGCTTCCGCTCCCATGTCAGCCGCGTCGTCTCCCAGCTCGCTCACCGATACCCTCGCATGCGAGTGCTTGGTTTGACTGACCCCGAGACTGCGCTCACGAAGCATGTCATTGACGGCTTCAAGGGCTCATTCGTTTCCTACACGTTGGGCAACGACACTGAGCCGGACCTCATGGCGAGGGTCTCGTCTGACGCGATCAAGAAGAAGATTGACACTGAGCACACCAAGATCCTTGACAACGAAGACAACTCGTCTCTCCAGCCGTTTGACATGGTCGTCCTGACGACTTCGATTGTCAAGGGCGCTGAGCAGCGTGCCAAGCTCAAGCAGGTTCAGAGCCTCATGAAGCCTGGTGGTTTCCTCATT